AAGGTGTTTCAGAGTATTGGCCCACCACACTTTTCTAGTGAGCGTTGGTGGGTGAGCACTGTGTTCGTAACAGCTCCAACGTACGGGGCTTGTGACACCAATCATTTCCAACATCGGTATCTCTAATAAGTAATGTCTGTAGTTTACGCGAGTGCAACATATTTAAGTAAAACACTTTTAACAAAATCTGTACTCTATCAATCTGCTACGCTAGCGCCATCTGTTTAGCTTTAATCTTAGTCGTAGATGGCACGTCTCAAACCGTTAAAAGCTTTTTATTTAAAAACTTAATTCTAATTAATATACGTAAGTATTAGTTACTCCCGCGCACTGCCAAAACTTATCACATTTTCCCTATCCCAATATTGGTGTTCCAAAATTACTCTTCTTCACGATTCAATAAATTGGGCCACAAGGCGGTGGGTAGATGTAGGTAGTAATAAGTAGTAATATGACATGTGAACAAACATTGTTTATCTTCATAAATGTCAGTAGGTTAACAAAATGATGTAAGGTACGGTCAGTCGTGATTTAGCATAGAATCATATGATGACTAAAAGGATCCAACCCACGGACGCAAAGGACAATACTTGAAGGCAACAGGTTGTGGCCGTGACTCAATCCTTCGATGATGTAATGCTTCGTAATTGATTCACTGATTCGGTTCTAATATTGTAGTGATGACTAGAGTCGATGGCGATGTATCGATAAATCTAGCCGCTACGTGGTTACAAACAATTTCAATAACATCAATTGAAAATTGTTATTTGAAATCTTTAAAAACAATTGTAAATGCGATATTGACAATTATTATAATTTAAAATCTAGACCTCGCTCTGTATATAACTTAATGTTTAGAGAAAAGAATTTTCAATTTACACTGTCGATCTATTTTGGCTTTGGACATTCGGAAACCAAAACGCGATTAAAGTCATGGTTTTTCATATTTCAGAAAAACTTGTAATTTTTTTTTAATTTATTTATATTAGATTAGAAACATGTTGGATCTGGTTGGAACCAAACATATAGCCCGTTGATTATTAGCCATAAATTACTAAAACAAAAACAAAAAATACTTTATTGTCCCTACCATACTGTTACAACAATAAAACTTTATTTAAAAAAAAACAAAATGTAGCGAGAAAGGGCAAAGTAGCAGGCAACCATTCTACCATTACACAAACGAGCCTGTCGACGGTAGTTTCATAGACGGAATAATCATTATTAATGCATTCTACATCCTTTTGTCTTCATTCTTAAATATCAAACGACAAAAGCTATACAAATTTCTTATGATATTAATCTTCTTATTCTATTATGTCAAATAAATATCGATATCTTTAAAAGCACTACGCTGCGTCGTATACATCCTCTACAACGTAACGTCACTAGCGTGCAGCGTCATTGAATTCGTGACGTTATAATCGTATTAAAATAAATCTTTGAACGATGAAAATAAGAAGATATTGTATTGAGCTAATTTTTAATACATTTTGTCCTCTAAACATATGTCAGTAACCAATAACTTTTATGTGCAAATAACTATCGTTTTATTTAGGGATATTTTCAAACATGTCTATAGGTATTTTTATAAATTAAGTACTTCTATTATTGGCAGGTATCTGACAAACGAGGTAAATATTAGCTAGTCAATTTCCCGTAATATATGATATAGGTATAAACCGAGTCCTTTGTTCAATGTTTCAATGCGTTGCCTACTATGGTGTTAAACGCTAGAAGGCCTAGGTTCGAATTCCGGTTAAACATAGTTTCGGTTAGATTACAGAAGTCTGATAAACTATTTGCCCGTAGCCCCGTATATAAAATTGTCCAGTAATACGAATTGTACGGGTGCTCGAGGCAGAGGCCGGCGTAAGGCCGCTAGAGGCAGAGTAGCCTAACTGCAATTTTATGACTTGACTTATTTATATTTTTATAGTCTAAAATGTTATATATATATATATATGCACTTACTGTGCTCTTATAGATTACCATTAACTTAACTGAAAATTGCTAACAAAATTCTTACACAAATAATAGTAGATACAAAATCATTTTCCCTTAAGTTAATTGCGCATTTTTAGTTTCCTCCTTATTGAACATCATGTTTTTTGTAATTAGGCCACTCTAGCTATAGCAGCCTCATAGTATAATAGTAAGAAATTGATTATTTCAACACAATAGATACATATAATTTAGAATTATTAATGGTTAGGCTTAAACTTATCTGCCCTTTTACGGTACTTGACACTTTGCCATTCTCAAGTAAATATGTAAGCGGAATATATAATGACAGGGCCCATATTGCATATTGATTGAACATTGTATAAGCTCATATAGAAATTAGTACCGCTGTCCAAGAAATTCCTGTGCGACACGCCTTTCATTACGAAGTCAACCTTAGGTCTACGCGTAATATTAAATAGTCTAAGTAACATTGCACTTGCATTGCTTTGTTTTATTGGCATTTGTTTAAAACGTGTCTTAATAGTCGATACTGGCATGTATTGTTATAAGTTTGGACATAGTTTTTTAAATCTATAAAGAAAGTATTTTAGTTTAACTTTGATCATTATTTTGTCTACTTGTCTGTCTGTTTGTTTCTTTCTCTATCTTTCTTTCATATAAGGTGCTTTATTTTTGTAATAATGTGTTTGTTATTGAAAAAACAAAATACTTTCAACGGTTTAAAACGCGTCGCATGAGCACGCTATACTTCGGGCCGGAGGTAAAGATAAATTAAATATAAGTCAACTAATGTCATTTGCGTTTTAAAATGTTGAAAGTGTATGGTTAATATTTACTTATATAAAATATTTTACACGTTAAAACTACATTACTTATTTTAATTCTTCAACTAGTTCCTATTGGTCACAGGTGGCGCTAGTGTGGCAGATTTAATTTGACATTTCGGTCACTTACCATTTTAAGAAAGGAAACGTGAAAAGTTCATTAATTAATACACTTCGCGTTTCTTAAAAGTGTCTTATTACATTAACTGTTTTCTCGTTTGTTCTTTTTTTCTCCGTCTATGTTCTGGACTTACTCAGCTATCTTACAGTAATCTGTGAATTGACTGAAGCTTTAGCATAAGCAGCACAAGCAGCATTTCGCTAGATTGAGATTTCTATTAAAAGCTATGAGCTCACCGCTCATGGCATATATTATGTATGCGTGAACTTTATGCAAAGCTTCCTAGCATCGTATATGTATTAAAGACGTATACTATTTTCTTATATAAGTTAATACTGGGGAATAATTTTTCTTCAAATTACAAATTTTCTTTCTCATAATTTATTTAGTTTAGCTTAGCTTGTAATTAAAATTAAACATAAAACAAAAACCGGTGTGTAAGGAGGTTTCATGGATAAAAAAGTTAAAAAATAAATACAAACACGTATTTTAATACGTCCCAATAAATAAACGAGTCTATTATGCTATTGCTTATTTTGCATTTTTTTAAAAGTCACTATTACCACACACGCACTTTACGCTATCGTTAAATTTAAGGAGGCATAAATAATATTTATCGTGATTACAGGCACCAAAAAGCAATCAAGTCATTAAATAAAGTTTAAATAAATTATTGGCGATCTAAAACGCCGCTAATAGCCATTATTGTACTTATCAGACTTTCAAAATTTGCCACAGCAAAAACAAATTAAATACCTACCCTTAATTATACAACGTTTTCTTTACAGACTTATATTTTATGTAGGTTTTGAGTACTACAAGTTTACGTATAGAATGGATTCAAAACTACTACTAAGTCACCTACAACTTATTTAAATAAAATCACTTTAACCGTTTAAAACGGATATATTAGTTAAACTTATTTGAAAATTATTTTTACCTTCGGCCTGACGATTAGGATGCTTTGCAGCAGCCGTGGTCACGGGGACACTAAAGATGGAGGATGGATGTCTCTGACGTCAAAGTAAAAAATTGCTACGCTAGCGCCATCTGTTCCGTCGAAGTTGATATTTGGCGAAACTGGCCGGGTCATTACAGAATTGACTAACGGTGTCTTTACGTTTGTCGGTATGTTGTTTATTGGGATCTAGAGTTTTTAATATGGGATCCCAGGTATTTAATATGTACATGATGGCTACCGATGATTGTATAAAATAAAAATCTATTTAAATAGAAATAACAAATCCGATACCAATTTAATTACTGTGTCTTCAATTGGTTGCAGCAGCAAGAGACGCTGTGGATATCGGATCAAATCCAGCCTGTGTAGTATTTTTTTCAATTTAAATCAGAGTTTTAATTGTTATATTATGATTAATTATGATCTTGGTGATTAATTAGGAACGAAACGGAGTATTTTAACTGCAACACATAGCTGATAAGTAGGGCGCTTTCAATTCTTCTTGGAAGCTTGTATGCGTTTGCCAAGATCACCATTGCCATTGCTAGATATTTTTATGTCAACCTTCGTTAAGACTGATAAAAGTTAAGAATGTTGAAATCTTAATAGCGAAAAATGCTTTTTTAGAGCTTAATTTTTCTTCTGGAAATTATATAATGTAATTAACGAATCTTTTAAATAAATCTTATTTCCTTTAAACCTGAAATCATTTTACTAAACTGATCTGAACTTAATATTTATTAAAGAAAAGTTTTACATGTAAATCGATAAAAAACTGAGCTAATTCTAACGAAATTATTATTTTGTTAGAATTAGCACATAATATATAAACCTAAAACCAAAATATTTTGATTGGTTAAATACTTTCAAGAAATATATCCTGTCATTTTGTATAGTCTGCAATTGATGTCATTTTTTGATAGCTCTCATAGTTGTCATTTAACTGTCGTTACTGTCAAATATCATTTTACTTTATACTTTTCAGATTCGCTTTTGAATAATTCTTTTTTTGTTTCTACTGTTGACCTCTATTTTTAGAAATTTCTCACATTTTCTTCATATATTTAAAATTTGAAAATTCAGTTCTTTCGTTAACGCTTTATGTAGTGCTAAAGTTTTGGTAAAAATGGGCAGAAAACATCAGAATAAGCAAAGCGATAAAGAAAATAAATTCAACCTGCAAAAGCGAAAAGAACTTGCAAATTTAGTTCAAAAGTTACTAAATTTAACAACAGTATTTTATGGAGCGGGAAATGTAACCAAAATCTGGGATCATCATAAGGAGATTGTGCCTCTGATAAAGGAAATAATAAGTTATGAGTACTCAAAAAAGCACCAGGCAGGCACACGGAAATCTAATATAGAAAAGTATGTCAATTGGTTAAAAGAGAATGGAGCTGAATTTGAAGGTATATTAATTCTATATATTGTGAAAGTTTTGAAAAAAATATGACACAGAAAATTAGAATAATATGTGTAATGTAGTTTATGTTTTAAATTACATAAAAAAAGTATTAAACGTATTTTAGAACATCCTATTCAATTATAACCACTACAAGACACCCTACACAGTTTCTAGCTTGTTTTATTATTACCCACTGGTCACTAGGTCTATACCCAAAGTAATTAAATTTTCTGATATTTTTCAGGTGTAGAAATAGCAGAGTTTGAAGGCTTTGACTATGGCCTTAAAGCAACCAAAGATTTTTGTGAGGATTCTTTACTTCTTACCATACCTCAGAAAGTTATGATGACAGAAAAGGACGCACAAAAATCTGAGCTGTCTGAGTTTATAAAGCAGGATCCGTTAATGCAAAACATGCCAAATGTCACTTTAGCACTTTTCCTATTACTAGAGAAAAGTAAATCAGGTAATTTTTTTTAATAATTCATTTTTGTTTTATCTGTACCTAATAAATTTTTATAGAAATAATAATTATTCTTTTTGCCATTCTATTTCAGATTCATTTTGGAAACCATACATTGATACCCTACCCCAAAAATACTCAACAATACTTTATTTTGATGTTGAAGAATTTGCTGAACTTAAGGTAAATGGTTATGGTAATGTAACTCTTAAGAATCATTATGTAACTAATAAAAATGCTCCCATTAAAATGTAACAGCATTGCATTTAGTGCAAGCGATCCAAGGTAGGATTCTACAAAAACTATAAGTAGGGTTAGTCAACTAGGCTCAAACAATGTGATATAATTAAGCAGCCTTATCCTTAAGTTTTCAATAGATTTGTTTTGTGCATTATGAATAAATTGCATACTATTTTTATTTTCAGCCCTCACCTACATTTGAGTCGTCATTGAAATTGTATACAAACATAGCTAGACAATATGCATATTTCTGGCATAAAATTAATAAGACAGATATACCTGCTTTGAAGAGCTTGCAGGATATATTCACATTTGAAAACTACAGGTAAGGCGATTTTTGATCTTGTAAGTGTGAAGTAAAGTAAAATTCCAGTTTCCCCCTCGTGGGGTATCGGCAAACACATTTTTGTGTTTGTTTCACTGATCCGTTGTTTAACAGGCAAGTAGTTAAACCAAAACCTTATTTGTTTCCCTGGGATTAAAACCCAGGACCACTCGCGCTTAACGCAATGCTAGGCAATATCTTTAACCACTTGACTACGTAAGTACGTAACAAAGCAAGTAAGTGTGATGACCTTGTCTTGAAAAATGAAAGTGAAATAATAAAACAGCAATTTTTAAATTACTTTATTATAGTCAAATCTGGAATGTCTCCCTCTTAAATTACATTATTGCACTTACCACATAATACTGAGAACTATAATTTTTAAAACACTTTCCAATCATAAATATCTTATATTTAAAAGATTTTTATCATTAAATTCTAAGACATAATTTATCCTTAAGCTTAATTTACAAATGCAACATTACCTATTGAAATGGTTTCCGTAAGGAGTCCCACATGTATTCTGGGGACTCAGCCCCAGCATGTGTATCTAATGTGTTTATGGAATAGATGTTTGATGTGAGCATAGGACTCTTGCTTCGGGTACTGCTTCTCATGTTACCCTTCCTGTTTTCGAATATTGGCGATGGTAATCTATCATCGCTACTACACACTTTGTTATCGATTATTTTACTTTGCTGTTTCCATTTAAATGCTGCATATGTAAGTAAAAATAAAACTAAAGCTAAACCTATGATACTAGCTGTAACAACAGTCACAGATCTAGCGTTACTACTAGATGTGTGCACTGAAATGGGTTTTTCCTCTGCTTTTTGTGATAATCTTACTTCTATATTTTCTTCATTGGAAGAACCAATATTATTGCCTTCAAGTGGCTGTATATCTTCAAAGACAATAACACCATCACTGTCCTCATCATCTTCTAATAATATTTTTTGCAATGTCTCAGCTTTGGAAGACACTAAAACAAAAAAGAGTAAAATTTTATAATTTACTTTAGTTAATTACATTTTATAAAATAAGTGCAATCATACTTACTTCTCGGTTCAAGAAGATCTTGTGCATTGGATTGATTATGAAGAAGTTTAAATAGTTCATTCCAATTTACTAAACCTTTCTCTGGGCTGATTACCCGACCTTCCCTTGGTTTCTGTTCAATAGTTTTATTAATTATTTGTGGGACCATTGAGTCAAGTAAGTCGACAGTTTCTTTTATGTCAATATTTTCTAATTGACTTGTATTATTATTACCAACAAATAAGGACATAATGCCCATATTTTCCCCGTTCTCGTTCACGTTATTTCCAAAGTCCATAACAACTGGTATATTTAGGTAATTTGAATTGTCACCATTTTCATCTATATTTGTCTTAGGGTCATGAAGATTTGCTTCAAGAAGGGCTCTTAGGGGATATATTTCTTTGGATATTGGTTCAATGAGTGATTTTGATAGAAACGGTTCGGCAGGATTCGGCTCCCTCGATGCATTGTGAAATATATCCGCTAAATGGACGTGACTGGAACCGCGCTCCCTGTGCTCTACTAATTCATTTAATGTCATGTTTCTTTCCCTGAGAATTCTTGCAAGTCGTGCTCGAGCTGCAACATAAATGAAAAAGATTAGTTTAAAATAAAGAAAGCATTACTGTATATCCAGTTTTCTCAGCCAATACTGTAATGAAGATTACAATTTTCATACATACTCATAGTGTCGTTAAGTATTTCTTCTATCTCGAACTTAGCTGTTTCCTCAGTCGCAGTTAAATACGGTTGTATTTTAGGCAGTAGCGATGATCGAACATGAGGAGGTTTCGTGGACCTCATACGATTATGCGGTTTTATAACTGACTCCGTGGACATAAAATCTTCTAATGTAGTAATATCATTTTCACTATCTGTATTCAATGTACTTGGTTGCGTTCGTCCCATAAACTCTGACGCCGATTGCATGTTAACGTAATTTTCCAGTTTAGATATGTCTTTTTCGGCGTCACGAGAATCATTAGATAAATTCTTTTGTCTCAATCGTTTCCTTTTTAATCTATTACTCAGAGCCTGTCTTCGCATATCAGCAGAATTTAGAATTGTTCTTATGTGCGATATAATTTTTGGCTTTTGCGTTATTGTTACAATTTTTTCGGTTACTGGTGTGGCGGTAGTGTCTATGACATTAACAGTTGTGAAAATTTCTTCTGTTTCCGGTGTATTTTCACTAACTATTAGCCCAGGTTCTATGATAGATTTCGATGTGTTTATGTCGAAGTCACTTGAAGATATGCTGAAGTCGATTTCTTCAGTCCGTCCATTGGTTTGTAATGGTTCTGTTGTAGTTTCTTCAGCCTGTGTGGTTGTAATTGGATTTGAACTTTCTGTAACATACCCTTCAGTACTACTTATTTCTGGTTTTACTCTTCGTCTCTTCGTTTGGCCTGGCATGTACTCGACCCACTCTCGTGTTCTTTGAATATTCCTACTGTTCTGATATTTTCTTGTTGTTAAAGCCATTAGATCTCTACTAAGTTGTCCTTTAAAAGTGTTATTTGTTGGTCTTGTACGTAATTTACGTCTTAAATTAAATGGAAATCGACGTCTTGTGTGGATTTTAGTAGTATCATCACTAACGTTATCAACAGTTTTATTATCATTTATAGTTTCTACGTTATTATCTGCCTCTGTAGAGTTTAATTTACTTTCAGCGTCATTAACATCTTCGGACGTTATATGTTCGGATCGAATTCTTTCATTATTGCTTGTAACTGATTTTTCCAAAGCTAAAGACGTAGTATTTTCCATATGTTTGTATTGATCTTTTGTTTCAGCCATTAAATCACCTGTTTCTTTTTTATAGTCATCGTTAACTTTTGTTTTATCAGTTTTTAGTAGAGACAAAGCTTTTTCCCTGCCTTGCAACAAATCACTCAATGATAGATTATGTTGTTGTAATATTTCACTAAGACTTCTACCATTCGACCTTTTCAATATAGCTTTTAATGTTAGTGGCTCTAGTGGTTCGTTACTCTGTAACATAAGAGTTAAACATGTATATATGTTGTGTTGATTTTTTTTAACACAATAGAATAAATAAAATTATGTTAGTGTATTATTAATGTGATCTAAAATACTATTTTGTTAATCTAAGTGATAAGATTATATTATTTTCACAAGGCATACGTTATTGTGTTATTTTCACATATAATATACCGTTTGAAATGCCTCTTCAATATACAAGGGCTTAGATTGTTTATACTCTTCTAATGTAAGTTTCTTGCAAAGGGGCATTATTTTATCCATACTTTTCGCTATTCTCCGTGCTAGTTTGTTTTTGTTAGAATAACGATTCTGAAGGCAATATTTATTCTGTAATAACTTTACTAAAATTTATAAAGTATTATTTTATTTGTAACTTACCTTAGCTATATCTATTAATTCCTTATTTCTCTCACTGACAATTTCTTTAGGTTTTACTTCGGTAATTTTAAAATCCTCATCGTTCCGTTTGATGAGACTTTCTAAAGAAAACTCTGATAGTGACCTGTCGCTTTGTGGCGTTGCTGCAAATGTATTTTCCGAAACACTTAGTTCAGGAGCCTCGTTGTCTGCTTGCGGATACGTATCTGGGGTTTCCTCATCGTCACGGTCTTCTTGATTAGTGTGTTCGTTTAATACAGGTTCATCGTTATCAATCGGTTCCTCTTTCTTCCCTGCCCATTCAGCATCCACAGGAACATCGTAATGAGGTCTTAGATCGCCAAACTCGCTTAATTCCGGCCACGGCTCGACAGTGGGTGGTCGTTTGCGTCTATGTCCTCGCCTTCTGACCGGTCGTTCGATATCAACTCCATCACCCCAACCACCAGCGAATAAGTGTTCCTTTCCATGCTTTCGATTATGTTTCTTGCGCCTCCTTATCGCGTCGGGGGGTGCTATAAAGTAGTCGGGATCGCTCTGCGGATTATTGGCTGGCAATATATGCCGTTCTTGGGTGAGCAAATCGTCTTCTATTTGTGGACGTCGTTTCCTTTTGCGCATATTTCTTCTACGTTTAGATCCGTCATCTGGTGAAGCGTTTCTCCACGACTCGCCCTCTGGTATGTCGGCTGACTTTGGTTGCATTTCCATTGCTCTCCACGTCTGAAAAAAAAATTGTTTATGTACAACTTCCAACTACTATGACGCATCAAAAACTAGGCCAAACTATTCGGTATAGTTATCTCATAGCCAGTGAAGAAGAAAGCCGTTACAAAACATAAATAATATGTCATAATGTTAAGAAAGTGGAAAGTGGCTTGACCGGTTCGGCGCGAGCTTATGGACCGGAGATTTGTATAAAGATGCTAATAAATACGTAATGCGTCGTAAGTGTCGACTTATATCAATGTAAATAAAAATTCGGGTTTTCGAAGTTATTTTCATAGAGACAGTGTCGGGCAAGTTGTCTAATATTTATGTTGTTACTTGAAACGCAATTATGCTTTTACTATACTAATATTTTTTATATATCCTACCGCATTCCCAAAATATCTGTAGAGTTGAAGTTTGTATTTTAAAAAATAAACTTATTAATATAGTTTTTATAATTAAAATTTCCTATGACCAGTTAACCACAACCTGCTTCGTAACGTCACGCCGGTTCAACTATGTTGGGCGTCTCTACTATCTATCGGGCGTTCCGAATCGCAATGTATACGAACGAATAATATACGAACTATAGATTATACTCATAAGACAGTCACTTAACATAATAAAAATATAATATATATTTTTAAAATCTCGAAGTCCTCATTATTAAATCTTTATGATTGCATTAATACATAAATGATGTCCATACAGAGAAAAAAGAACGTTTAAAATCAATTAAACTTTCGCATAATAAAAACGTTTCTGCTTGCATTCGTTTGCAGTTGTACTTTCTCGGACAATGTATCTGCATTATTCTACATAATATGGAACATATTTTTGTAACAATGGCGTCTTCCATTACAATTAGAACAGTGACAAGTTTATTTTAAAGCATCGTAAAGACCATGATAATAGATTATCTATTTTAAAAATAGGAAGTATACTGATGTATTAGTCTAGAGCATCCGATTTCGACATAGATCTGTCGCGCTAAAAGTACAAATTACTTTTAGCGCGTTACGCTTCACGCGTTTTCGAAATGGGGAGGAAAAATTCGACATTTTCCATGTATTACCATATGACAAGCTGCCGTTGTCTAGCGTAGTGTTATTAGTTTATAATAAAACCTTAGCTTATACATCCTTCTTCGGAGGCCCGTGTTTATTATTTATTAGTTTCACTGTTGAATTCAGTACATACCTAGGTAATACCCCCCTAATTTAGACTACAAAATATAATTTCTTTAACATAATCACAAGCCCCATTTACATATTACGCTTTATGCAATAGTTTACTCTATTATGTCTTAACGGTAAAATAAGTTACGTAAATGCAAAACTTTTTAGAAAACACCGTTTAATTTGAATTAAATGCAATTATTCGTTTTATCACGGTTTAATGAGCAGTGAAAAGAAAACTGATTGAAATATCATGGAATCCATGATCTTATCACTAATAATAATGTTTGCAATAAGTGAAATCCCATTTCTCTAACCGCTTTTATTAATAGATCTATAATGTGACCCCGAGAATAGAACCCAGGGCCTCTTGTGCTTATTTTATTGTGAGCGTAGCGTTTAACTATCAAACAACACAGTTGGCAAAAAAAATCAGGTACATTGTTGAGTTCAAAATACTATATATTTTACTGGTCGTAATACACAGTTACAATTATTAAATAAAAATAAACTTTATTGTGCGATCCATATATACATAAAGATCACGTTATCATCAAAAATAAAATTTTACTCGTTTGCATAATTTACATTTTAATGAAATAATTTTATGATTATCTATTTAGCATCTATGTCATCTTCAAAATAACATATGCGTTTGTCTTACTCTAACTAAAATAAACAACCATTACAAAATTAAATAGCATTTTAAACTGTACTGCGTGCGGAACTAATATTCTTTCTAATTGACTGTTATCGTTAGTTGTACAGTACCCCAATTCAAATCGAATCTGTTTGTTTGTCGTCTTTTGCATTGTGATAATAAAATAATACAAGTTTATGTTTGTTGCAGCTCTAAACGAAATACAATATAACAAATGACACGATGAAACAAATATTTGATTGTGTCCTACAAAATATGTTTTTTTTGTCGTTTAAAATGGGTCCACAAGCTCTTAGTCCGCTTTTTCAATAGTTGACGTGATATTAGAAAAAGAGAAAAGCATGATTTTCACTTGATGGAAGATGAAATACTCCTGCCATAACATCTAACCAATGCGTTCTTGCTATTCTATTTTTAGCTTTGGTCATTCTGAAATTTACGACTGAAGCCGAAACGCGATTAAACCACAATTCACGTTTTTTTCGTCTGTAGTGATTTGCGAACCAGAGACATGTAATTTAGATATTTTAAACACTCATTTAATATCCATATTTTATTGCGATCATTATTTAGTAAAGATATAAATTGATTACTGTCTGTAGTTTACGCTAGTGGTAAACATTTTAATAAAACACTAACGGTTTAAAACGCTTACTTATTTGAAAATTATTTTTAACTATGGCCCGACGTTTCGGATGCTTTGCAGCAGCCGTGATCACGGCTTTTTAAATTTAAATTGATTACAAATATTTTAGACCCGATGGGAATCGAATCGATCCCTTCATAATTAGCAATACACTGCCTTAGTGCCATTAGTTGGTCGAGCTTACAAAAACGTGGAAGATCTAGGAAGTCTTACAACTGTCTAAGACTTCCCCTATTAGCTTCTTCTAACATCCTTCAAAGAAAAGCTAGTTTCTTTAATTAAATTACCTGCTCATATCCAGGTGGTCCCACGTCCATGGACCTCGCCCGCATCCCCCTCTGGGCTCTCTCGTATTCCTCTTCAGCGGTATGCACGATAATAACGAGTGCAGCTAACGTACTCAGTAGCGTCATCTTGTATCCTGTTTTACCCATATTACGACAAATACACAAACAAACACAACACCGCACTAATATTCTATAAATGCTTTAATATAGATTTCAGCTTCTAGATGTTAGAAGGTAGGAAAAGGTGAAGGATGCAAGAGAGGAAGTGGAAAAGTTTTCACATGCACGTTCGGCTTTATCGATCGGATATTTGTAAACAGTTCTTTATCGAGTGTTGTTGTCGACGGCGATTAACGAACTGCTTGATTAGTGGGGAAAAACGCTGAGATTTCTCGCGCGAGTTTCCCTCCTTTTTTTATTTTATTCGAACGTGAAAGTGTACGTTGTCACGCGGCGGCTAGGTGCGTCTGAGTGGCGGGCGGACCTGCGCGTACGCGGATCGAAGTACATGGTTGTTTAGGTTTGATCGCATTAAAAAGTTACAAGATGTACTGCTAAGGCTTACCTTATACAATATCAATATATTCGGCAAGAAATGTCCTTGTTGTTTATACACCTCTGTCAAATTAAAAATGTTAGACATTACATTGATGTTAAATATTTCTTAAACAATAAACATAATTTTTAATCCAAAATTTAAGTATAAACAAAAAATCAATAAAATAGCTAATATATATAATTTAAGCCTTTATATATATAATTATTATTGACCTATATTTTTATTACTTGCCTGAAAGTTTTTACACGGAAAACCCGGTAGCACATTGTTACAAAGCCGTAAATTGTTCTCTTCATTCTGTTCGATTACAAAGTGTCTAATGGAATCTGGATTTCCATAACGTAAGATGAATTATCAATATTACCATCAGGTTGTGCAGTGATCATAGTATTATGTGAAACGGAATGTGCGCGCCGCGTCGTCTGCGAAGCGTAGTCATCGTCACATATCAATTGATATGCTCTCAGTTTGATTTATTTAAATCGTTGGAATAGTTTTTTTTAATATGGAGGACAGACAAACGTGGGATTCACTTCACGGCTTTTTCATCTGTGATCGTTGGTTCGTGGCCTGGGCGGAATCTCGATATACCTACCACTTAATATCCGCCCATTTTATATCCATATTTCCCGGCGAAGTCCAACATGTTTCAGAAAAATTAAGAACACGTTGGTTAAAAACATCGCTATCATTAGACCAACGTGTCCGTCAAAAGTAAATAGTTCTTCAGTTTTATGTCACTGGCGTAAACATTAAGCAATATTTCCCCTTATTACAATCATAGCTTGTTTCACAATATGTTGCACAAACATCAATTAATTTTAACAATTAAAAAATATATCACTTCCAAATGTAGTTAAATTTGCATTAATTGCTGGAATAAATTTAATAATATTTAAATGATGCTATTATAATGTAATACGCTATTAATTTGGAGTATTAAGAGTCAATGGTTCAGTTTCATTTACTTACAAAAATTGGCCTAGTAAGGTAAAACCGATTTAATATTACTTATTAAATCTTCTCTATAGTTTACGCGACTAGTACACATTCAAATCAGCAGTCTCCCCGTGACCACGGCTGCTGCAAAGCATCCGAAACGTCGGGCCGAAGTTAAGAATGTTTTTCGAATAAGTTGAACAAATATATGGCGTTTTAAACTTTTGTAGTTGAAAAGAACAGCGTTTTAGTAAATAAGTAAAATAAACAAAATATTACTTACTAAATAAAAAATTACAACCGCTCTGTGGATAAACATATTACCACAGAGAGTTCAAAACATCTGGAATGGGTTGTCGTAAGAAATAAAATATTAATTAGCAATTTTTTTTAATTTTGAAAAGACATACAATCACGTTATATTTACGGATCGTGGCCAATCGTGGTCGTATGGAATTTTAGAAATATTAGTTTTCTAATTTTTCGTTAGCTTTGTAGATCACTGAAAATGTCGGGAAATGTCGTAGATTATTGTAGTGTGTAGTGTGTGAGTGTTCAACTTCCCCGTAAATCTATCAGAATTTAAACAATTGTATCTGCCACATTATCTATCTATTATAATTACCAAAGTTATTTAAACAGTTCACACTTCCGTAACAACAACAAGAATCTAATTTCGATTTTTCACGGTGTAGTACCCCACGGCATTTGTGTTTTCTATCATTATTCTGCATGATCATTCGTTACGCAAGCTATTCACATAGATGTGACACTTGCTTCTTGTATCTAGAAAAAAACAGGGAAATTCTGTTGAAATTACATGCATCGGTCTTATAAAAGTAAACCTGCTTTAGGTAGAAATTATTAACAGTAAAGTTGAATAAGACAAACGAAATAATAATATATTCGTTCTGTCATCAATACATTTAGGCATTTATGGTATAAAATATAATGTATCAAAGAGTTACAACTGACACAGTCGTGTAGAAATGTCTTCGACTACCATTTAATTATTTTCGGTTAATGGCAATAATTTTGTAACCATTCCTGTGGTGTTTATAATTAATAAAGTTCAAAAAAATAATATAAAAATACATTTTCTGTATGTCTATATGAGATAAAAAGTAATGGTTGATAGCTATAGAAAATAGTAAACGAAAAATAAATTTATACTATATATAAAACAGAAAAAATGCAAAATAACCAATTATGTTTTTATTCATTTAATTATAAAATTTAATGAATTTTACACACTTTCTATCGTTCTATAAACATAACAGTTTATATGAAGGACTATAACTACATTAACCTTTGTAATAACCTTTTATCCAAGGTTTATCAAACTTACAGAACCAACAATAGGTGTTCTCAACTAATCAACGATCTAACTTGAATGGAAGACGATGTTTCTCCAAACATGTCCGTCGAAAGTAAGTCCTATGCTGTATATGTACAATGCCAAATAATTTCACATAGAACACCAAGATTAGAAGAGAAGATTTCCAATTAACTATTTTTAACGTAATGTAAATGTAAAATGTTTACGTAATTATTAAGCGACCTTTAAAACAACGCATTTTTATTGAACGTGTAATATATAGAGTGAGATCAGGGCTGGCTCTTTTGTCTTCTTAAAAGTGGTAGAGGCCGTCAGATAACAGGTGTTTATGTCACTATACAACCTTTAAATTTTATTAGAATTGGCTGTGATGAGCGATTTTATGTGGAAATTGAATTGTGACTCATTTCCTTGTGTTCCACTCGACTCGACTATTTTATTTTTACTATTGTTAAGCTTGTTGCCTAGCAATAGTTGCCGGGAAAACAATAGTCGGTTTCTGTCCGACAGGGCATAGAAGTCCTAACAACATGCCCGTTAAAGAACCGATCAGTCAAACGGACACAGAAATATGTACACCCCATTCCCCACTGGGGGAAACGGGATTGCAATATTTACAATTATGAAAAACGTATTCTAGATAAATAGCAGTAGAAACTTTGGAAATCTTACGCAGCCCTATCCACAAAAGAAACGATGTTTTGTCCCAGCGCTGAACACAGGTCATTGTTGTCATTTCTCACGAACTCTTACTTTCCTTGGGCATGTACATGATACAGGTGCACATAATAGAAAAAGCTCGTTAAAGCAAATGACGCGCACCATCGATGTAGAACATCTGAATGCGAGCTTGGAATAATTAAGCCTTATGTAAGATTATGATTTTGCACTATAACGACTTTCTTTCGCAAATATTGCGAGACGATGTTAATGCGTAATGTATGAACAGATTTTTTATGTTGTCAGTTTTTAAAGTAAAACTCTTAACAAGTAAAAATTATAAGTCGAGTATAGTTTCTTAATGTATCGAGAAACATTGCGGAATTGCGTTATAATTTACGAAAACAAACAAATAAATATGCGTATTAATAAATTAATAAACCTTTCGTAAAGTCTGCCTACTTAATTACAGTTACATTTAGATATTAAATAAAATAGCAAAATGATTTTTAAGACATAGTTAGATATCCGGAGTTATTAAAATCATTTGATTAATTAATGCCAGTTCCAAATATATAAAGCCAAAATATGTACTATTGTGGTTGTCTATCCTCTATCATCTCTTTTAAAGAATTGAAAGGTTCTATATCCAAACAACTTCCTACATGTACAACACCATTTCTTACTTGACATTTTGATACGATGGTAAGGTAATTTAATCGTGACCCACTCGAGAGTAATCATCGCGAAATCTTAACCACATTTTCAATTAATTGGAAATTGAATATTTCCTCAAATTATGTAATTTCTTATTAGATGTAAAATTGCTATGTGGTGTAGATAGCTTTTACAAACATTTAATTTATGTTAGTTAATGTGGCTTTTTTTTTAATATGAGTTTTTGGTTCCAATTTATAACATTTTATGTGAGAGTAGACTCCGTAACGCTTCGTATAACATTAAGCGCGAGGCGTCCTGATTTCGAATCACAGGCAGGGCAAAGAAGTCAATCAACTAAGGACTTGATCAGATGCTTGAAAATAAATCTGATCATTTAAACGATGATCGAAATGGGGGGGTGGGGAACTCAAAAGGATAAAGAGGGGGGATAAAGATTTCGTTTTGCTGATTTCTACCACCCTAACCAGATTTCCAGACGAAGTCCAACATGTTATAGAAACATTATTAAAACATTTTGTTATTGAAACATTTTGGCCCTAGTCGGTATCGAACCAACCTTTTATTAAGAACATAATTATTTTTAACAATTATTCATTCATGTTGTTCCTCAGTACCTTTCGACTGACAGCCATTTGTAAATATGCGGCCGCATTACTCTTATGTTTGGTAAACAACAGCCATAATATCCTATACGCACATCCTGTATAATTCTATATTTCGAAGGTATTAAACGATTTGGAACACTGCTATTTTTCTACTAAGTTATTACTTGACTAAGATGTCAGTTGATGTTTAGACGAGAGTGTTTATAAAGGAAATTATGATAATTTCAGATGGGCAGCCTCCACAGTGATGACCCGACAGAACCACATACAACTGTCACAATTAACGACAACTGCATTTATACCTCTGTGGGATATGTGTAACCATGAGCAGGGAAAGGTAGGTCCGAATAGAAAAATATTTTTGTGTTGGTTGAACCATTCAGGAAAGACATCTTCAGGCTGCAACCAATACTAGAAAGAAACAGAGGAAAATGTGAAGAAAATAGGGAAAATTAAATCATACTGTCTATAGTTTACGCGAGTAGTACACATTTAAATAAAACACTTTAACGGTTTAAAACGCGATATATTAGGTAAACTTATTTGAAAATGATGTTTAACTTCGGCCCGACGTTTCGGATGCTTTGCAGCAGCCGTGGTCACAGGAAGACTGTCTTTAGACTGGACTTTAACTAATATATCGCGTTTTAAACCATTAAAGTGTTTTATTTAAATTAAATCATCATAATATTAAGAGCTTCCGTGCAAACGTATGTAGAAACGAATCAAGTAACTAAAAAATATTAAAGAATTTAAAATTCATCTCTAAATGATCGTAAAAATGTCCGCGACAGTCTATCTTTTAAGATTAACAATTATAATTTATGAAGATGAGGCAAACTACTTTTTTTGAAAAAAATACCCAATATAACTATTCCACGTGGACTAAGTCGTAGGCTAAGCTAGTGAATTATAAAACTGATTTATTTATGATGCCTATTTTATGTATGTAAATATATTTTTTAATTATGTACGAATTAATTTGTGTTTATTTTTTGTCTACCCTTTGAAGTCGTTTACTCTTTGTTAAAAATAATTCTAGTTCATGTTGTTATTGTTTCTCATTCGTACTTCTTAATGTTTCGCGATTGAAGTTCGTATAAAGAATAATAAATAATTATCATTAATATTTTTTTCAGATAAGCACAGACTTCAACAACGAACGCAGCAGGGGTGAATGTTATGCCCTTCGCGACTTTAAATCTGGTGAACAGATTTTTATATTCTATGGCGCTAGATCCAATGCCGATCTTTTTATACATAACGGGTATGTATAATATTTTTATATAATTATACAATTAGAATAGAATAGAAAGACGTTAAATAAAACAAATAAAATATTATAAAACAGGTAAAATAAAACATAACATCAATTGTCTCTGAAAAGTAGTCCACTCAGCTGAATGGGACACTGGGACAATTATACCAACGTTAGCTACGTTGGGATAATTGTCCCAACACTGATAATCTGTGGTCCCATCAGAGGCCGAGCTAACGCAAGCGTTAGTAACATTTACTCTATTAAGTACATTTATATATAAACACAACACAATTATATTTATCAAAAAATTGTTATTATAATATTACAAAACAGGTCAACACTTAGTCTCCTAGTTCAATTATAGTAAAGTATATCAATGAAACAGTGGAATGTCTTCGAAGATGCGATTGCGGCAGATCTGTGGTCGACCTATTTTGGCTTTCGACATCCCGTAATCCACGTAGTGAAACCCAAACTCAAATATACTCTTCACTGCTTTTTCATTAAAGATTCGTTCGATATTAAAACCACTTCGTCCAAATTCCAGACATGGGTCTAGAAAATATTTCTCATGTTGGACGCAATGGTAATCATACTCACGATCACAAATAGACTATTTCCAAGTGTGTTTACTGATGGTAAAATTCAAACACTTTGTTTTTGACTTGCTTTGTGTTATTAAAACATTTTATCAAACATTACAATGAAAATTTGTGGTAAACATAGGTAACAGAGTGTGTCATAACGCATCGGGTGATGTAACTCATTACGCGTTCTTATATCACAATCGATGCGAACTGTTACAGTTGCGATAATTAGGAATCGACGTTTTGAAACAAATTATTCCTCGCTTGAGTATAACCGAGTTTTCCGAGTTGGGTATATATATAGTTTCCATAACATTTATTTGCTTTCAGTGAAAATAGTTCACAAAAACAAAATCATAATAGTTTTTAACGGTTTAAATGCGAAATATATTAGTTAAACTTATTTGAAAATATTTATATATGCACTACTCGCATAAACTACAGTATGAAAATATTTCTTGAAAATTAAAAGAAATAAGAATCATGAATGTGCATGATGTGGATTTTTCTTTCGGAGTATTAGTTTCGTCCCTAAAGTATAAAACTTAGCTTCCTTGTTTCTTGTGTATAGATATTTATACTATATCAACAATTCCAGGTTTGTGTACCCAAATAACGACTATGATTCCCTGTCTCTAGTACTGGGAGTTAGTTCATGTGATCCTCTTCGTGGCACCAAAATGGCTCTTCTCAAGAAACTCGGACTGGCCAATTTAACGCACTATCATTTGTATAAAACAGGGAATATCGTCAGCCCCGAGTTACTGGCATTTATAAGGATATTTAATATGAATAAAGGTAAACTAACAATTAACATTTTGATGTAACATAAAGTAGTTTCTAACTTAAAGTGATTAAAACACACGTGGAATTATAAAAGAAATAAAAATCTATTTTTGTTATATTGTAGAAGACGGTGTTTCTTATAAAATTGATATCTTACAATGTTCCCAGGAAACTGGAACTAAGTATTAGTTAAACTTATTTTAACTACGGCTCCGATGTTTCGGATGCTTTGCAGCAGCCGTGGTCACGGGGAGACTAAAGATGGAGGGTGTCTCTTCTTTGTGTACGACGTAACAATATTATATATTACGATTTTTAATAAGTCAAAATAATTCTTGTATTTTCAGAGGAATTGGAAAAGTGGTCAGAGAAAGGCCTCCCCGGTGACCTGGTATCCTCCGAGGAGACGAGCGCAAAGGAAGTTGGAACTGAAATAGATGCACGCGCTTACAAATACTTACTGACGCGTTGTGGCCTTCTACTGACGGCCTATCGGAAAGCAGAGGCCAAGGATGGGGAGGATAGTCTAAATAGGTGTGTGTTATATTACAATTAAAAGTAAAAGATATCATTGAATACACTTAAAGTACGTGAAGTCTGTAAAATAAAACTTGGTGATAAAAGGAATGGTGGAGAGTTTTTTGACAATTCTTCTCATTCGTTCAACGCCCTTGATATGCATTTTGAGTCTTTAGTTTTTAATTGGTTTGACGTTCATAATGATACCTAGTTATCTACGTAAATAATGAATGATCTTTGAATTTAAGGAAAGTTAATCATTATATAACCAAGTTAAAAAATTCAGGAGGACTCTTTCACTGATAAATTAATTACAAATAAGATATCGATCTTGTTCGCTTCTGACTTAAATTGTGTTTCCCAGGATACGAATTTAGAGCCCTAATGCTTTGCTAGGAAATGGCTCAACGACGAAGTGTTACTATATAATTAAACACTGCATATATTGTTACAGGAGCAATATAAAACAGCTGAAAAGCTGTGAAGTTCAAATATTAGAAGATACTATAAAATACTTGGAAACTGTTTTAGAATCATTGCAACCCACCGCTTAAATCAATTTCAGGCGAAAAACGAGTTGTCAAAATCAAATCAAGTGTTTTTTTTTCTGGAATAGATTTATGAATAACGCCATCTTGTGGTTAATATGTGAATTTATTGTCGAGTGAAATTGAGTTCAAATCTTTTTCAGTAAGGATATACAAGTATAATTTATTATTTATCGATAAGCGTGCAATATTTTATTAAGTAATCAATTACAAATAATGAATGTAAACGAATTTTAAATGTAAAACAAATCATGACAGTATTTTATGCTTTTATTGTTGTTAGCTTTTATTTAACATCGAATTTTTATTAATTACTTTTGTTTATTGCTTTTTGGTGTGTTTTTAATATACTTTTTCAATATGTTCAAAATTTTATTGAAAATATCAAACTTTTAAATAAAACACTTTAACGGTTTAAAACGCGCTATATTTTTACGTTAACTAAACAGTAGCTGTGGTCACGGCTGCTGCAAAGTATCCGAAACGTCGGGCCGTAGTTATAAATAATTTTTAAACAGTTTCAAATTAAAAATATTTCGCGTTTTAAACCGGTGAAGTGTTTTATTTAAATGTGTACCCTCGCGTAAACTATAGGCAGTAGATAGCAGACGGTGTATCCAATTATTACAAATTAACTAGCTTTTTATTTATTATTTGTTTTGACCGCCTCTGTAGCCAAATAGTTAAACGTATTGCCTAGCATTGTGTTAAGCGCGAGAGGTTCTGGGTTTGAATCCCAGGGAAACATAAAAATGTTTCGGTCGGGCTTAAAAAAAAGAACGGATCAGTGAAACGAACACAGAAATGTGTTCGCCCCATGCCCCACGAGGGGGAAACAGACTTTTACCACTCGTTTTCTTAGTAAAGGCATAAAAAATCGATCTTTGTAATACAATTTATTGTCACAGTATAAAAGTTTAACTTAAAATATTTACATTTTAATTTCTATGTATCACTTAAACACTAATTACATTAAAGATTTGCTATTCTTATTATTAGCGGGCAAACTTAAGCTTACTTAAAAATATTAAATTAAATAAATATTTTGCTGGAAAAAGTACCCATAAAACGGGTTCTAAAACACCTTCCACATTAAAATGTTCACTAAGCAAGCTTCACTATGTTTAAAAAAATTCCAGATATTAATTATAATGGCTTATGAATTAAAATGAATGGTATTTATTCTAACTCTTGACATAAAGGAGGAGTTATATTTTACTACGCATAAAAATATCAATCCTCACAATTCGTCTAATAAGATCAAATTTACAACATATAGTAATACCATGTGTATTATACTACAGCATTAGTGAATATTTTAGAGAGCTTTGTAAATTATAATATTTAGCAAAAACACTACGACGAAATAACTAAAATTTGAAACAAAAAAATCATCAATCACAAGTCATCTCAAATAAAGGATCGCAAATAAAGATCACAAGAAACGATAAAAACACTACAAATGATATCTTTATAAAACTTGTACTGCATTTTCTTTAAAACAAAACTAAATTAATAAATTGTGTACGGCTTTCACGACCATCGTTCAGCAAATCATTGTCTTTCGGGCTGTTCGGCCGACGTGAGCGAGAAGACGTGCTTGATGTTTCGGCATCACGTGCGGACGGCATAATCAGGAGATGTTAACTCCTCGATTGCTCGAACAGCCCGAAAAACAATGATACAACTAAATTACCTGGCTTGAATGCACGGCCGCCATTTTGTTTAACTTATACATTATTTGTAGTCTTATAAATTATATCTTGTTTATATTTAGCAACATTCTGTGGCTTAAATTCACAGATATTAGTTTTTTGAAACCAAAAAGGTTTAAAGCTTTATATAGTCTATAATTCCCTATTCGAGAAAGTTTTGTTACTTTATGCGACCCTTATGAGGCACGTAAGCATGGAGGGGCGTTCTTCTCTCGCTGCGACGCCAGCCGCGTGCTGCAACTAGTAAAGCGGCTATCAACGCAGCTATGAGCAACCCGCAGGAGACTATCATTGCCGATAGAGCTGAAGTTTTCATGCAAGTTTGACCGTTTGCAACTGAAAATAGGTGATATATACTTATTATGTTGCCAGTGATATCTATTCGACTAAACCGCCTCAGCTCAATGGTTAAACATGTTGCGTAGCATTGCGTTTAGCGCAAGAGTTCCTGGGTTCGAATTACGGGGAAACAATACATTGTTTCGGTAGGGCCTTGCCCGACTTGTGAACACTCACACCTCACAGAAGTCTAATCAACTACTTGCCTATAAAGAAAACCAATTAATAAAACTAACACAAAAATGTCTCACAAGGGAAAAAGGGATTTTCTTTTTTTCATAAGGTGAAAGAAAAAAATTAAACGACGCTATTTGATACATAGCAAGATAGATACAGTAATTTAAATGTCAATTACATAAAAAAAAATATTCAAACATATTTTAGCATTGCTAAACAAATTTTTATTATACGGAATTTTGCAAGAAAGACATTGACGATAACGTATAAATAAAAGAAATCGTATGAAAGCCAATTCCGCATACCAGCTTTAGAAAATTCTTCGTCCTCCTCACCCTCTTGCAAAACTCGCAAGGACTGAAAGAGAGAGATGTTTTCTGATAGCCGGGGCGCCACGCTCGCGGCTTCATCGACCGAACGACGACGCACGTTCTTCATGTTACGCCAATGACACGGCTGAGACTGAAAATGTGAACTTCATTCGTATATCCAAGAATCAATAGGAACCTAGAAAGAACCTAGGGTAGGTTCTTTGAGGTAACGTCACAAAAGGAAATTACAATCTACCCTAACAATATTTATCTATCACCTGCTGGGTTTATATACATGCTACGATATATATCTCTCTCAGGTGTAGACATACTTTACTCACATATTGGCAAAAAATCATTAGGACCACAATCTTACAAAGATATTTCAAAATTCGATATATTTCTTTCATCGTACATACGTGCACAAATGTCTTGCGTTAAAATGATTGTGATTGTATGCGTGGTCGATTTTACAAGTGTTATAGTTAAATTTAATTATCTTTTTATAATATGTATATCGATAAAAATGTACTAATGTAGGTACTCACCGGACACCGTCCGTGACACATCCTAACATCGCATTCTATGTACAGCGCTGGTGATCCTGTGAATCTGAAGGTCTTCATGTAGGCGTAGACTTGCGTTTCAAACACTCCTGACTCCGACCAGGAGCCCCGAAACCGGGAGATCAGCTTATCGTCTACTGGACATCTATAAGATTGAAAATTAAATGTATTCAACTTTATCATTATGATTTTAATGTCTTTTTATGATAGAGGAGGTTATAAGCATGTAGTTCATCTTGTGGAAGGGGATATACTCCAGTCCAGTAAAGTTGGGCGGTTCACGTATTTAGGCTATGGATAGCTCCGTCGGGTCTACTATGTTTCAAATCAATTTATATTTTTCCTGAAACACGTGTGACTTCGTCTGGAAATCTCTATTAAATGGATGGTATATCGACAGTAGCGTAGCTAGGTTGAAAAGGGCTCCGGTCTAATCCTAGGGCCTAATAAAGAATCGGGCCCTCGTCCCCTCTTTCAGCCTAGCTTGAATTAATTAACCTCCAAAATTATAAATAGCAAGAACGTTAAAAAAACCTTTTCTTCTACGCTTATATCTTCTCAAACATAGGGTTAAGTCTAAGTCCCGGGGCCCTGGTGTACTGCACCACCTGGCCCAACGATAGCTACGCCACTGTATATCGGATATCGAAATCAAGTAAACCGCAACGCTTGTCTGTTCTCCTTCATGTTAACATTAGGTAAATCGCCGCAGTTGGTATTATAAATCAAGTTTATTTCTTACCCTAATTCGTCAATAAGCTGTATCCGTTTTGCTGCTCCGTTGTGTGCGAAACAGTCATTCACCACAATATCGAACCCATCTGAAAGAAGTCATTTGTATTTTATATTTGATACGAGAATATTTAATAAAATATAATTACTAACAACAAGTAACGTGTAGAAATACGGCAGAAGTATATATTGATCTAGTTAGTCCATATTAGAGATGCGCTGAGTAACGAGAACCGAGTTTTACTCGGTTCAAGTTTTTTTCAAGCGAGTACTCGGCCGAGTAACGTGGTTCAATCAAATTCTCACTTTGAACGCATAAACAAGTACAAACAGGTTCGCGCCAGTCAAGACGTCGCCTCGCTCTCAGTTTCCCGTAGTTTTGTCTCATTACTACTCATTCATTAGCATAGTTTTGATTTTATTAATTGAAATTTTCAAATATTTCTTAATTACTAATTATAATGAATTTTATTTTAATACTTTTGGATTAACGTTGTTGTTTTAAATTTATCTACCTCAATATATTATTTTTCTTAAACAAAGTATACTCGTTGTCAAATAACAAAGTATAACCGAGTTATTCGGTCGAGTATGAGTTTCAAAAAACCCGCCGAGTACGCCGAGTACCGAGTAATAACCGGGTATTCATGCCATCCCTACTAGATATTAACAAAAAATGTATAATTCATACTAATATTATAAAGCTGAAGGGTTTTAATTCGATGCGCTAATTTCAAAAAGTAGTGGTTCGAATTGGATTTTTTTCTGTTGGGTTTATGAAAAAATGTCAATCTTCCAAGATCAAATTGCAAGAACATCAGCACGTAACGCAATATATAAAGATGAGAGAGACGAAAACAAATTTTGACGGCCAAAACATACACGTTGCGCGGACTATACGACTTGTATTTATATATACCTACACTTCAAAGATCATTATTTTTCACATAACTGTTGAAATATTCAATCTAAAATAGGCTGTTATTTTTTTTATAAATCTTAAAGACATCAACGCGTGCCTAAGATTCACTTACCGTTTCCAAGATGATACTAACACATTTACAATCAACATTTACAGCTGTTCTATAAGAAATTTTATCGAAATTGACGGATCGTTGAACCCAGAAGAGCAATATAGCACGCGATCTCGACATAATAGCCCGTTAAATCCGCCCTTGCCTTATTGTTTCACCGTGCGATAACAGTTGTAACAATTTCTATAAATTTTTATATGAAAACGGTAATTCTAGTTAAATTGGGTAATCATGTTGAACAGGGCGTGTTCTATCGCGTGTTCATAGCTTTATAATTGGCCCGTGCCTTCGCTCGTGGTAGAAACAAATCTATACTGATATTATAAAGAATAGTTTGTTTATTTAAACGCCCTAATCTCAGAAACTACTGGTTCGAATTGACAATTTATTTTTGTGTTGGTTGGACTTTAATCAAGGAAGGCTTTAGGTTATAAAATTTACGCTGCGAAATAGGAAGAAACAGAAAGTAATGTGGAAATACGGGGAAAATAATTCATATACCCTTAAGGTAAGAATTGCAGTTAAGTGATGAACAATTGATTTCTTCTATAACTCTACTTTCTTCTTCTTGGCATTTATAAATTATACGCGTCCTTTTAACAAACTGTACATGTTATAAAAAGTGTTTGTTTGCCTTTGGGCAGAACAGCATATTAGTTTGCATACTATGTTCGCGTTAATTTTTGGATTCTCAATAAGAAATGATAGTGAAACATGACATATTTACAAGTAACAAAAAAATGGAAGAAGCGTATAAATCAGGTAGAGCAAAATGCCAAATTTTTTTTTTCGCGTTACTTTCTCTATTTGAGCGAGAGCTTACTTTCTGTTCATATTGCTTATAGCGAAAGAAATTAAACTTATACTAAATAAAACATATACGTTAAATTATAATACAACGACGTGTTCCTTAACTACACACACATGTCGTCTGTTATTTTAGAATCAATCGAGAAAAACCTTGTTTACCGAAGAAAAGATAGTCATTGACAGCGCATTATCAAAATCGGTTGAGCTGTTTCATTGTGAACGACTAACAAATTTGGGATTTCTCCTTACCATAAGCACTTCGCATATAGATGAGCAAGGTAAGAGGGTCTCCTACTCGCACGGGGCCAGCCACCCGAGCGCCTGTGGCACCGTAACCAGATCGGATCTCCATGTAGCATTCGGGGGGCTGCAGCGTGAACACCACTGGGTTGCCAGTAGCTACCCTGAAAACAACCAAAATATATTAAAAAATAAGTTAACTACAGTTATTTTGACAATAGAACTAAGCTTTCTAGATAAAAAAACGAAAATAAATTGAAAATACCTTTAAAATCTTTTGCTTCGTATTATAATAATTAACGCGAGTGAAAGTACATTAAAGTTGCATAACGGATTGAAACATGATAATGAAACAGTTTCCAAGATTGGCTAAACGAATTAAGCGTAAGAGATTCTGGGTTTGAATTCCATCAGAAATAATAATTGTCAGGCAGGGAAATGGCTGATCCAATACTAGCCTGTAAACAAATTTGATATGTGAAACTGGTTTGGGATTTAAAGAAGATATCAATGTGTATTAAGTTACATTGAAATAACCTTATTTTAATGTTATGATATAGCTAATCTTAGTGTCAAAACATGAATTACTTTTCTCGAGAAAAACTTCGAAAACAGCCGTTACAGAGGCAAAACCGTTATAAATCAATTTGCCTCCTTACCATAGTTAATTTATATTTGAACACAAATTATATTTCTATATTCAGCATTATTTACGCAAGCAATTATTGTCAGCATTGAAAATATTTGCTGAACCACAATAAGCGAACGAATCTTAATTGTTTACCTTCACCAAACTTCAACTTCTACAGATTCCCACGGAAAATGAGCACAAGACATAAAAGCTAGCTTTGAAATCCTAAAACCATTAAATATACAATCGGCCAAGACTGAGTCTGACCCGCAGACGAATGGTTCCGTTAATGGCTTGGTTAACAACAGTAGGTGAAATACACATAAATGATTTTTTTTAATTAAATTAGTACCTAGTATATAAATTTATATAAATACTGTCTATAGTTTACGCGAGTAGTACACATTTAAATAAAACACTTTAACGGTTTAAAACGCGATATATTAGTTAAACCTATTTGAAAATGATTTCAACTTCGGCCCGACGTTTCGAATGCTTTGCAGCAGGCGTGGTCACGGGAGACGCTGCTGCAAAGCATCTGTAACGTCAGGTCAATACTTACATTTATGTATCTTTTAAATACTATAAATGCTTTAATGTTACTATTATGCTTCAAATACATGCCCTTCTCGCGCAATGTAACTTACGGATTAAGGTATAATATAATGCCATCATGTGCAATAAATAACATATATGTATAATAAAAAACGCACTATTTATTGATATCGAACAAAACAGGCAATAAACGACCAGTGGGAGCCAAAGTAATCTTTTCATTCGTTTATTTTCATTATTTATATTTATTTGTTGTATACTATAACTGCTTAACTATTGTGGTTCTTGAAAGACAGCCTAGTAAAAGATAGCGAAGGTATCATAGTAGTGATAGAAGGCATTGGTGGTGGTGGTGGCGGTGGTAGTAGCAAAGTTCTGCTTTTGCCCTTTACGTACGGAACCCTAAAATCAATTACAAGTTAGAACTCAAATGATATTTAAGGTAATGGACCTAAAGTCAATGAAATCTAAATATTAGCACAATGTACCGTCTCAAAGAGGCCAGTTGATGCATGAAAAATAACTTCACAGTTCTAATGCGCATGGAGCACAGATTATAAATCGAGGTTAATGTAAACATTTCTTTCACAGATCAATAAAATAAAGTAAAATTTGATGACGGGTCGATTTGTTCGTGCTTTAGTGGGCAATATAGGTACTTTCACTGCACGATTCGTTCCGACATTGCCTACCTTTGTTTTGTACATTTAATTTATGCTATGGAGGAGCTAAGTAAATAACAGTAAATGTGAGCATTTTTTTTAAATAAAACACTTTAACGGTTTAAAACGCGATATATTAGTTAAACTTATTTGAAAATGATTTTTAACTTCCCGTGACCACGGCTGCTGCAAAGCATCCGAAACGTCGGGCCGAAGTTAAAAATCATTTTCAAATAAGTTTAACTAATATATCGCGTTTTAAACCGTTAAAGTGTTTTATTTAAATGTGTACTACTCGCGTAAACTAAATGTGAGCATTTTTATTTCGTATTTTTCAGGTTATAGTAATTCATATTGTTAAGACTTCGAATGTTACTAGACAATGTAGTGACGTGATCTACTATTTTTTATGATAGAGAAGGACTTCACTTGATGGAATCTGAAATAACCTATTATATAACACCGCAACACGATACGCTGTTGACCTATTTTGGCTCTGGATCCACAGAATGTAAACGAAACGAAAATAAAGTTTCACAACTTTACATCTGTGGAAAATTATTTGGTTTATGAACTGAAAAGACAGTGTAACTCTAAACTTTGACTCTAAGCCGTCATTTATCTTTGAGTACGTTCTAATATTTGTTCCCTAATGAAGAAAGCGCTGTAAATAAGTTTCTTTGAACTAAAACTCGGTGGCATGATAAATGGACACTTATTTGAATAGACCAAGACCTATATTTATGCTTGTAGAAACCTCCATCCTAGATTTGTAACTTTTGGAGAGCTGTTGAAATAACTTATAATTATCGTCACTGTTATACCTAATAATTTTCTATTAAAATCTATTTAGATAAAGATGGATGTCTATTATATTCCTGTGTGTAGGATCACGTTCTCGTGTGAAGTTGTAACCAAAATCAGGACCGCGTGGAACATGAACGCAAGACATTCACAATTTAAACAAGGCTCATAAGGGACGTTAAGAATGTTTGCTTGACCTAAGGCCTGATGAGTTCTAGAATAAGATGATGATGAAAACAAAAATCTACTTACTCCACATCAAGGAAAGGAAAGGTGACAGTCTTCCAGAAGTCGTAGCCGTACTCGCAAGTAACTTTGAAGTGCTCGTCCAATTCTTCCTCGATCAACGGGTTGTATTGCACTGTTATCGTGTTCCACATGAGGTTCTTCTACGACAAATATCTTTGATTAAAACACTTTTAAAAGTTTAATTCTTTAAATTATATTTGCTATTTCGTTTAAGCAGCCAATGTCATGGGGGGGTCGCGTTGGCAATCCCCGATGAACTATAAATGGTTTCGGTCGGGCACGACACAGACTGACTTATCTGTAACAGACACAGAAATGTGTCCGCCGGGGAAATTAATTAGAATCATTTTAAATCGTTGCTTAGCATATCGATAGGCGCGAGAGATCCTAAGTTCGATTACAGAAAAAAACAGGGACTGATGATGTTTATGAATATAAGATATGTCTCACCGTGGGATGCTTTCTCGTGTCGTCGTGCTGTCCGTTTCTTCCCAAAGTCCCACAACGATTTAGCTGAATGTAGAACTCATAATAGTCACGACCCGACCCGTTTATGTACATACAGTCGGGATCATACGAATAACCTGCGAGAAAACAGTTAATACATTGAAGGATGCAAAACGAAAGTCCCATTTCAGGCCAAAAGTGGACAATAGACTTGTATGATATTATTTAACTAAATTTAAGATCAACCATATAATTCTTATTACTTTAATTTGATGTCTTCATTGTAAAGTTTAATTTGAAACATAAGTATGTTCTGTCGGTATAAAGGAATGTTTATCTGTGGCCTATGACAGTATGAAAGATGGGCTTCCTCTTTTCAACGTAAATGCAACAAGGTCCAAGGACTTGTCGCAAAATTAATTTAGCATTGTTGTATTTATTTTAATTGTGAATTGTAAAATAAAATTAAACCATATACCGTACCACAAGTTGCCATATTCGTTATTTTATTTAAATAATTATATTTTTAATGTACTTATTTGTTACATAAATCTATTCTATTATATTTTTCAGCTTTAACTAGACCCCATATTTGTGTATTGTTTAGTAATAGTGAAATAATGTAATCCTAAAAATCCGTCTAAAAATAGTGATCGTTAAACAAATAACTTGTTAAAAACATTTAACGTCTTTTTAGGTAAAAAGGTCGCCAATATTTTAACAAGGCGTGTATTTAATTGTTTTCTTAACGCCTATTAAATTAAATTGAATAAAGATGTAATTTCGTCTGTCTGTTGTCGAGTGTTAACAATAGTTATCTCGAAATTTTAATAACGGGAAAATCCGCCTATACAAACATTCTGGTGAATGATATGTTACCTAGTTAATTAAAACCTTAACTCATAGTTTAACTTGTCTCCTTTACCTTACAAATAAGTTTTAAAATTATGAAAACAAGTGTAGAAATTGGTAAAAAAAATACAAGTTTTTAAATAAATGTACAATTCATTCATAGGTACACGCAAACAATGAAATCTTGGAAACCCTCAAATCATCGCATTTTTAATAAGTTTCACGTCTAAATTAAAATTTACTTATAAATAAAACACTTTAACGGTTTAAAACGCGATATATTTTTGTTAAACTTGTTTGAAAATTATTTTTAACTACGGCCCGACGTTTCGGATGCTTTGCAGCAGCCATGGTCACGTGAAATATATTGTGTTTTGTACCGTTAAAGTCTTTTATTGCGTGTAATTTATTTATAAATTTAGGCATTTTATGAAGCTTAGGTTCAAGGAAGAACCTGAATAAGTTTACGTTCCATCGTTTAATATTTATATTGTAGGTACTTTGTTTGTTTATTATGTAAATAAAGAAATGGCAATCGGTACCTACCAGCCTCAGCGCTGCTGCTTTGTTTGTTTGTTTGAACGCGCTAATCTCAAAAACTACGGGTTCGAATTGAATAAATATTTTTGTGGGATAGAGCATTTATCGAGGAAGGCTATAAAACACCGCCCTGTGACAAATACAAGAAAAGATACAGCGAGGTATCCGAGGCGTAAACTGCAAAAAGATTCAAGATACCCAAAAAAAATGTATAAAGAGTGATTCCTCTTTAAATGATCTAAAAAAAAGCCGCGAAGCTATATGTCTATCTTTTGAGATTATCTTGCAAGAAGGACGGGAAGGAGCGCGACCGACCTCGTGGAAAACAGCTTAGTCTATAAAGAATAAAGATGAAGGGAATTGCAAAGAGAAAATTGTATGCTCAAAATAACGATTCTCCCGGACGGAGTCGCTGACACAGCTAGTGCTTGATACACGCAGGTTGGTTTTTAGCCTGGCATTAAATTGTTGACTTATATTGGCCTCGGTCATATTGACGGCTGAAATGACCAAGGCTATAAAAATTGATAAAAACGGATTACACTTCCCAAATGTAATGCAAGAATTACCTGCGGAATAAACTAATCCCGAAAACGAACCGTTGAAACCGACCCGTATTTTCATGAAGTCATCTTGGCATTCCGCTTCAATATCTGAAAGAAAACGGCCCTGTAAAGTTCCCATACTAGCTTGACGTGAAAATAAATTAAAAGACACTTTTCCTTGGTAAAGTTACGTCTAAGTTATTAAAACAAAAGAGTACCAAAATTCTTTTAATGTTGACACTTTATTATAACCAAATTAAACGTCGGGTCATAGTTATATTCGTTATTCAACATTAAATTGTATTTTAACTCATTTAAAAGTATTAAGTATAAGAATGGTTGTGAAAACAAGCGTCAAGCAAATCGCCTTGTAAATATCGATAACATCGTTATTTTTCCGGTTTCGTAACAATACGGTAAGTGGGAAATCCGCCGCTTACAAACCCATCATATAAATGCCCGAGAGGACCTACGGCAACAATGATAAATTTAAAATGATGATTTGATTTAGCGGTGTATATGTTAAATCTTATTACCAATTTTGTGCATGCGAGCATATAGTTTGCTCTAAATTTTTCGTTACATATCCGATTTTCTGCCCCCTTTTGCGTTATAATATTATCGACTAATATTGAGTGCAGATAAATAGCAACATAAATACAGAATTTTTTTAATAAACTACTTTAACGGTTTAAAACGCGAAATATATTAGATTAACTTGTTTACAAATTATTTTTAACTACGGCCAGACGCAAACCATGGTTGCCGTAAAGCATCCGAAAATATTTTGCAGCAGCCATGGTATGAATAATCCCCCGTGAGCACGGCTGTTGTAACAATTTTAAATAGTAAATTTCGCGTTTTGAACCGTTAAAGTTTTTCATTTAAATATGATCTACTGGTGTAAACTAAAACAGTGTATAAATACAGGAACTTAAATAGCAAATTAGATTTAAAAATGTAAACAAAGTTTTGTACAAAGGAGTTTGTAATTCATATTAAAAGATGAATAACGAATACGTTTATTAAGGAACGTAAAACTTACATTGCACTCGGCTGCCATTGGTGCGATGTCGTCTGTACTCACGCTCCCACGCCGGAGGTTCCCGCCAAGCCACCTCCGAGGAGGGCGAACGAGGTTTTATACTCACAGGGATGTAGTTGTTCTTATCTGACAGAAACACCTTTAACAAAGATATATGTTGTACCTAATGTTTAATATAGTATACGTAATAAACCCCCCCACGATTTAACTCAACAAAGAAAAACGCACACCAATAAACGAGAGGACACCGTAATGTTAGGAGCAAGCTAGTTTCACCAAATACTAATTACGAAAAAACAGATGGCGCTAGCGTAGCAGATTTGAGAATGACATTTTGAGAGACACTCTGCCATCTTCAGTCACCCCACTTTCGTGACCACTGTTGCTAAGTTTCGAAGTTGTCAGGTCATATAAATAAATAAGTTTCGCATTTTAAACCGTTAAAAGTGTTTAATATTATTGTCTAATACTAGTGTAACTACAGACAGGGCTAAGTGTTTACTTTACGGTTAACTTCAAGTTCAAATCGTGATTGGTACAGTCGCGTAATTGTGTACAATGTTTATTGCAGATAAAAGTGGTACATTTATAGAAATAAAATTCAAACTTTTTTTGTTACTTCTTGGTGTTAATACTACCCTGAACGTAAAACATTTACGCCTAAAGGATGGAACAAGGAAATAATTAAAATAATATTAATATATGCAGATTGTACAATACTGAAATGAACTGTCGATACGAATAGTAATCGTTAATTTTCTTATTTCCCGGGAGCCCGTGAACATGCAACACAGTTGCGGAACTGATAGCCCTGAGATAAGTCTCTAACCACCTCTTTCCTGCAAACGCGACTTTTGAGCACCTTCAATCATCAATCGCTCTACATAACATACAAGCTGTACCTGCGGTGTTCCCTCTTTCATTTGTTACTAAAAATATTTCAAGTCAATTTAAATAAGTATTTTCTGTAGTAAACGCGGGTAGTACACATTTAAATAAAGCACGTTTTTACGTTTTAAAACGCATTATATACTAGTTATCTTATTTACAATATATAACTACGGCATGACGTTTCGGATGCTAACAACAGCCGTGGTCAGAGGGGCACTCAATTGTCCCTAAAAAACTTAAAATCAACTAATATATTTCGCGTTTTAAAACGTTAAAAGTATTTAGTTAAAATCAGTTCATATAATAAGAAATTGGATTGGCTTATGATAACTTTTTTTTTACCTCGAAATAACTATTAAGTTACACGTACTTTACACTTATAACCGTTTTGGTAGCGCATGCGCATATAATTCCTTATAGTAATTTTTTTACCCGTTTCTGTAAATTATTGTATTGTTTCCCTTTATTTATCGCAGCAGGTAATCAAATGAGTAAACCTGGAAACCGACCCTTGCTACATGCCTGGATTAGCTCGACCTTTGCATTTTGAATAAGGTTCCTTCACAATCAGTTGCTCATTTGTAAACATGAACCGAGAGACAATCAACCAAATACGCCGTTTAGATTTTAGAAAATAGTACAATAGAACAGCTGTGACCCAAAAATGTTGAAAAGCAATAAAGAAACAAATTGATTCAAATTACTCAATTATCTATACGTTAAAGATTCAAACGAACTATCGATAACTGATTCTAATGTACCATTTCGCCGTCACGACCCTAAGCAATGCAGAAAAAAGTGGATAATTGTGAATCTGATAAGTGTGCCAGGGCGGTTCGCACGGCGTACTCTCCACGCATTATAAAAATTGGGCCAGCAGACCAACATTCCGACGACCTTGTCGCCACTCTATTAAAGTAGATACAAAACGCGACCAAGCGCGAGTCGGCTTTCGAAGGGTTCAGTGCCATGTATAGAAATAGAATATTTTTCACATGTGTTATTATAAAAATTAAAAATTATATTTTTAAAATAAAATAAAATAAAAATTAAAAATTATATTTTTTAAAGAGTTTAACGTTTGAAAACATTAATTTTTGTCTGTCTGATTTTCTTAAGCTGCAAAGCGTGACACATTGTACCTGAATCTGCAAGCAATAAGGTTGAAATTATATTGCGCGAAAGGTTCAAGGCGTATTAATAGGTTGAAATTATTCGAAGATAACGTGTAGGACACGATAGCTCAATTGGTTATAGCAACAGCACGTTATGCTGTAGATGCCGGTTCAAGTCCACTAATGTCTGTGAATAAGTCATTGATGAAAATCAACAATACGATTTATAAAACAGTTGTTGCGTTTTACTCTATGACCACGGAACTCCAATAAAATCTATTTCTCCGCACGTGCAAATTACCCGAATTCAGAACACGACATATTGGCCCGTGCTAGCTTTCGTTTATTTTTGAATAAGTAGCAATTTAATATTTACGAATCCATTATTGTTTTCTGATGAAATGCCGAAGATAATGCATCAAATCTTTTGAGCACTCCATTATTATTAAGTGAAGTCTTTTTTTTGTAACCCATCTTAAATTTTCTTCATTGCGTCTTAATATTACTAAAATGCATTATCAAACTTTATTTATTTCATATTCAAATACTAAAAGTGTAAAATTTTTACGTATATGTAGAACAATTTTTGATACACATCTTGAGAATGAACCGACTTCCAACATCATCCATTCGAGTTTACATGACACAGACAAAATTTATCTCTTTAACTGTGAAATAAACACTTGACGGTTATAAAATTTGTAAAATTACTTGCATTTATTTTTAAGTACGACCCCACGCTTCCGAGACCCGAGATGTCGCAACGTAGCTAACAATAAATTTAAACCGTTAAAATAGTTTTATTTATTTGGTTATTTGTGCGTTGTCTTTTTTTTTAATTTTCTTTTATAATTAGATTAACTATTTACTTTATATTTATGAAATTTAATGCCTAATACTCTTATAAACTACAATAGATATATTCTTTGAAGTTTAAATAAAACACTTTAACGGTTTAATACGCGATATATTTTAGTTAAACTTATTTAAGCTGCTGCAAGGCATCCCAAATGTCAGGCCGTAGTTAGTTGAAATAAGTTTAACTAATATGCATCTTCTTTAAAATCTTTAAACTGTTTTATTTAAATGTGTACTAACCGCGTAAACTACAGACAGTAATCTTTGAAGTTGTTTATGTAAGTAAAGTTGATTCTGGACGAAGTAAAGCGTAAACAACTCTAATAAATGTGGGAGACTTGCGACAAAGGAAGTACACGATGCAATTCCAATCAAATTCGTTTCAATTGCGATTTTATGGGAAGGTAACATTATATGTAGGGCAGATAACGCGAGCCGTTCATGGTTTGCGTGCAGTAACAGCTACTTTATCACACGCCGCGGCGTCGGGTCAAAGATTCGTATCTCGCGCACTAATATCAACATAGTAACATACTATTCTCACGGTGACTACGCGTTTATTATCTCGTAATCGAGTAAAAGCTCGAAATGAATGCACTTGAACTAACAACACGACTTTTGAACTAGTTTTTATTAGTTCATTTTTATTAATAGCTGTGTCAGCGACTTTGTAGTCGACCGCGTAGAATTGTTATTTTGGGCGTACACATTTGTTTTTGCAAACCTCCTCTACATATTTATAAGTTAGTTTAAGTCGTTCTCGCAAATTAACCTAATAATATAGAAATTATTTATTTATTTATTCATTTATACATAAAGCATTTACAGCAAGAGCCAAAACATGCAGTACGGGAAAATTAGCTAGGAATCTTATCTAAGAAATATAAGCATCTAGATTTGAAAGACCCTGGATTTACATTAAATATATCATGTGCGCTAGTTACTGCTAGGAATTTATTCAACAAACGAATAGTACTTTGTGTTGGAGCCATGTAAGCCAAAAAATTATTATATAAGTTAAAGAGGAATCATCCTTCCATACATATATTTTGGGTATCTTGAACCGTTTTTTTTCACATTCTTCGCCTTCCACCCACCAAAAATGTTTTTTTAATTCGAACCAAAATCTAATATTATCTGCAAATATAAATTATGAAATCAAATTGCGTAACAACTATGATGACACTGCACTCAAAGTAATTGTACTCGAAATAACATTTTAGGTAAATACAAAAAACATAAGTTACTAAATAATAATTAATTGGTTGTAACGCAACTGGAATTACGAAAATGCTTATTATACTAGTTTTTAATTACTCCGAGTAAATGATGGTAGCGTATGGTGTTATTGTATATTGCATAAACTACCGGTGGCCTTCTATTGGAGTTTAGTAGTTCAGTTAAGGCTTGTGTAAGCGAAACACAACTGACGCATGAAAATTAATCTTTTGTATATTATTCGAATCGTTACTTAATCAAACATACGCAATGTCTTTGTTAGCTCTTTTGATTTAGTGAGCAATTAAAACTATGAAAAATTGCACATCTATCCTAATATATAAAAGCTGAAGAATTTATTTGTCTGTTTGAACTCGCTAATCTCAGGAGCAGTAGGTTCAAATTGAAAAATTGTTGTATTGGTTAGAGCATTTATCAAGTAAGGCTCTGGCCTATAATACATCGCGCTGTGACTAATAAGAGCAAAGAATGCAGGATTAGTATTTGGAGTAACTTATAATATTAGCGTAACGTAGAAAAGAACTAACATTATGACATAAATATATGTAACTAACGTTTATGGCAGCGCACGCCAGAATAATGTTATAGCTCACACAATATCTTATAGATTGTAGCCTATGTGTTATTATGTATAAGCTATATTATTGGAAAGTTTAATTGAAATCCATTCAGTAGTTCTTGCGTGTAAGAGTAACAAACATCCATCCACACATACAAACTTTCACGTTTATAATATTGGTAGGATATGTTTCCGATGCCTACGCTGCGAAAACGGTTTAAGATTTCCCAAAAATATGTATGAAAGAATGATTCCTCTTCAATCGATCTAAAAAAATGTCTGCGATACGATATGTCTACATTTTAAGATAACCTTGCCAGAACAACGGGACGCGACCGACGTCGTAGAAAACAGCTTAAATTTATAAAGATGAAGAGGTTGGCAATAACAAATTCTGATACCCAGAATTCGCGCGATGAAGTTGCTGACACAGCTACAGAACAAGATTTAAAATAGTTTTTTTTACAAGAAATGTCGCAAACACGGATCACAAATCTACCACGTACAACGTACCACGGTATTTCTCCATCATAATGGAAATTGTAACAAAACAGTATCTTCAAAATGTTTATAACTTTGTATGCAAAAAAGAGATATCATAGTTTTCGCCGTTAGTATAACACCAAGTCACTTATTCTGGCCCTATACACGCTTAAAGTAACGCAATAATGCGGTTTTAAGTTATTCAAGAGAAACGTTTTTGCACCCGAGCGAAGCCAGGGTGGGTCGCTACACTACAAGTATCAGTGCTCAACAGATAAGAACGGTTTTGATTATGGTAGTTTTTCCAAATTCCAACTACGAGAAAACAGATGGCGTTATGTTAACAGGTATGACATTGACATTAGTTCAGTTAACAGTTGTCAGTCTGCAAAACCATCCGAAATATCTGGTCGTAGAACTTGTCTTATCAGATATATACATTCTTTTAAATACCGTGAAAAACAAAATAACAATATTAATTCATACTATCACATCTTGCCATTCCTCATTGGACACATGACATTGGCAGAATCCATTAACAATGGGAAAGCCATCAAATAAAGAAGAAGAAGATGTCTGGTCGTAATAAAATAAATTGGAAATAAGTAAGTTGACTAATATATTTCGCATTTAAACCGTTCATGATGTTTTATTCGAATGTGTACTTCAGGCGATACTCAACTTTCTATGACTATTTCTCTGGTAAGAGGTTAATTTGAATTGAAGCTTGAAAGACCCTGCTTAAATACTGTCTATAGTTTACGCGAGTAGTTCACATTTAAATAAAACACTTTAACGGTTTAAAACGCGATATATTAGTTAAACTTATTTGTCTCCCCGTGACCACGGCTGCTGCAAAGCATCCGAAACGTCGGGCCGAAGTTAAAAATCATTTTCAAATAAGTTTAACTAATATATCGCGTTTTAAACCGTTAAAGTGTTTTATTTAAAAGACCCAGCTTAATATTTCAAAGTCATTATTAAAAATTAAATGTTTAATTAGCTTACCGGATCTTGTTCACTGCCATCTGTTTTAAGAGCGTCCCTCGTTTGATTCTAAAATAAGAATGCATCTTATAAGATTATTTTAGTCGACTGTAGACATTCACTTTTTAATTAAAATAGGCATCTCAAGAAAAAGTACAGTTTGTGAAAGTACATATAATACTGGGACTTGACTGAGAATTCTATATTAAAAAGGGGAAAACACACATGAAGTTTCATGAAGAATGTGTTGTCGACTTTTGTGGCTTTGCGTAAAAAAACACTTAACCCGAAATAGCCAAAATCGATAAGGTCGACAGTGCATCTTCTATAGATGTTATATGGCTTGGGTATTTCATCTACCAAGTGTACCCCGTGCTTCTCTCCTCCTGTATCATAAAAATGCGGATTTGGACTTTGCTTTCCTATCTCATAGTACTGTGATAAATGTTACCTTTATCTTCGTGAACACCGGTTGTGGTTCGTCACCGGAACCTTCATGTAGCTCTGAAGATAATGCATTGTCTGTTGAAAATTCTGACGACTCCGCCGAAGATTCTTGTGAAGATCGAGACACTGCGTTCGCATTCTACAAAAAACAATGTCCATGTGAAAGTGAAATATCGTTTCCCCTCGTGAAGCATGGGGCGAACATATTTCTGTGTCCCTTTCGTTGTTCGGTCTGTACTGTTTCCCCGGGATTCGAACCTAGAACCTCTGGCGCTTAATACAATGCTAGGCAGCTACCGAGGCGGTCAATTCTTAATAGAGTGTAGGAATATTTACAGAAGGATACATAAATTAATACATTATCAATTGCATGACGTCATGCGCTAACTTATGAAATATGTACTATATTAAAAATAAGTATTTATAAACTTACGTTTAAAAAGAGTAGACTGCACATAAAAATAAATCTGAAACAAAATATTTAGCAAATTATTTATACCTACTAGGTTAATTTAATTTATTTATTTATTTTAAGGTTAAATAGTACAGTACAAGAATCATCCATACATCAAAGAATAATATTAACATAATTTCGTCGCATTTTTTTTACTATTTATTATCTCTTGATCAACAGCTTAAATGATATTGAAGCATTCGTTGGTTTAAAATAAATTACGCGTTGAAGGCTTAAAACTGTTACATAAACACTTTAGCGGTTTAAACACGAAATATATTAAATCAAACTTTCGAAAACTTTATTACATATTGCACATGAAGGCACTATATAATTTTTTAAAATCAAAAATGAATTGAAAAAATGTTCGATTCGGGCATGACTTGAACCGGCATCGTCAGTGTTCCGTGCTGTTGCTCTAATTGAGCTACCGAATAACCTACGGCTCGACGTTTCGGATACTTCGTAGCAACCGTGGTCACGGGGAGACCAATAAGTTTAACTAATATATTTAGCGTTTTGAACCGTTAAAGTGTTTTATTTAAATGAATACTCGTAAACTACAGACAGTATTTGACATAAAAGTGTTTAAAGCCTTTTTCTAATTTAAATAATTGTAATTATTTGTAAACATTAGCAATCGAATTTTGAAAAATATACGCATATAGTGTAGTCATTTAGATTAAAAACTCACACAAATAAATGCCTTTCGTTAATAGTGCTACCAAGTCATAAATCTAATATGTAATTTAAAGAGACATTTTCTCACACAATCTTACAGACACCGAGTAAAATTTGATCGAACGAATCGTGACCCACCTTACAATTTGCAAACGTAAAAAAATTAATGTAACTAAATATAAAGTAGCGAAAACACGCGGAGTCGTGACGCAGACATTATAGGGCATTTGGAATAATATTCATAATGACGGGTCAAATGACAGTCGGGATCAATACGTTCCTATCTACGAAATTGGTCCGGTGGCTCGAAGGGTAATTCGCTTTTGTATTACCGACGTAATGAAATTTCGGATTCATCGTTTAGATTATAACGGTGCGCAACCGCAGACTTTTAATGTACATCGATACGAGTGTATTGAATTAATAAATTGCCTGGTAGACGGATTTATTAACATTTAAGTAGTTTTACGATTTTTTTAGTTTATCATCAGCGTATACGAAAACTCACTGTGAAACAAGTAAGTCAAATATTGGTAACGATATTGTTAATATAAATACTTAACGGTTTCAAACGTGATTAAAATAATTAATTTAGTTTTAGTTTAGAGCTAATGTTTTTTTAGTCCCACTGTACCAACGGCCGCTTAACATAACGTCAAGAAAAATTAAGTAATATATTTTAAAAGTTTGAACCTGTTAAAACAGTTTATGAATATCTTAATTCACAACACGCCTACACTATAAACATACATACAAAAGTTTTAAGTACAATAATTACAATCATGTCGGCGGCGTCGACAATTATCATCAACGTAAACATATCTGTTTCTATCACTTATCGATTTTCTTTACAAATTAGTAGATCGAGTTTTGATTAAACTACAAGCCAAGTGTTAACATCAATGTATGTTAAACAGATGGCGCTAGCTAGCTATATGGCTTTATAATAAGGACATCCTCACCCCAATGCATACCTATTTTGCCTTTGTTACGAACACACCGATTTAGACCGTATTGTATCAAATTGTCTCCCAGGTCTACGCTTAATTAACATAAATTGTCATTGCGCAACGCCGGTAAAAAGTGACCAAATCACTTCAAGAAGTGGTCACGCACTTCCTCGTCGATCCTCGCACGATTGCATAGAGCTTATGGCTTAATGATAATTTACAATAAGCTTCCCAGCGCAGTCGTCGACCTTTGCGCGTTCAAGCGTCGCCTGATTATCCTTAATGCAAGGAAAATGCACAAGATCTATGCTCCAGCTTTCCACGAAGTGAAAACATTGAAGACGGCTAGGCAATCGTTACTCCATTGTTTTATATACCTTGTAATGTGTATTGGGAATAATGGTGCCGTATAATTTATATATGCATATTTTTTGAGCAATGTATTGCTTATAATCAACGGGTCGTGGATTCAATCCCGACTGGATCCAAGGTGTTTCTTTTTTTTTTTTTTTCTGAACCGACTAGTGAAACTACGTTTGGAAATCTGAATATTAAATGGGTGATAGAACACAAATGAATATCAAAGATTAATATAGTAGATCTGGATATTAAGTGGCAGGGGGGGGGGGGCTCCCACATAATATCCAGATTTTTCAGAAAAAGTACAACGAGTTTTGAAAAAATTACAGGTTGATTAGAAACATGACTAGAATGAACCAGAATTAGAAACCACTGGGGATCAAACCCGCCATTGAACCCACTATTGAACCAACGAACTCAACCAAGTCAAAATACTCAACATATACAAATAATTTCAAAGTATAGTACTACCGAAATTCTATACCAAAATGCCAGATTTCAAGCGATTAATTTGAGCAAGCAAGTATCCGGATCATTTAAAGTAAATTAATCGTATCGAATCGAACAGTCTTTGTAACGCTAGATATTGTAGTTCAGTCCGTGATCAAATTTCGACCGTTACTTTCGGGAATTTCGTTGTTTTAAATAGATTAGATAGCTGTGTATCTCAATAATTATGACATTATGACCTTTACTTCCAGAATGCACATTTCGGTTGATCGGTATCAACCGCTACCGCGCCTGGAATTCCGTCCCGCAACCTTGTTACTTCCACTCGATTCATTATCTACTATGCCAACGAATAAGTTAATACAAATAAATATAATTTACAAATACGTTCAGTGTCTCTCAAACACACATAACTTTAGTTGTAAAGTTTAAGCGTTGAAGGTTTTAAGTCATCGAACGCTGTTAAGAACGCGTTGAAGTCTTTTTAATGAAGATTTCAAGAATACTAACTTACAGTGCGTTATTGTTCTTTTCGTTATCCTTAATTTACCTAACAGTAACTTAAAGTTATATATATTTGGAGGTGAAAGAATAGGCTAACATAAAAAAGTAGTAGCAAGTAGTAATTATAAAATAGTAATTTAAAATTACAAAAAGAGCGGCCTCAATGTGTTTCCTAAAACATCGACAATTTCGATGACCTCGCAACGCTTCCTTCCAGAGCAATTTTATATTACAAGGGCGTCATTATAATAACAATAACGTTACTTATGCAACTTTTCGGCATTATAATATCAAACGGAAGTTGGTATTTAAATTATATTAGACTAAAGAAATATAGTATTGACTTTTTACATCCATAGCTTAAACGCTGTACTTGTAAAAAGCTACAATTATATCTAATTTGGTAATACTAAATTTATAATTACTGTAATAGGTAAAAATATTGGTTGTTCAGGTAGACAATGTGTCATTTTATTACTAAATACTATTAAACCTGTTTTATTTAGTCATAACAGACACTGAAAATGCGCAACTATGATACTAATTTCTAATGTGGTAATTATTTTAAAGTGTTTTATAGTATTTTCGAAATCAAAAATTTCCCTGCGTGTAACATGGAGTACATATTTTTCTGTGTCTGCTTAAAGTTATTTCTTTATTCAAAGGAATGGACTTCTATACATTGCTGAAACGCAACTATTTGACTTTGGAATATTGCGCTTGTCTTTACTAGCTCTAGTACCGTCTGTTGTTTATGTGAGAACACATTTAATCAAAACACTTTGACGGTGTCTCCCTGCTGCAAAGCACCCGAAACATCGGACCATAGTTAAAAATATAACTAATATAAATCGCGTTTTAAACCGTTCAAGTGTTTTATTTAAGCGGTCCCATTGAACTCTAGAGTAATTTCCGAAACATTCTATCAGTGTACCTAAAATCATAAATGGAAATAATCGCAGCCGACACCGGAACGAACCGTTAACCGCTGACATAGCACGGGCCACGGCTCGTATGACAAACGCTTTACACCTAGTACCGAACCGCAGTAATTACCCGAGAGCGACTTTACCGTACTTTTTTTACTCTTCTTTCGATCTGAAAGGTCAGGGCCTTCCTTGGCTCTAGTAAATAACAATCTTTGGTGGACATAAAAAGGTTATATAAAAAAAAATCTTCATTACTAAGTAGCTAATTGGTAGGAATAAAAGATATTTTTGGGACATATATAGTTTTATACTAACAAGTAATTTAAAAGGTTACCTTACCTTGGATGATTATTACCATTAATTATGTTGTAAATTTATATTTTAGGCTAATAGTGACACAACAACAGCTCGCTAACAGTTTTAATTAAACAGATTATTTACCTAGTTTAGACAAGGAAGAAATGTTAATATGTTAGGCATTTATTTATTTATTTATAAAGAGGAGCACAGACAAGCATACATAGGAAGGTTATGTCAGGAATTGTCCGTAGGTACTAATGCAATAGTTGATGGTTTTACTTTTGCGTTAGATCGGTTTGCTGAATACATAATGCGTCGCTGCTATATACAGAAAATCAAGCCCAGAAAAATGCAATTTCAAGAAACGTACCACAGACGTAACTCAAAATTAATTTACACTGTTGATTTGTATGAACTAAAACAATCCAAGAGGTCAAAGTTTTTCGAAGCAATTACAGTTATTACACCGCAGACAATATTGACAGACTGTCTTTGTATTATAAAGAGATTACCACGAATTATTCGTTTAACCACAAAGAAAGGTCGCGCTGAATCTTTTATTTACCACTAAAATTGTATATTCCGAATCATTGAAAGCAAATAATCACAGCGGTTATACCATTGAAGCGTAGCGGGGTCACAGAACTAGTACAAATATAATTTTATTCGCGAAACTTATAGGCAGTCAGCCTTTTATTTGGAATTCGTTTTTTTTGGTTGCAATTTTTCGCTTTTTTTAACCTATAGAAGAAAATGTCCTACATCTAAGCACAGACTATATCATAGCAGGGTTTAAGAGTTAGCTTAAAATGGAATAAAATAATATGACACAATAAAGTTATTACGTAGGTATTAAATAACAGAATCATATTAGATATATTATAATTCAATCAATTTAATATCAATTTAACTGAATTAAACACCGCGTTTATAATTGCATTTATTTTTATACAACAAATTTTAATTAGTCTTTAATTAAGGTTTTCATATATTTTAAAGAAAAACGCCTTTCCTATATAAGCCTCATCTAAGAGTTATTTTTTTCTTTTTCTTTGTATTGTATTGCGCGATAAATTCAAAATTTCAATTTCAAATAAAGTAATATATTCTCTATGAAAGTAATTTTCAATCAATGAAAAAAGTATTAAAAAAACGTTTTTCAAATATATATCTATACTTAGTTAAATGGTACACATGAATATAAAATACTGTTAATAGTAAATTAAATTTTTATTTAATAGCTATTTTTACTCTATAACCAATTCTCTTTTTAATATTTCTCTGCTGTTGTTTAATTTCTAATTATTCTATAAATACAAATAATCACTCTACTTACTTAGTAATAAGCACCATTTTGCACTAGCACTCACACATTACACTACACCGAATATTTAGTATATGGCAACACTGCAGTGAAGCACGTGTTTGGTCAACGACTGTTGCAGAAGTGATGACCGAAGGCGGTACAGCCTCCGATTGTCTTGGGGCATTCTCTTGTTGCTTCAGTCGCGGGCCTTTCATAATGCCGGTGCCATATAGAAAGATATACTTTACATTTTTTCTGTTTTATTGTACATAGGGGTATTCCTCGCGGCTCAATTGTATATTATATTATAGGTCCTAGGTTGATTTCCAAAAAAATAATTAAATGACATCTTGTTATAAGTAAAATTAACCAGTGAAAGAGACACATGTGTGTCTCCTTGTGTTTAAACCTTTTTATTGCCATTAAAAATAATCTAATTTATAGGTACAAAATAGTTAGCTAGATAATTATAACTTACGTATTGTTGTGCTATATTGCATTTTATAAAGACTGAAATATTGTTTAATTTATATCTAAAAATATAAATAAAAAATGTTGCACTGTGAAAAAAGGTTTACACGCAAGACTCAAACCCCTTAAGTTAGTAAAGTACACAATACATCGTGAGTTTGTGTCGCACTTTTATCATCTATTATAACGTTTTTTAAGTATCAAGAAAAGATATCACGAAGAAAATTATAATCACTAATACACACCGTATAAATCATTTAAAAACGGTAGAATTTTTATCGACAACAATTTAAAAGCCAGCTGTGTCAGGTGTTACAATTTATTATGCGACCAAGATACAGTACATTGTGTTATCAAATACATTTTATTCGATTGCAAATCTATAATAATTTAACACAATATTAATAGAGGTAACCAAGATATGTTCCCAAATTTTTCATAATCAATTTCGTAAATACGTGAGGCGAGTTGTTCTCTAACGATTTTTAATTAAAAAATCCCGTACCGATGAGTCGTTCCAGTCTGTACACAAGGTTGAAAAATACCACAAGCGACGTGATAGCTATAACTCCGATCGTAAGCTTCATCGGCCTGAAAATAAAATGTATTTAAAGAGTCGTCTTAAATTAGACAAAAATGACACGGGCGAGATTCGAACCCGCTGTTGCTTCGGAAAGTGTGTTACTGTAACGTGTTTGTGATCATTGGATTTTTAATCCATTTATACACCCTCCGCGTAAAGGCATATAAGAATGTATTTCTGCTTTGCAGAATCCGAGATCTAGCACATTTTAAACGAGTATATATTTGTTGAAAATAAAATACACCAATTATTGCAACTCATATATTAATATACCGATTAATATTTTTATATCGATAGTATAATATATTATTTATTATGGTTGACAGATTTTATGAGTGACGAATGTCGTAAAAAGCGCAAGCGCAATGTTTAAAAATCATTTAAAATATAACGACATAATATATTAGTTAAGCATATTTGAAATTTATTTTAACTACCGCCCGACGTTTGTCATCAGTCGTGGTCTCGGGAAGACTTCGGGCCGTAGTTAGAATTATTATCAAATAAGTTTGAATCAATTTAACCGTTAGTGTTTTATTTAAATATGTGCTACTCGCGTTAATTACAGACAATTTTTAATCAATTCAAATATTAAAATAAACAAAGATGGCGTTATCAACATCGCTATCCTCTTGATTGTCTTGTTAAGTGTAGATGACAAGACGCAGTCCGTCATTAGCCCATGCGCATAATTAGCGATTTTTATAGAGATTGTCTAAAATACTAACCCATCTGCATTGTGAAAATAAATGGCACTCCACAGAGCATAGTAAATGAGCTGCATATAACAATATATAAGGTAGTATAAAGCTACTGCGGTCGTGGTTACAGAGAACTGAAGTAGTTGCACCAACTCCTGTATTAATCTCCAAGGCTTACTAACACCCTAAAATACAAAACATAACTTAAATTTATGGGCTTGACAGACATCAATTTATAATATTAGTCGTACAGAAAACTAAGAAAATAAGTTGATTTTCTACTTTTTTGTTCTTAGTTCTCCATAAAGCGAGAGATTACATTTAAAAAAGGGTATATACATAATACGACGAAATATATATTACGTTATTGGGTAACATTTGCTAACTTTAAAATAATCAATTCTGTTTATAGACTTCATTTAGATTTTACACTTAAATGAGAAACTTATAACTACTTAAATAAGAAATAATTAAATTTCATCACGCGGGTAAATAAATTCTTGCGAACTATAAGCAGCCTGTACGGTAACATCTGGCTGATACGAGATTTTCAACTTCACTTCGGCTAGTTAAAATTAAACTAAAAATCTAAATGTGTAAAGGATAAAAATGATGGAATGTTTAAATTGCGCATAAAATTCTTAATACAACACATTGACCGTCTCTTAGTGCAATATTTAAACCTGTAGGACACATCATATTTTTGTGGCTGTAAATAAAAGCGATTAGTGACGGAGACAAGAATTTACTTAATTAAATAGTTCAACATTATTTAAAAACTGTGATGTCGGTCTTGAAAAACATAGGTTTCATTAAATCTTTATCATCATGAATATAATACAAAAAGCTTCGTCACAAATAATGCTTCAAAATAATTCTTGCATAGCACTTTCCGTATGAAATAGTTTCGCAGGTAATTAAGTTGCTCTTGATGCTAACCTAGAGATTGTTATCAACGAGAACATAATAATTATCTCTAAACAAACATCGCTTTGACCTAGTTAGCGCCAGTGTCTTGTTTTCATTTCATTTCCTATGAAAAATCATTAATGCGAATACAGAACCAATAAAAGTAAGCATAGGAAATATTTTCTTTAGTATAGTCTGTAGTTTAAAATTTTAACGGCTTAGAACACGTTATTTATTTCCTAATGTATCTACACTAAAACATAAAGCGTTTGTTTGTTTACACGCACCAATCTCAAGAACTACTGGTTCGAATTGAAAAATTCTTATTATGTTGATTAGAGTATTTATCAAGGAGGGCTTTAGACTATGATACATCCCGATGCGACATCCAAAAAAATATGTATGAATGAATTGTTCCTCTTTAAATGATCTAATAAAAGACAGCGCGGACGAAGTCATTAACACAGCTAGTTACGTACAAACCGATATTTTAGTAGCCATGGTTACGGATGGAAAGTACACAAGTCGTAGGTAAACCATTAAGGAAAGTTCGTATTACATATAAGGACTTAACAGGAGAATAATAAAAAAAAAACTCACGAATTACGTAAGACGTTGCTCGCTATTTTATAACCGAATTCCGATCTTATCGCTATTCACGATTCAAGATATAGATATAGCCTTTTAAGGCAAAACTCATGAAATTAGATAAACGTAAGTTAAAGCTTTACCTAAGGTTAGATATAATAAAAATCTAAGACATACCTAGCATCTTATATGATGAACTTGATTACAGATCATAACCAAATCTCTAACTACGATCATATCTAAAAATTAAAAACTGTAATTTTGTAAGTAACGTAACGTTATAAGACTGAATGAAATATATGTAATTGGCCTATCTGTACTATACTCTATACTAATATATAAAGCTGAAGAGTTTGTTTGCTTGTTTAAACGGTCTAATCTCAACAAGTACTGGTTCTAATTTTTGTATTATCTAGAACATTTATCGAAGAAAATTTTAGGAAGACTATAGGCTATAAAACATCGCGCTGTGACTAATAGGATCGAAGATACAGCAGGATATGTGAACAAAACGGGGGAAAATGTTCGACTGTGTTATTCCGATGCGTACGCCGCGATAATGGTTCGAGATAACCAACAAATATCTAGCAAAGAATGATTCCTCTTTAAATGATCTAAAAAAAAGCCCGGGACGCCATATGTCTATCTTCTAAGATTAACTTGTAAGAATGACGGAAAGGGACGCGACCGACATCGTGGGTGCTTAATTTTATAAAGAACGAATTGGATGACCAAAATAAATATTCTTAGCGGACGAGGTCGCTGGCACAGCTAGTGATTTATATAATGAGCTCGAGCTGAAACTCAAAAATGCTTTAGCTATGAATAAGTACTTAATATTATTATTTTAACTAGCGTTATATATAACCGATTATAGTGATTTTTAAAAATTATATCCAAACATTGTGCTAGCCAAAGTTTTTATATAAAAAACAACTAACACAGAAAGAACGAATTCAATGTTCAAGCACTTTAAAAGCTTACCTTCTTTAAAGGTACGTCTTTTTCCAAAGACCTTAGTCGTGGTCTAGTGATCTCATCTGCTTGACTGAATGGCGGATGGTTAACTTGTGTACAATACGCGGATATGCATGTGTGTTTTAACTAAAAAAAAGAAGTTTAATTAACATACATCTTAACAATAAGAATTATTTAACACTTGTATAGCTTATTAGTCTTTATGACAGACGCCAGACAAACATGGGGTGACTTAGTGAACGATGCGCAGTCGGCCTATTTCGGCTTTGGACATTCGCAAATCGGCTTTTCCATCTGTTAAGTTGTCCGTAAAAGGAACGTTCCCGATATTTGTAGCATTTAATATCTGAATGTTCCAGATTTCGGTCGGATTTTGGACTTCCAACGAGTGATTAAAAATCGATAATAGATACAAAGAATTAACGACACACAGAGGTGCATGCATCAATTGGTTAGAGCAAGAGCACGGAACGCTGTGTAAGCCGGTTCTAGTCCTGTCTGTGTCGTAATTTTTTGTATCTATAATCGATTTTTAATCTCTCGTTTGACATTCTGTATTCGATTTTTAGTTTATAGTGCCATGAGCGAAATGTAAAAGTTTTCAAAGTCTAACGAGCTTCAGAAAAATTAGAATTTGACATATTACACCCAATGGGAATCGAACCCACGTCGATCATTTAGGTAATGTTAAAATATACCCTCAGCGATTATCACGAATAAACAACATGTATACGGGTGTTAAAGACACATCAACAAGCGGCGTCGGTGGTGGTGCAGCTGGAAACTGTTCTAGAAGCTTCTTCAGTTTATCGCTGGTTCGGAGACAGCCGCACTTCCGTCGCCAGTTTTCATCACGGCTGCTGCCAGCGATCGCCGCACTGAACCTTTCAGTTTCCATCTTGGATCGTACACTGGGGAAAACTGAACCGAATATTGAACTAAACAAAAACTGAATGATAAATATAGGTTAGTCAAGTGTCCCTCAGTTCTTATAGATTTAAAAATCGGTTATAAATTGAAAAAAAAATACGAGTCGGGCAGGATTTGAAACGGCATCCGCGTTCCGTGCTGTTGCTCTAACTCGTAGGGCTCGGTAGCTCAATTGGTTAGAGCAACAGCACGGATCGCTGAGAATGCCGGTTCAAGTCCTGCCCAAATGGTACATTTCTGCAATTTATAATTGTTTTTAAATTTATATAGGACCATTATGTGCAATAAGACGTGAAAAATATTAAAGTTTTCAAATCATATATATTTTAACAACTGAAAAAATGTAGGTATATGACTATGATACCTTTTGATCATTTTGAGAGTTCATTCATAATGCGAATAGTACGCATAATTTTTATGCGTACTATTCGGATATAAATAGGAAAAATATTAGCTCGCAAAAACTGACTTACTTTGATTGCTAACAGAATTCTCGAATACAGGAAATTTAACAATACTTCACATAAATATCATGTAAATTAAATCCAATAAATTCCCTAACGATAAACCCGTTCTTGTCTAAATAACACTAAGGTAGTGACATATGTCAGTCGCGAAGGGACAAAAAGGATTACTTATAGAGACTTTTAAATTGTCCAAACGATGACCCAATACTAACATTAAGGTCTGATCAACTTATAAATGAGAGCGATCAACGTATGCTCATGCCCCGAACATTCGAAAGGGGGTTTCACGCTTACAATGTAATCAAATGTAGGCCAAACCACATATTACAATGAGTTGTACATAGATTAAAAATCCAAAATAAATTGAAAAGAAAAAAGAAACTCGGGCAGGCCTTGAACCAGCATCGTCAGCGTTCCGTGCTGTTGCTCTAACCAGCTACCGAGTCCCACACCTCAGCATCGATTTTTTTCATCTTATTGATACATGCAAGTCTCGCGCACATAGTAATATTATTTCTAAGAAAACGTCATTACATATTTACAACATAACAAACATAATAAAAAAACTGGAGCACGCCATAAATTATTCAACTGCCGTCATATCTTGTGTGAATTTTGCACGACCTCTGCAGGGCTGCATTATCTCACGGTCAAGGAACTAAAACGCTGACATAAAAGAAATGAAAGATTTTGGTACCGCTAGGTGGTTACCGTACGGCAATATGAATAACACAGGGAAGCACGCTCGTTGAAATGATTTAATCACTTAGGAATTAGCGACACTTTCTTGCGGTTAACATTTTGAAGCCATTCAAAGCGGCACGTTTCAGGTCTTGGACTATTTGTAGGTAATTAGGTTGTTGAGACCAAAACATCGGGTAGAAGAACCGCCGTCAATGTTATGATGTCGTCATAGTAATAAGAACAATTGCACAAACAATATTACAAATGAGTAAAACGAACGAATACTTTAGCACAGTATATACAAATAAATGTGACTAATACAAGCGAAGATACAGCGAGAAATGTGAAAAATTTTGGAAAATAATTCATCAATATGGGTTTCCGAGGCGTACGTTGCGAAAATGGTTCAAGATACCCGAAAAATATGTATCAAAAACTGTAAAAAACGCAGGCATTATCTACCTAACTTTATTAAACACTTTGTATTAAAAATTACAATATTGTGTCGCAAAACTACCAACTTACTCTGTCTCCGTCTAGCGTTTTAGCGTTTTTTCTCAGTCCCAATAATTTTTAATAACTCTATATTACCTATTCAACCATTCTCAAGATATCCCTTTGTGAGGAAGTCAAATAGTAAGACAGGCCCACCTGTCGCGTGTCGCGAATCGTCGGGTCGTTCACTCGGAGGAAACAACTAAAGAGCTATTACGAAGCCATTAGGAGAGGAGAATGAAACAACCGTGCAATATCTGTGAGGAATTGAAAGTATTCCACGCAAAACATTCGATCGACTTTCGCTTCTTAGCTTCCTGGAATTTCGCAGGACCTGTGAAGGGAATGCAGAGCTCTATACTCCCAGCTAATGGTACATCTAATTTGAATCGTAAGATTGGCTTAACGATTCATACTGCGTGCGACCGTGGTAATTCTGTCAAGTATTTTATTATATCAGGCTGCTAGAGCCAGAGTGGCCTAATAACCAAAAACATGATTTTCAATTGCATAATAAAAATGCGCACGCGCAGGCGAAAATGAATTTGTACTATTATTTGTGTTAGAATTATGTTAATAATTTTCGGTCAATGAGCTCTTGTAGATTAATATTCTTAGACTATAAAAATATAAATAAGTCGAGTCAAAAAACGGTAGTTAGGCTTCTCTAGCTTTAGCGACCTCATATGACGGGCTCGTCTAATGCTAGGAATGTATGGCTAATAATCGACGGGTCTTGGGTTTAAACCTCATGGGGTTGAACATGTTTCTATTCAAGCCTATAATTATTCTGAAACATTTTGGACTTCGCCTGGAAATCTAGATGTAATCTAAGACCACCTCCCATCCAATGATCTCCATGCTTGTCAAAACTCCTCTATCATAAACAAAAGAAAACCTTGAATGACAGTCCATAATGATTAAACTACGGCCTCATTGCTATATAAATTGATATAAACAAATAATCAGTAGTTTATCTGTGGATCAACATATAAACCAAAATTACAACTAAATTAGTAACGCTATCAAGGTTTAAAGACAATGCTACGCTAAAGGTCGCGAATACAATGGATCAAGTGGTTTTTGGATGTGATGGTCGTAACTCCGATGAAAGATAACTTTACCTACCTAATAATCCTGTTATACTGATACAAATGCAGATAATACCTACTTAGTCATGAGTTTAAAATTGAAGCACATTTATTGATTTGCTAGCTGACCTGTCAAATACTCTTTTACCATATGAATCAATGAAATTTGAATAACTTAAAATTGGATCTTCTTAGTTAAAATTTAAAAGATAGTTATATACTATACTTTCGTGGAGATTATTTAAAAAATACGAATTCTTTACCTTTTTGGATATCTTGAACTGTTTTCACAGCGCACGTAATGGATACCTTCAACGATGAATAATTTACCACGGTTTTCCACATTTTCCTGTTTCTTGGTTCTTATTGGCCACAGCCTAATGTTTATAGCCTAAAGCCTTCGTCAATTAATGATCTACGGAACACATTTTTTTTTATTTGAATCATTAGTACCTGAGGATAGCGTTCAAACAAACAAACTTTGCAGCTTTATAATATTAGTATAGATTTATACGCCTTATTTAGAAATGCTTTACATAAAATATGCATTTTTATGTAAAAAATCTTACAATATAATATTAATCAAATACTTAAAATGTGTCTGCATATTTACGTAGATACTTTTAATAGTAAGCAGTCTAGCCATAGATACTAGACCTAACATAGGAGAGCAGAACTTCCCATCCAATACCTCTACAGTTTCTACTAAACATAACCTAGAGATATATAGAACCTATAGTAGAATGAAACGACAGTTTACCATGAAGGCGTTTAATAAATAAACACGTTTACAATTACGCCGCTGAAGCTATTTAGGGACCAGCCTTAGCATCTCTTGAGTTCCGGCAAGCAGACTTATAAATAAATAATAATTACAAAAAATAAACCAATACTACGAGTGAAGAGTGTTCATTAAAGAAAATTCAAACTGAACAAAATACAAAAATATTTTAACAAATTGTTAGGGAAAATTAAGCTTTGACAATATTGAACATATCGTCGTAAAATCGTAATTTAGTAGAGAAATGAGGGAAGTCAATCTATAGAACTCTCTTCACATAACCAAAGACGCAGTAACAAATATCAATAATAATTTATAAAAAAATACATACTTCGTGAATGTCGTCAGCAGTTAAACGCTACAATAATCCATCCGCAAAATATATTTGTGCAATTTAGAATAAAAATTTCCTACTATAAAAAATACAATTATAAAATACACGAAATAAAAGATCGCAGGTACCAAACTTAATTTCTACAAACGGAATTCGTATAAACATGGAACATCAGAGTACCTAATATATAGATTGTGCTAAAATTTAGTTCACACGAAAAAATAGCAAACTCCCGCAAAAACACGCCTAAACTTTCTTTACCCTAACTAGGCTAATTAAAAAATATAAATCCATTTAATTATACAGATAGTTTGAAACACTCATACTACACAATATAGTAAAATATTTAAGCTGTCTGTTGTGAAAGCAGAAGCGTATAATTTGTGTATATCTATCCCAAATAATGTATCGACGGATTTTCGGTAGACGAATTCAATATGAAAATACAGTCGTTGCAAGTGATAACCGCTAAGCCGCGTTCTACAAAAATATTAATTCAAGTTATCATCAATGCAATAGTAGTACATATTTTACTAACAAATATTTCTGTTTATGCGAAAAATTATTAAAATCTAAATATGGTTTTATTTGAATTAAATTGTTTTATATTACAAGAAACACCTTTTCGCTCTTAATATCAAAACTCTATTATCTCGACTTGGGAATTTATTTAAGTCTTTTTATTTTATTTTTTTGAGTCATCATTGATGAAAGCCTTTTTTTTTAACAAACAATGCTTAAAAAAAATTACCAAGTACGTATCTGCCTCAATTTAATAACCGCTTTCGTTTATACTCTGTAAAAACACACAAAATTAAAAAAAAAAAGTCAAATTAATATTTTCGAGAATAATTCTACATAATGGTGCTATAACTGCTCATAGTGCGTTTAGCTTCATCACAACTAGAATAGAAAATATTTAATTCTTTTGTTAGCTTAATGGCAGCTCGATGGATGTTTAAAACGTATTTAAGCAGGTTATGTATTGAGGTGGAAATATTTTGCATTTAATTGGTACATGGAACAGATAATAATTTTATGTGCCTTTATTTTTCTATACAATAAAGCATCCTCTTTGGTACTCACCAACGAAGCGTAACGCCACAAGTTTTGTTAAAAATATGCATTTTGTATGTTCGTAAATGTACACTAAGCGGTTACATCAACTTAAATATTTCAAGGCTTCAATAACACCGCGCTAGTGAGACCAAAATACAATTAAAGTAATGCGCACAGTAGATAGCAATGACGTAAAACCTTAGCCATAACATTGTATAAAAATTGTTTATTTCAATTATCTACTCGATAATGTGTATTTTTTATCTGTTTGGAGTGGAGGTTGTTTAATGAAATTTATTATATAATACTTAGCGAGTGTTTTTTGGTGGTGTTACATACTTATGCTGTATTTGAGGGAACGAGACGAAAGATAATTCACTCATAAGTATTACAAAGGTCGTAAATAAGTCATTTTATATTTCCTTTACTTTTTCTACCAACTTTTATCAGTTAATTACAAAGTAATTATATTTAAGATATCCCATTTAATTAAACAACCTCTAGCCAATCATTATTGAGTTTAACTAAATTGTATAGACATTTAACGATAATTTTAACACATGTCGTTAGGCTATCAACATACACCTATTATAAATCTATTAAATACTTATTTTAAATAGACTAGCGGTGAAGCAATGATGCAAATAATATCAGATTCCAACTTTCATCGAATAATTGTCTGGCGTGACTTTTGTTTATGGTAACCCTATTTAATACCATGTGTGAAATAGGATGATAATTTTGCAATCGCACCATAGTATAAAATAAAAATCTATTTAAATTTATAAAAGTAATAATTGATATAAATACATCATGTGTGAGAAAAAAATAAGTACTAACTCTTTAAAGGTTTAAATCTCCAAATATATAAGTTTTATAGCTTATATATTTCGCGTTGTTTTATTTAATTGTGTACTACTCGCGTAATCTACGTGAAGTATTAAGGGCCGATTTCAAATTTACCACAATTATCATCCTATATTGTACACAGTATAGATAATAAATCAATTGTGATGTATCACAAGAACACGATTTAATCATTAATTATAATATAAAGATTTAGCAATAAAACAAAGTTTAAAAGTGCTGCATAAGCAATGATCCACTAGAGAAGCCGAAAGCGCAGAAAAATGAACACCGTAACGATTTGGAATGTCACACATCTACTTTTGGAATTATACATCAGTCTCAGTTTTGCTGCTCGTGCGTCTACTCCGACCGGACCCCGGATTCACCCAGTATGGCCCGCTCAGTAAAAATTTCTTCACATTGTACTCCATCCGCGCCAAGTCTTCAGGCGATATGTCCTTGTCTTTACTTTTAAGAACTTCCCTCAACTCTTTATTTGCATCAAACTCGCTGCTGCTTGGTGATTGGACGTCATTTATCTCAGTGACGGTAGCTTCGCCGCTCTCCACGGGAAAAATAGTTTCCTTAACGACATTATTAACTAATTTTGCATTTGCGGAATGCTTGGCTGCTTTCTCTTGGCTGGCATGAGCTGCGATATTGTGGATCCAATTACGAGCTTCGCGGTACGATTTCGAATACTTGCTCACGGGATGCGGCATGTTTAGAGCCAGCTCGTTCAGCGTTTCCGTCAGCCTGTTAATTTTACTATCTCTTCTTAGAGCACGGTTGGCGAAACACTCGTCTTCTAATGGATCGTTGAGATTGTTCTGCTGCTCTAGATTCTTCTCGACCCATTCGGCGACACGCAACAATTGCTGTTTTTGCAAGATCGCAGCGCTGTCGTCGCTCGACAGCGAACTATTGCTTTGCTCGTTTGTAAACATTTTTGTCGTTTCGTTCACTTTCAAATGGGTCTGTGTTAAATTTGGGTATACGTTAACAATATTGGTAGTGGGCTTGAAGGACTGGTCAAGTTTACTGTCGTGATTCGCCAATAAACCTTGAGGCGGAAGGTCTTTGGAGATCTTTGTGTTTTCGAGAGAATGTAGCTGCGACATGTCAATCTTCTTTATAGGTCGGTTGTATTGACTGGCGACCTTTTGTTCGTATCGATCGAAGTTAAATATTTTAACTTCATGATTGTCAGTTGGTGCGATCACATCTTGATCTTTGGCATCCTGATCATTGTTGATAACGTCAGCGTCTTTAGGAGAATTAGAATTTTCAACGTTAAAATTACTCAATAAATTATCAACTTCACAAGCATTTTGTTGACTAGTAATACTTGGCTCATTATTGTTGATGAGTTCATTAGAAGCAAAGTTGTGTGTTTTTAAAGGCTGAAGTGGAGCGGAAGATACAACATTCAGTAAAATTGGATTGATTGAATTACTTTTGTTACTAGAATTAGAATCCTTAGTATTGTTGTCAACGTGTACATCTATTAGTGTTGTTTCAACAACGACGGCGTCATTTTTATTTGTTGTCGTTACTTCATCCGTCTTCTCTAAATCTATGAAATTGTCCATTCCATCGTGGAGGTCCTTGAATATTGAATTTTCATTTCTACTCTGACGTCTGTATAGAACAGGAGGAACATCTGGCTCAGCGTTGTCTAACAAAATATTTTTTGATCCCGCTTGCATTCGCAAATGGCAAAATCTAGGCCCAGGGCCGACTTGGTTAGTTGATTTATGGGTACTGACTGTCGATTTTGCTACAGATGAAGTTCGGCTTCCATTCCCCATTGAACTCTGAGAGTTCTTCCTCATAATGCTACCTTCAATAAGTGGACTAGGGCTTTTTATCTTATCTTTAGAACTATGAATATCCTTTATAAGAAAATCTTCATTGGCACTATGAATACTGCCTTTGTTACTGGAAATAGAAGTCTTGGTTCTATCACATAATTTATGATGTACAGTAGGCTCAACATTCACTGTGTCTTTTCTTAAGTCTTCAATTTTAGGTACTGCGTCTTTTGGTAGCACTTCTAATTTTGGTTTTTCTTCTTCTTTGAATTCACTTATATTTCCTTTTATAGCTTCAATTGATGGCACATGGATTTCTTTTTCTTTTATTGACTGTCGAACTGTGATTATAGGTGTGGGGCAACCACTATTAAATTTTTCATTGATAATGCTAATACCATGTGGAGAAATACTTCTTACACTAAGCCCTGAGTTAGGAGACTTGATTTCTGCATTACAATTAAGGCAGAGAGAATTTTTCATTTCGCCACTAAGCTGAGTTTGTGTGGAGATACTGTAGTAGCTTTCATTGTAACAGAAAGGCTTATTTTGTGATTTAGAACAGGTGCAAGTATCACAGTGCTTTGTGACTGTATCTTGAATGCTGTCCTCCAGTATCTTAGACATTAGTGAAGCTGATATATTAAATTCGTATTCGCTAGCATCAAATGTTTCTAATTCATTCCCAGTCTTTGACGCCGATGAGCTGCCGGTTTTTGGTGCTTTAGACATCACATATTGGGACACTCTGGCTTGTGTGTCTACGGGAAGCTGTAAATAATAATAATGATATATAAGTATTCTTCTATATTTTTGGTTTATTTTGTTTTTCTAAAGGCGTATATGGCGAACACAATTTTGGTATTTTTTAGGAAATCGTTGATTCAGGACTCAAATTATTATTTTAGATATTCCATTATGCAAAACTCAGGAACTATGAACGTTATATATAACATAGTAACACAGTAACAAATGAAATTTTAAGGATAAATTATTTGAATGAGTCCAATTATTATAATAAGCTTTATTGTCTTTTATTATTGGTCCAATTATTATAATAAGCTTCATTATTCAAATAAACACTACTTACATTATCTAGCTTCTGCGAAACAAAATTGTCAGGCTTGCATTGCAACAATTGGATAGCAAGATTCATGTCATTTTTGTATCTCTCCTGTAAAAAAACAACGAAAACAATTTAACACTTTAATGTTTTACAAACACATGACTAAGTAAGTGCATACTATGGTAGTGTATTCATTATTTTGTAAATAACTTTAATAATAATTTAGTAATACATAATAACCATATATTTGTATATATAGTAACATTTTTATTCTTTATAAAAATTTACTATGTGAAAATTAAATAGTGATCCCTTTTGTGTTTTAAATAGAAACTATTAATTCTTTATTTATCTGACAACTTACACACATGAAAAATTCCTTTCAATGGCATAAAGAGATGGATAAAACAAAAACAAAGTAAAGAATGCTACTATAGATATATTCAAAAACAAATCATTGTGATTGATTAGTAGGTGAGTATATATATAAATGAATATGCTTGGTCCCCTCAGTTGTGATACAAAACAGTTATACTGTAAGCGGTAACTACAAAGTATTGTATTAAATAATTATAGTTACATACATTTTCCTTTTGCAGCATACTATAGTTATGTTTAGACTCAGCAAGTCTTACAGACAATGTAGCAATGTCTTTTGTCAATTGACTCTTTTCACTCTTCATTTTGTCCACCAGTTGCAACAATTTGTCTTCTAAAACTTGATTTAACTTTTGTACTCTTTTGTGGGAATCATATAACCTAGACAACCAACAGCCTCAAATTATTGCAAAAACAAACTAACACACACACAAAATGTACATGTTTTTACACACATGTATATAACATGTTTCTTAAAAAAAATACTCTTAATAATCAATTTTTAAAGAGACATTATCCTAACTAGTTATGGAGTTCAATGGACGGGCTTAACACTATATGTGATCAATTACAGGTAACTTATCTACAATTTAAATACTTAATACAATAAAGAATTGTTAATACAAGTCAAACACTCATATAAATGTAAAATCATTAGGATAATAGGTAATTATTTTCAATATAATTATAACCTGACTGACCTTTCATATTTTTCCCTCCATGTGTTAACTTGTTCTTCTAGATCTGTGGCCCTTGTATTGCACTTGAAGTACTCAGTCTCAAGAGCTATAAAATGAGCATCTCGGTCAGCAAGGTGTTGCCTCAAATGCTCCACGTCTTTACGCAACTCCTCAACACCTTCACAATCCTAGTAATTTGGGTGCGATATCAAAACAAAAATCAAAAAAGCGAGTGATGTGGAGATGATTTAATGAACCTATAAAAATGGATATTGCAAATAAAAAAAGAAAAGCATTGTGCACAGTTAAAATGTTATTACTTAGTATATTTGAAATTACTACAGTATGATTTGAAAACTACAAAAATAAGTAAATGTGGTGAAGTAGAAATCAGAAACAAAAAAAATTATAAAATTTTTTGGGCCTATTCAATAATGTACTGTACCGAATGGTTTCATAATCCTGTAACTAAAATATAAATAAAAAGTAACAAACATTAAGTTGTCATACTAATGTCTACGACTAATGCTAAGAAAATTTAGTTACTTGTTATAAATGATTTACCTTACAAATGGAACTATTGCTTTCATCCATCACTTAGCTAATAAACAGCACATTTCACATATTTATTGTCCAATTTGTGCGTTAACATCTACGCCACGTCACACGCAAAGAGAAAGAAATTTACAAATAGCTATTTTATCAATAAGCTTCTGATGAGAAATTAAATATAAACCAATGGACATTGTGAAATATTTAGCTAATGAGTATTTCCATCTGGAACACCAATTAGCCAAGCTTGTCAATTTTTACACGAATATTATGCTTTTATATACATCGTAATTAATATTTAAACTTGTCCTAAAAGGATTTCTCTACAGAAAATAGAATTTCCCTTTGAGGTATCAAATACGATTTTATAACATATATACATATATTGAACAAAATTATGTCTGCCAACTGTCAATGTCAAGTGATGTCGGTTATCACTGTCATGCTGTCAGTAATCTTTGATAGTAGACAAAGTAAAACTCCACGATTTAAATAGACTACCCACAGAGTATCAAATACCCATTAAATTTTCTAAATGTTTATTTATCTTGCATAATACAACACTTACAACGAAAATAATAAATCATAAGCTTTAAAATATATATATTATATAATGTACAGATTTTTTCAGACGATTTTTTTCATGTCATCTGTAGGTATTATAAAATATCGCAATCGTTACCTAAAACCAGACAAAATCTTTTTTTATATGCTACAACATTAAATTTCAAAGGAATCGTATCTTACTTGCTTCTAAACATAACATACGTCTTGAATAATATTGTAATCACATAAAAAAGTTCAACATTATACGAATTATGCTGTTGTATATTGCGATTTTAGTATAAATTTCTTGATCTATCCTAAAATCGCAACTTTTTATATTTTTTAATAGCGTTTTATTACATTTCTATAATTTTAGTTTATGGTTTTGAGGAGTTTACAGTGATACATTCGGTATCACTGTAAACTCCTCAACTGCTGCATTATTTGTTTCTTTGCGATAAAATCCTTTACGGTTGTGAATATATGATTATATAAATTTCTCTGGAATACCTTACGACATAACATTTTTTCATATTCAACTCGATTCTATTACCAATACCTAATAATACCCACCACTTTTGCACAGTATTCAGACAAGACTGTAACAGTATTAAGTCGCTGGATTGAACTAATTATTTTTGTAATTATAAAACCTTACGCGTAAGTATAAAACTATAGAGACTATAATTTCTTATTTGAGATTATTTTTCAACAAATTTATTGTCAAGATTTTGTTGATGATACTTATATTAAATTCGCTTATATACAGATATTCAGGCTTAGCGCCTGTTCCATAGGTAATATTACCATAACTAACAAATTATTAAATACTGAAAGGATATTCTAGGACGGAACATTTATTTATTTCATTTCTGTTTATAGAAGTAAGTATGCTATACGCATGTCAGTGAACAAAGCTAAAAAATTGTTTGGATCCAATAACAATTTATATTTTACTTAGGTACTCCAAATTAACTTTAAAATATCACTACGCAAAATTTCTTGCTTAAAAGGAAATTCGGAAGAGTATTAAAATTTTCTCTTTAGTATCATATTTTTTTAATAAAATGCACGTTAAGAAGATTATAATAGGGGCACAATTTCATTTGCCTACTGAGAAGCGATGTAAATATACCTTTTTATTGTATGGATTTTTACCAAGGCCGTTAAACAGTCATAAGTAACATATTTCACAAGAGATAGTTACGTCTTAAATAACCCGGTAAAAATAAATAAATGACAGAAGTTCTGCGTGGACAAGGCGTGTTCCCAAAGCAATGCTGTATACACTTTGAACGTCGACGCACGTCTCCCAAGTCTGACGTCGGTTCTATTTCGGGAGCCCCAACTTCATTCTGATGTTGCTGCAATCGTCGGAAATCCTTTGTCTTATTTGAAGTATTTTTGGTCAATCTCGATGATTAATACGTTACGTGTTTTATAAAGTATTACCAAAATGGGAAATATCTTCAGTGGGCCTTCAGTCAACAGAGTTTCAAGTCCTCATGCAAGCTCTGAAAGTGAAAATCAAACAATGGAAAGAAAAAGTGAACCAGTTAAAGTTGAAAATGATTGTGAAAATCCTGAACTACCTCTTGATATTGTGAACGATGAAGAGGATGCTCGAGCTAAAGTTAAACAAGAAGAAATGACTGCATTCCACGAGCAGTTAAGCATAAAACGAGAACAAAGGCGTGAAATAATGGCTAAACACAAATCCGACAAGATACAACTACAGAATGACTTAGAAAAAGAGAGAAAAGAAAAGCTGGAGCTTTACGAACAAAACCAACAACTTCGATGTATCCTGCAACAAAACGGTATAGTTATTCCGGAGAATTTTCAAAGTGATGAAAATTTTTCACTATATAAAAGTGCTCTTGAGCAATTAACAAAAGAGGTGGAAAATCAAAAGGCTAATAATAACAAATTGAGATGCGATCTAGCTAGCGCTAATAATGCGCTACAAGCCGCTTACTCAGATATGGCTGATTTGAGTGCGCAAAATTCAGAATCCATTAAACAGATCAACGCGTTGAAGGAAGTAGTTACAGTTAGTAAAACTTTGATATCCCTGCGTGAAGATCAGTTAACTGCGGTAAGTGAGCTTTTATTTATTTTTTTATTAGTACGTAGTTCCTCGTTTTAATCCCACAGTTCATAAATATTGGGTAAAACATACGAAGTACAAAAATTAAATAAAACGCTTTATTTTAATAAGGATGTCAAGAAATATCGTACGTCGTAGTAAGGCAATGACCCAAGCATATTTCCCTCAGCCAGTGACCACGACGCGTCACATAACCGAATTATACTCCTATACTTATAAAAAACAAATATTTTGGCAAAGGAACTTGAAATCCTGCCAACTTAGTACTTGATAAACGTCTGCCATACAAAGAATAAAGCAATGCCTAATAGCTAACTACTCAAAAATACGGTAATGCGACGTTATTACAGATTAATATTGCTTGTAAAGAGAAGCCTTTTAAGACCCTAAATTAATTCAATTGACAATCCCAAGCTTAGCGCCGAAAAATATTTAGGCATATGTGTATTAAAAAATAAAAACATTTCACGTTCTCAAAATATTTGATTACAGCTAAAAAATAAACTAACGGAAATAGAGCAGTCTCTTGCTGATAGAGAAGCCAACATGCTATCTACTGATTTACGCCAAGAATATGAACGTCAACTGCTGAATATAAGGACTCTTCGTAATTTATATGAAGATCGGGCGAGATTAGCAGAAGTTACGAGGCAGGCTCTCGTAAGAGAACTAGACGAACACAAAGTATTGCACCAAGCAGCTCAGTCTAGGTAAAGTTATTATTAATTCTATAATGAAGAAGTTTTTGATAAAATTCATGATTACAAATTTACCTATTTCTTATAAGAGCACTGTTAAAATAATTATTTCTATAATATGTTTATACTTTTACATTTCGACTGAATAAAGTAGACTATATACGTTTTTAGATGCACTGAACTAAATTCTGAAGTAGACGAACTAACAGCAAAGGTGTCTTCACTAGAACAAAGGATAGAAGATAAAAACAACGAAGTGTCTACCTGTAAAAAAGAATTAGAAGGAACCAGATCTGAGATGTTGGTCATTAATAAAGTAAGTGTACGTAGGTAAATGTATATGACCTATACTTTAAATCAAGATACAATTATTATAAGTAGCTTACATCTTATATAGAGTTAATCTTTACTATAAAAGTATTTTTTTAGTTGTTTTCACAAGTGCTCCTGGGGTACATGACTAAAAGAGACTTGGACAAGCTGGTGAAAAGATTGGAAGAAAACCATGATATTTTAACTCATATGGCTGAAAAAGAAAATGGTTCTGAAGTTTCTTCAGCGTTACCAAAATTATTACTAGAGTTAGTCAATCAGGTGGATGATTTGAATAATAAGGAGACCATCGATACTAATGAACAAGGGATAGCAAACATTGAAGCAGGTGTGGTGTGCATATAGTGATATTTTATTATTATTAGAGAATTTCTAAATTTTACTTTAAATGCTAAGATTTTTTATTTCAATTACAGATCAAGAACCTATCAAAGCTGAAGAAATAGTTAAAAACCTTCCGAAAGTTTGGAAAGTCTTAATTGAGCTCTTAAGTCACCAAACTGAAGCTAATATAAACGAGTCCGATAGAGTCTCATCGTGTTATAAGTCCGTAGAAACGAAATCGGGTTCAGTTCTAGTACCCAGTGTTAGTCAGACATACATAAGATTAAAGGTAAGGATTTGATCATGATAAATTAACTTCACTACTACGTTAGTACAAGTTTGTGTATCATAAAATAAGTACAACATTCACAAGTCACAAGTTGGTTCTGTTTTTACTAAAGGTGACACATAATGTTTACTTGACTCATTCAATAAAACGGGTCGGTGGTGCATAAAAACAAAATAATGTAATGAGTAAGATGCATGTTCGCAAAAATAGATAACTGTTAAAATTCTTGGAAGAGCGCCAAGTAAAAATCGACTCTCAACAACATGAAATGTACTTGCTTGATTAAAATTTATATATGTACAAATAGTAGTATTAACATCAAATAATATTTTAAATTGTGAACATGTCATATTAATACGACTCGTTTATACATTCCAGGACTTGATCATGGAAAAGTTAAGCCTAATTAAAGAAGTGAATCGGATGAAGCAATTGAACTCGCATTTAGAAACAACATTGCAAGAACAAGAGCGACGGTTGTGTCTCGTCACTACCGAACTGAGTAAAACGTGGCACGTTGTAGGTCGTTTACGTAGGCATCACCATCAATTACATACCCACGAGAAAATACTTAAATATGAGTTACAGCAAAAAAGGAAACTATTGAACGAATTGAAAGAAGAGCTTAAGTATTGTAAAGAGAAGTGGGAACAAGCTAGAGAAAAGAATACGCAATCTGAAAAAGATTGGAAAAAATTACGGGCCGAATTTTCCAACAGGAAGCTTCAAGATTTAAAGGCGATTAACAATTCAGCCGAAAGCGGTTATAGCGACGAAAAACTCACTGATGAATCTTCAGCATCAAATGATGAAAGTGAATTTATTGCAGAATCTAAACTTAAAGGTAAAAAGAAGCTCAAGAAATCGTTTGAAACGGTCGTCGATTCTAGTGCAGATGGCAACTTGGCAGCTGAGAGAGAGGATCCAGTAAGTGATATGATTGATGTAGCTGATCTTTCTATGGACACACAAGATGACAATCAAGAGACTTGTGACGATTCTTACAACAGTGAATGCTTCTTGAAAAGTGAGAGAAATTGTAACGAAACGGAAGACGAAGCTGTTGAAATTGGCAATGATTCATGTCATGATGACATATCAATTACTGAATCACAATGTGATTTGAGTAAAATTACAGACAGAGACCAGGGTATCGTAAATACCTTGTTTCAAGAAGAGCCAAACTACCAAGCAGGTCAACCAGAGACTACTTGTACAATTTATAGTGGCAATAATGTAAAAAACGATACGATTCCAGACATTACAACATCATGTGATACGGAAATGTATCACATAAGAGACTCTACAAATGATTCTCAGAGTAATGTGAACTTAGATAATATTCTAAATGAGAATCCTGAAGGGGTTACAAACAATGCAAATACTCTAAGCACAACAAACGATCAAAAAACAGAAAATAATGTAATTAGAGAAAAAATATCAGAACCTGGGCCTTCAACTATACAGACCACGGAAACAAACTTACCCGAGATCGATTTCAAACAGATTCTTGAAAATGTGAGAAAACAAGATGAACACCTCAAAAAGAAGGACGAAAGGCTCGCTCAATTAGAAAATAATTGTGCCGAAGTAGTTGCAAGTATAAAGAAAAATATTGACTGTGGAGCTGATTTAGTAAAGAGACTTGACGGCGTGCATAACGTACAAAGTGTTCATACATCATCGGACTCCATAGATGATGTCGAAGATAAAGAACTTATATCGCAAGACGAACCATCGACCTCCAATGAATTGGATCACGAAGCGAGATTTGCAGCACGTGAACTTAGATTGAAGCGACTAGAAGAACAAACGAAGTCCCTTGTTAATAAAGTCAATCATACGACAACTAAAGGTGTTAAGATACATTACAAATTGGAGGAATTACACAATATTTACGGTTCAGACCATTCCCGTTCAGGAACACCGTCAGAAGACACAAATGACAATTCGCAAAGTAATGACGACGAAACAGAAATTAATTAACGTATATTATATAACTATTGTGTGTTTAAATTATTGTATTCGAGTTATAAAAAAAAACATATATTTTTTAAACTTATTTTATTATAACTGGTACATTTTCAGGTACTTTCCCAGCAACAGTGTGCGATATCTTAAAATTATTCAGATCAAAATCACTTATTTACATTTTAAAATCGGCAGTGTTTTTTTCGTCCGCAAAGTCTTTACACCTAATTTCAAGTGAGCTGGTGCTGTCTTCGAGGACAGCGACCACAACTTGTTGAACTTTATCCTTAACTTTTCCTGGTGGTTTGGTATAGAGTCGCCAGGCCCATATTGATAATAAGAACATTTCCACCATCATCAGCACATTTTGTATCACTGAAAAGATGAAATATCTTTTTTAATGTACACAATACACAATTTCCTTTCATTACATTACATGACAATAAATAAAAATTATGTTTTCCTTCAATAATTCCTTATGTCACTTTGAATTATTTAAGCAAAACAAATTGAAATTATAAGCAAAAAATCTTGACCAAATTTTGATACGAATTCTCTTAATAATAACAGACACATAAATAATTGATAACACAACAATTGCAAGATTAAGTTCATTCAAATTGGCCAATTCAATAAATATTACCAGCATAAACCTAACTCCTACTTACTGTTAGAAACAACGGAGGGATGTAAAGACATTATACAGGGCATTACAAACATCTCTGGTAGTACTTTGGCTATCCCACACTGGACTTTCACAATCACTAGGACTAATTGCACCACCAGAAAGCGCGCTCTGGGTTTGGCTCCTGTCGCCTCGGCCGTTCGAATGCACATCATCATACCCCATATTCCTGAGAGAATAGAGGCTGCTATGAACGGCTGGATGAATACGAAACTGTTCACGTATAACTCCTGAAAAAGAAAATGCATTAGAACTCCAATACTTAAGGCCTTAGCCAAACTGTTACTAATAAAAGTCTTAATGTTTAAACAATGAAAACTAGAAGTAAATCACGTTCATACGTTATGAAAGCCAATACGATAATATGAATAAAATTACAAAAATGTAATTTCTACCACTTGTCCAATAAAGAGTTTACAGAGAGAAGTGATAACTTTTATGTAACAAAGGAGGACAGACTAGACATTTAAAATCATTCGTTAGTAGCTGGAAACGAAAAAACACGTAAGACGGGTAAAAGGGGAAAACTAAATGATAAGCATGTATGCTTATCAAATTATGACATAAGGAGAAAGTGTGACTCATAGGTAAATCAAGAACATTACATAAGGCAAATGGATACAGTTGGTTGACATAAGTCATAAGGGCTACGGATGGAAAATCACGAAGTGTTTATAGGACGACACTTGAGTTACGTTCGACAACTGCCTATGTTTAATTTTTTATATTCAGGTGTAATTTCTACCTATATTGAATAACATGGGATATGTTCAAACAAAGCTTGGAAATGACTCGCTCCGGTAGTAATTTTTTAATGATAGAGAAGACAAGCATGGTTTCATTTGATGAAGATAAGCCCCAGCCTATAGCATCTGAACACGATGCCCTGTCGACCTATTTTGGCTTTGGATATTCGGAAATCCACATACTGAAACCGAAACGTGCTTAAACTTCACGGCTTTTTTGTCGAATCGAACCCCGACCCGTTAGTTATTAGCAGTACATCGCTACCATTACACCAACGAACCCGCTTAAATAATAATACTAACTAACGTAATATTTTTCTTACCATGTCTTCCGCCCAAAGAATAAGAATTATAATGTATATGATGGCCTGGCAAATGGGCATCTGCAGTACTAAATATCTTAGCCACGATAGACTTTTCCTAAAAAATAATACATGATTATTATCAATATGCAAATGTTAAAGTTGAAATTACATTGCACGAGATGTGCATATTCCAATAGGTAAAGAAATTATGAAGGGGACTAAGTAGCTGAAACAAGGATCGCTGTGAATGCCGATTCAAATCCCACCTGTGTCAATGTTTTTTTATTTAAATCGATTTTTAAATAATAACGTGGACAAAAATAATATTTTTTTTGATAACATGATTATTAACAAACAATAATAAACCATGTTTTATAACAGTCCAAATCTTAACATAGCAATTTTTTTACACTTAATGTACCGATCCTTGAGAAAAAAGATTTTTATGTATCTCAAACTTGTGCCTCCTAAATATATATCTGGTTGTATATTTTGGACATTGCATAAACTTACTTGTGGACTTGAGGTCGTGGTAAAATACAACAGGGCCAACAACAACACGGTAGCACTCGGGTCTCCATTTGAGATCCTCCAGACCGTCTGAAAAATATGTCAGAAAAAGCTATAAGGTGCCGAAGACTTGAAAAAACCTAAAATGGACGAAAGTTATGGGGAACCAACTAAATGAATATTATTTTTTCGTAATTTAAATAGGACACACGGAAATATATAATTACAGTCAAAGATAGAAAATAGCACAATATTTTGATAACACATACGCTTAGTTAACTATTTTATAAGTAAAATAGTTTTTTTACAGCTTTTATTACTCATGATAAAATATTATTGAATACAGCGCCATCTATGTTCTACGTACGTAATCAGTTTTCTTTACCTGACTAGTTGATGAGCTCCTCCACATTCAGCGAGGATCATAAAATACAGATGATACATAGCGATCATCACAGACTCTTGGGCTACCGCTTCGGCTATAATCCTAGCTCGAGGCACCACTATTGTTATAAAACCCGCCATGGCGACTATCTGTAATCGAAAAAGAAGTAAGACATTTATGACCCTTTTCACTTTCGAAATACATTAGTTATAAATTATATAAAAGCATACTTATATAATATTATCCATTTTTAATGAAACCATTACACTAAAATAGTTTGAGATGATGAGTCCATATCATAATGTTAAGTAAGGTGCAGAACATAGATAAATTGCAAAATAAGAATGTGTATTTTCCTTGAACTGTCGACAACTTGATAACTTAATATTATCATAATTATGACTATAACATAATATTGCATAAAGGGTCGTTTCATTACCTAGAAGTGTCAAATTTCCGTTACGGGTTGGAATGTGTCTTATAATAATTAATTAATATTTTAAGGCTTTACATTTCGAATAACTTAATTCGATATTTAGAACCTTAAAATAATAGTAATAAAATCTATATTAATAAATAAATTTGAAGAGTTTGTTTGTTTGTTTGAACGCGCTAATCTCAGGAACTTCGAACGGGTTCGAATTGATAAATTATGTTTGTAAAGTATTTATTGAGGAAGGCCATAAAAAATCGCCCTGTGACTAATACAAGCGAAAATACCGCGAGAAATGTGAAAAAAAATCATCCTTATGGTTTTCTATTGGGTACGCGGCGAAAACGGTTCAAGATACCTAAAATATATGTAGGAAAGGATGATATCTCTCGGGTTTACAAGAACAAAAATTGATGCCAAAAATAACTATTCTACGCGTACGAAGTCGCTGACTCAGGTAGTATTTAATAATGCTACTATTACTACAAAGGAACACAAAACACGGTTACATTATTTTGCAACGTTCCTAGAAAATCGCATTGATGAATTAACACATACATTTTCCACTATTTCACAATCGTATAATTGTAACGTAGGGCGACGAAACGGTATATTAAGAAAACATTTTTTTTGCATGTAATTATCATGTTTTGGACACGAAGTATTGCTGTTAATAAAAATGTCTATGGCTTTGTTTATGAGTATTATCTATAATTGTATGCCTTTATAATCTGTGGATGATCGTTGGCGTTTGCGACCTAGCTGGAATTTCGATACTCCTTCGACCTTTTAAAGATTAAAAAAGTTCCAGACATACTCTCACAAAAAAAAAAAGATATGAATAATACACTTAAGATTTAAAACACTATATAATATGTATTAGTGAAACTTATTTAAAAATGATGTAACTACAGTCTGCCGTTTCGGCGTTTCTCCCCGTGACACGGCTGCTGCAAAGCATCCGAAACGTCGGGCCGTAGTTAAAATAAATTGTAAATAAGTTAACGAATATATTTCGCGTTTTAAAATGTTTTATTTGACTGTGTACTACTCGCGCAAACTACAGACAGTATTTATAAAACGATATTGTTTTACAGTTTAGACCAGGGGGAATCTACCCAAGGCCCCTTAATTATAAGTCCTAAATACCTTTGGACCCACGAGCCCGCTAAATTGCATAACGAAGAGAGAGTTGCGATTAATAGTGGTATTACAGTGTAAACGTCGAATCTAATAGGAACCAAATACAGCCGCACGGGTAGCGCTAAACACCAACATTATTATGAAACCATCAGCACTTTAATCGTTTATGCAACACTTACTGGTTTAATGTCTCAACAGAACAGCGTTGTTATGTTTGTGCGTGAATGCATTAAGGTAAGTTTAAAAAGGTGGGTTACACTCTCTTTAACATACATTTTTTTTTACTTTTGGCGTTCATTGCTGTAATGGTAGTAATAGTAATTACTAATTATTCAACGAGTCGTGTCCGTTGGTTCGATCCCCAAGGTGTTTCTAATCGAGTATTGCCATTTAAATAAAACACTTTTAACGGTTTAAAACGCAAAATATATGTAGATAAGTGTATATATTTGTTAATAAACTTAACTAATAGGTACATTTCGCGTTTCAAACCGTTAAAAGTTTTTATTTAAAAATTGTTAATATTATGTAATACGGGAAATAAAAGCTATTCTGCTTTTTACAATGGTCTGCTGCTAGCGTGCCCTCAATTCTATGGCATTTTGATGTTCAAATAACACAATAGCATTAAATTTATTTCATAAGTGTCTATCGCTGGTATTTTGCTAGTAAAGATTTAATTGACTATTATTAGAACTCATCGTTCATTTCATAGGTTACAGGGTTACGTCTTTGCCACTTGAAGACGAAGTAAAGTAAAGAAATATTTTTAATGAAAGAAAATAAAACTGTACTTATAGTAAGATATATTTACACAGTTGAAAAGTCATACCAACTACCACGTATAAAAAGTTTGACAATACATAAATTAATTTTTGTCGGTGTAATTTTTTTTTACGTGTTGAGCCCGGGGCTTCGATTACTAACCGAACGTTTGGGCGGAACGTTAGCATAGTGTTAATTTTATTAAGAAATTTTCAAAAAATTCCTAAATTACTAATAATAATATTTTTTTTTTAATTATATTTTAATACTTTTGGATTAACACTGTTGTTTTAAATTTATCTACTTCAATATATTATTATTTTATAACAAAGTATAACAGATTTATTCGGCCCAGTACGAGTATAAAAAAATCCGTCGAGTACCGAGTGTCAATCGATTACTTACTCGGCCCATCTCTAATAAAGGAACGGTATTTGGAATACACTTCCTTCTTTTAAGTAATTAATCAATACCTTGTACCTCAATAATGGTTCGTCATAAAAGGTTTGCATGCAAATTTTCGTAATGCATATTTGAGAGATAATAAACTTCGAATGCATTTATCCTACCTCAACTTATTGTTGACACGAAGGTGCTAATTTGTAGTCATTAGTAAGCCTTAATAGTATTACAAAATACAAAAGCAGAAGATGAATTGCTCCTTGGTTTAAGCAACATCTTATAAGGATTGAGGTTTGTGATTCTATAGAAGATAAATTTTGTTTCTGGCCTGTTACCATGGTAACCACAAGAGTTATCTTTAGCCTTTATAGGCTCCTATAAGTTGGATGAATTATTCTAGAAATAGATATACTCATACAAATGGAATTGTGACTAGCTCGTTGGTGTACTGTATGGCTGATAATCAACGAGACGTGGGTTCGATCATCAGGGGGTCCAACGTGTTTCTAATTAATTTATAACTTTCTGAAACATATTGGACTTTGTTTGGATATCTGGATATTAAATGGATGGTAAGAATATCGAAATTCCGCCCATGTCACGAACCGCGGTCTGTGGATTTCCGAATATCCAAAGCCAAAATAATGCAATCAAGTAACCCCATGCTTATCTGTCCTCCTCTATCGTAAAAAAATAGTTTGAGGTCAGAGTACCTAAGTATTATCAGATATTTCACTTTTCAACGTTATTTATTCTACTAACTAGTATCAAATCTAAGTTTTAGTGTTTTTATTTTGAAACAGACGCTGACTCTCATCGTAACGCGTTACGTAACGATGTCTTACAACAGTAATAGGTCAATCTGAAGTATGATAAAAGAAGCTTCAATTAAGATGAGTTTTCATGTTGCAATTTGCATGACGACGCAAATTGCTAACACATTTATACGTGACACGAAATTATGATTTACGATTACGTATTAATATTGACGTCATAACTACGAAAACTGACTGAAAAGGGTGACGTGAAAATAGATACATATATTTGACGGTTTATAACTAAATATTAAATAATTTGATTTTTATTTGAGTAGAGACGTAGTTGCTTTTCAGCAGTCATGGTCAAGGAGTTGCCAGTTGCGAAAACTACAGACAATACGTACGTAATACTTTAGTTAAGATTATAATCTTTCTGGAAACGCGTGTGAAATGTTGCCATAAAAATAATATTACTAAAAATCGACCTAAGACAGTCGTATGCGACTAAACTTCAACTTCAATTTAAAATAATTAAAGCCGTGTGTCTTTTTAATAAACATATGTCTACAGTGGAGTTCGCTTAAAATAATTATATTTAGCGTGGCAAATTGCCATGTGGCTAGACTGACTAGATTGGCATGAAGGACTTCGGAATAGTTCAATATTCAACAATTATAACAGAAAAAATAATATTTACAATGCGTGAAATAAATACGAAAAGTAATATATATATGTCATTTTTTAAACACTTTGTTTTTTTCTATTTATTCGAATAATAAAGAAAATGTTTTGTGGTTGAATAAAAAACTTAAAACTCTGTAAAAAAAAAATTTAATTGTAAATTAAGCGAACTTAATGACGCTGTGTAAAAGTCCCGTTCCTCAAATTTTCAGACTCCTGTATCTCTGGCTAAACTTATAGCCAGAGATACAGGAGCCAGAATACTTATTCTTACCCCAGGATTTGATTCCAGGACTTTGCATTTACAACGGAGTGGATAAAAGGTAATATTTGTTTTTTGTCGGGCTCGTTGGTCTATTGGTAGCAATGTATAGCTAATAATCTACGGGTCGTGGGTTCGATCTCTACCGAGTCCAATATGTTTGTAATTTTTGAGATACACGTTGGACTGTTTCTTGTAAATTGGATATCAAATTAGTGGTAGAAATATCTACGACGGCTTATTCAATTGCCTTTCGGTTTAGTAGATTTGTGAATATCCAAAACTAAAATTAGTGGACTCACCAGATGTGCTATCTGGTGAGACGTAACATAGCTGTGCTATAACCTTCCATCAAGTGAATACCGCGCTTGCCTGTCCTTTGTCATAAAATTAATATTTCTAATGTGAGATAAAACATAACATACTTACAGGATAAATACTTAGTACGACGGCTACATTTAACTTCGAGTCGCTCCAATTGCTTAGCGCCGACCGAAGCGTTATGCCATAGAGTATACATATCGCAAAGAACAGAAATAACCCGCAAAGGATCAGCACCCAGGCATATGTGTTGAGAGCTGTGGACGAGAATTAATTATCATAAGAAAATATACTGTCTGTAGTTTACGCGAGTAATACATTTAAATAAAACACTTTGACAGTTTAAAACGCGATGCAAATTAGTTAAACTTAAATTATTTTAACTGCGGCCGACGTCTCCCCGTGACCACGGCTACTGTAAAGCATGAGAAACGTCGTCTATTATATGAACTTTTGAATCACTTACTCCTGCTATAATAATCTAAACAAGATGCACTGTCAATCTATTTAAACTTTAAGCAATGGATATTTTGAAATCCACAAAACCAAAACCGAAATACGAATAAACTTCACAGAACAACTTTTATATTACATACTGTCTATAGTTTACGCGAGTAGTACACATTTCAATAAACCACTTAACGGTTTAAAACGCGATATATTAGTTAAACTTATTTGAAAATGATTTTTAACTTCGGCCCGACGTCTCGGATGCTTTGCAGCAGCCGTAGTCACGGGAAGACAGGAGAACTTTTATATTTAACTTTTTATACCGTTACAACAACGTAACGAGCTCTTTGAAAAAATATTGTAATGTTTATTGTTATAATTTGAGTTTTGTGTTTTTATATCTATAAAGAATATATTCCTGATGGTACAATACTCCGTTTTATTTATGTTTGTTGAAAGCCTCTAAAAGGATATAACTTTCGTCGCGACAATATGCCAAAAACGAAGGCAACGTGGCAAGCCCACTTTTTAACTTGCCCTTTTAACTTTTACAATAAAACCTTGATTGATTGAAATGGAGAACACGGTGTTAATGACTTCGCGGACCTTTCACACAGCCCTGTGCCCCTGACCTCATTAAGCAGCAAAACAAAGATCCATTACTGCTTCTACGAAATCTTTACATAAGCAAAAAACCAAGAGATTGTTTAGTAACTCCCTTTAAATCTGATACTGTATGTTTACATTTGCATTGCAAATGTGGAGTTAGGAAATAGACAAACTATTAATAAAGTACATACTAGTATTGTATGATATTTCAAGTAAAATCAGAACACATAATTACTCTACTAACTAGCTGTGCCCGCGCCATCGTCCGCGTGGAAAAGTTATTTTGGGCATGATATTATGTATTTTTGCAACAATCTCCTCAGCTTTATAAATGACTAGCTGTGCCGGCGACTTCGTCCGCATAGATTAGTTATTTTAGGCAACAGATTTGTTTGTAACCCTTCTTTTTTTTATAAATTATAGCTGTTACACATGACGACTTCGACGTCCTCTCTTGGAAGTTAATCTAAAAAGACATAAATGTGGCAGACATTTAGATCATCGAAAGAAATACGAATCTTTCATATTTTTTGATGGTTTTTTGTACGTTTTCACAGCACGCAACGAAAGCCTTCAAAGATAAATATTTTTCTTGTTTTCCCGCATTTCTTTTTGTTTCTTCGCTCCTATTAGACGCAGATTGATGTTTTATTCAATTGCCTAAAGCCTTCCCCGATAAATGGTCTAATCAACACCAAAATATTTTTCAATCCGAACCATTAGTTCCCGAGAGGAAAGCAACAAGCAAACTTAATAATATAAATATAAATTTATAATAGTACCTTTATTTAGAATGGCAAACAGTGGCCCGTTATATTAAAAATTGTGTTAAATACATGCTTATTCTTAAAGTAACAATTCAAGGAATGATGAATGTTAACTCGTTGTCAATACTGACGTCCAGACAAAGTTTTAATAAAAAACCAAAATAACACACTTTAACGGTTTCAAACGCGAAATTTATAAGTCAAACTTATTTAAAGATCATTTTACTATCGCATGATGGCTGCTGCAAGCATCCGAAACATCAGGCGGTAGTTAAAATAATTGTTAAATAAGTTTAACTAATGCATTTCGCGTTTTAAATAGTTAATGTGTTTTTTTAAACGTAAATGCCTAAACTACAGACAGCATTTAAATTTTAAACCAAAATAGTTTAAGTATTTACAGCCAACAAAAATGTCACACACCGTTGAGACTATTTCCTGCCGTACCTACCTGAGCCGTCGTTGACCAGAAATATTGAACGAAGGCCGATAGGTTAATAACTATTTACTTCGGAAGTTCAAATTTTGTAGGGTTTCACGCTTCTGAATTGTCAGGAAATTGGTGCAGGGCTAACGCGGAGATGTTTTTTTTATAATTTTATAGTCGCTTTTTTTCAGTACGCCATTATAAAAAGATTTTAAGGAATTTAAGTTAATACGACGTTTGATTGAATTTCCTTATTATAAAATAAAAGCTCATATTATCGAATTAAACCTATACTTTTTTGTGAAACAAAACTAAATTAACTGAACCATTTGGTTTCAAATTACTTCCGCGTCATATTGGTTTAAAATAGCTTACGATAAACTGATTTGTCATCTAGACGGATTCAAAGAATGTTTCAAACATGCTATTGGTTTTAAATAAATAGTTTATCTACATGTTACGATAAACAACTGTTCGCTCTTTGGAAGTCATTTTTCTACGATTTTATAACCAATACCTACTATCGTCGAAAATGTATAAACAATAGTGAAATAAACACATATCAATAAATTGTAATATGTAAATTGCCTGTAGATAACGCGAGTAGTACACAATTAAATTAATTGATTTTAACGGCTTAAATCGATAATCCTAACCAATTTATAATTTACACGGGGGGATCTGAAACGTCAGCATGAGGAAAATGACACGTAAATAAGTTAACTAATACATTTAGCGTTTTAAACCGTTAAAAGTGTCTTATTTGAATATGTGAATTTGTCGTGACGCATTTATAGTAATATGTTTACATTGGTCATACCTACAAAGTAAGTAAAATAAGCGATTGTCGGAAGAATTAGATCTTTTTAATTTAATCGATCATAATTCTTCTAAAGCCGATAAAAACTGGACACAAAGGCATCGGAAGGAAACCTCGACCCGATCTTTTCATTCCAAATATAAACTGACCAATGAAAGGATTTTAATTAATTTTTTTATTACTCTTGGAATAAAAACTGCCAGTATGCTTTATCTAAAATACTATAGACAATTCCATCTACCTATACTATCGGGCTCCAAATGAAATAACTGATTGTACTTTAGTAGTGTTAAGATAAGATATCATTCACATAATCATCAACGTATGTTCACCCGAAATGTGTTGTAAAAAAGATATTCATGTGTTATACATTTCCACCAATATATTACTTTACAATCTATATAAAGTGGGTAGATTTGACATCAAAGATAGATCATAACAATATAATATTTATCGCAATATTTATTGATTGAATTATTATTGGATAAAAAAGGAAATAAAAAAATATTCAAATTTGCCTCAACAGTAGACGCACATAGCGCGTCTGCGTTCAACTTTCACTTTTTTATTGTATAAGAAATATTGGGCATGAGTTTTCTACATTAGTCATTTGAATAACATTTTAAAACTCTGATATAGAAAATGGAAAATTAGAGAAAATCATGTTTGTACCGTAAGATATCATACATATTATACATTAACATATTTTGCATCGTCAATTACCATCATTGTACATTATATATTATTTCTTGATTGCTACGTATTTATAGAATTATTTCCTCAAAGGCATACAATGAACATAAGTTTTATTTGCATTGAATGATAATATGAACACACATGATATTGTCAATATTTATGGCTTGAAATTACTCCTTTATTCAAAAAATAATAATTAAACATCAGGTTTATGGATTACGATGTGACTCGCGCGCATTCCCTAAATCGAATGGAATATTACGAGTAGAAACAGGTTATAAATGGAGTGTATTCCGGTGGTGCATGGGGTTTTTTATGTCCGGTTATTGATTGATTTTATTTACAGGCAAGCAGAGGAATAGTTTGGCCTAATATAGTCTTTCCAAAAACATAATCTATTTTCCCGGAATACAAACGGCTTCACGTAATAATAAAAGGGTTCTTAACTCATTACTGGGAAGGTGATTTTAATTATTGTAAATATACTTAATACTTGTTACATATTTAGTGTCTCCAAATTTATGGTTACAGTCAACCTCAGCAAATTATCGTAATATATTTAAAAAAAAAACTATAAGGAAACTTTAGTTAAAAAATGAAACAATATTTTCTTGAATAAAAAAAATATATACCTGCAAAATATGTTCCGGTATCGGGTGTTATACTAAAACTGTGGCATAACAGTGTGGTATTCACTGCATTGTTGATTTCTGGCACACGGTTATCCACTACGTGCCTAGCAGCCAAAACGCGGGAGCCCTGACTGGCTTCTGACAGCAGATCCATTTTAAAAAATATCAATTTGTCTATGTTTTTAAAATTCCATTTTCGAATTAATTCTCGATTTGTTTTGATTTTCGAATGCGCGCGCTCAATGCCCACACTGCGTCGACACCGTGTGCCCTCAACGACTGCTGACTGCCGATGGCGCTCTGCGTTCACTTTCTTTCGACATTTTGACTGCGCAACTCGTTGTACAATATCCCAACCGACATAGTTTAAACACCGGCTTTATTTCCAACGGATCCTTTGCGAGCTATCAAACAGCACCAGTAGAGGAGGCCAAAGAAAATGAATGAACGATCTATTAAGAAATTCAAATAATAATTACAGTTATCGTCAGCAACAGATTCCCTATGTTTTACGTTGTAAGATAATAAAAAACAATTTATTTTTATATTATTCGTCTTTATCATGTTATCTGCTGAACGCCACTTCCAAACAGTACATAAATATTTATGCCTACAAAAATAATAACTACGGTAATACAATTGTCGTTTTGCTTGTAAAAAACAATGAGGATCTTTATTGTAATAACTAGTGAACTATAAACGTCTACCAATAAAGAAAATTGTTACTAGCATCATTATAAAAGGGTGTGATTTTGCTTCTCTGTCATGAAGTTAGTCAAAATAAAATTATTCTTAGACTTAGACTAAAGGGTGAACGCGTAGTTAGACTGCCATACTATATACAAGTTTTAGTATATTATATATACGATATTCTATGTAACAATATAGTTTTTAATATCATATTATACAACAAGAAGTTATGTCATATTATACATTATGTTTCACGTGATGATAGTACTTATTAAGCACTGTTAATTACGATAGGCTTATACAGCATAAATAAACATAACAACATAAATAAATAAACAGCAGACGCGCCCAAAGGATTCGTAATTAACCCTATTACTGTAATTAACTGTACTATCGTAGAAGATAATTGGTTTTAATTTTCGCGTGATGACATTCTCACTCAACACTGTCCTTCGTATAACGTGACTTTAATTTCTTAATATTTCTAACGATAAGGCTAAGTTAATAGGCCTCATTGGTTACTACCTTAATAGTATTACTTTTTGAGGTGTGCTTTTGGTTCAAAGAAAATTATTACTATACAAATTTTGGCTCTTACTTCGAAATGTTTTTCAGTTACAAGATTACGCTGTCAAATTTTAATGTCATATGTGGCATGAAGAAATGTAATGTAATTATGACATTTTGCGTAATAGAAAATAAGTTAACACTTTTTTATATTATTCTATGGCCTCTTAATTACTTAACATTTTCTTCCTATTCATATAAGGAGGATATAGGGATCGATATCCTACAGTATTTTTAATATATTTGTATAAAGTTATATAACACTTTTTGTTTATTTGGGTGTACTTCCGAAAAGCGCATACCGCCGATCGATCTGAAATTTGGTATACTTATGTATTTTGACCTCCTAATCACGAATACCATAACGAAAATTGGCGCAAACGCCATTTTGAATATGAAAATCGAAAAAAACCTCTTTACGTTCAGTGTGCCTAATCACGCATTTCTAACCAATGTAGACTATTTGAGCTTTTCCCGAAAAGGGTGTGTGTATGTGTTTGTGTGTGTGTAACCATTTTTTACCCATAGTGATCCAAGTTCGTCAAAGCGTTGGAGGTTGCATGGCCGAAAAGCGCAGACTATTCGCGTTATCTACAATGCACCACGTGGAGGTTGTCTGTCTAGCATTCCTGGCCCTGATAAGGGCCGTTTTGTGTGTGTGTGTGTGTGTGTGTGAGTGTGATTTTCATTGATTCACCAATAACCTAAACTTTGCACATGTCCACTATACAATTTCAACTTTGTGGTGATTTTCCACTGTGGTACATGAATGTGGTCCGCTATAGTAGTTGCATTTTCCATTTACTTTCGCCTGTCAGATACAAACTGCGTATATTTTTCTTTATATTAGTCGAAGTCCGAGAATGTTTTTTACTGTAATAGTCGGCCTATGGAAATATTTGCCGCTTTTGTCGATAGACTTGAGATCTATTCCCGCTATAGTAGCCTAATTCTCGAGTGGTTTTTTGTTCTCCTAATCGACCTGGGAATATTTCCCGCTGTAGTAATTCCATTTCGTGAAAATTTTTTGATTAGGCACACTGAACGAAAAGAGGTTTTTTTCATATTCAAAATGGCGTTTGCGCCAATTTTCATTATGATATTCGTGATTAGGAGGTCAAAATACATAAGTATACCAAATTTCAGATCGATCGGCGGTATGCGCTTTTCGGAAGTTTATCCGTTTATTTTAATAATAATATTTGGCAATAGATCTACATAAATGTGACTAAACATTTTAGAACTTTTGGGGCATTCAAAAGAGGTGCCTAATTAGTATATTAACATATTAGTTAAAAGTGTACAACTAAACTAAAAACAACTTATGAGAAAGGCGTTTAAGTGAAAGATTATTTTAATTTAACTGTGATATGAATGCATAGTCGTAAATTTGCATCCATAATATATCATGTCATACTTATAAGCTAGATGCAACCGACTTAATTTAAAATACTGTGAGTGACTCAAAGCACGGCTAAATTTATCTGATAACAACAAGCTTTACAGCTACATAATATTATATCAAGTTAATGGTCTAACCCGATAATGTCAAAAGCTATTTAAAATTTGACTTAGTCAATGCTATTCTCCGCTAGAGGGCACAAAACGATATTTTCTTGTCTCATTAATTTTAGGAATTATGATAAAATAAATAAAAAATACCCTAAACCTATACTAATATATGTAACTATATGACAATTACACTATTCTTCAATATTTGATAAAACGATGTAATAGAATTATAACGGAATCGTAAGGTACATAAATGTTTTATCCATTCGCCACTATTAGCCAGGGCGCCTTACAAAACATTATTTAATAATATATTAATACCACGTGTTTTCTCGCCTCCGCGATCCCATTAAAGTGAATTCTTTATCATTCTTAGTGAAGGTTAGAAACTAGGAAGCAGTGAAATAATCCGCGTGATAAAAATAAACAGCAACACTTTTCAGTTAGTATTTGTAGCTAAATGGGTGATTTATATAATGACGTAAAAGTTTCTAGATTTTTGTACATTATAAAGTGATATCGAGTGTATGATTTGTGATAATTCTTTATAAATAAATAATAATAATTCAGCAGGAATATAGTATAAGTACGACATATTCCAATGCAATATAGATTTTTCATAAAGACATTGAACTTAATTTTTGCGAGCGCGCGTTGTAAAAGAGACCGAAGTAGGTAGGTACAATTTAATTGCCAGGAAAAAAACTGCGTAAAACTGAGGGCAACGTCCGTATCGAGTTTTGGTTCACCGAAACAGCCAGCTCACTCCTACATGTAAACGCAAATATAATAACAACGGGTCTTAGCAAATTGAAAGTCTGACTCAGTGCAATAATACAAAATCATCTACAGCCATTTAATAGGTAAATAACAATGAGGAAAGAGAATTATTGCTAAATATTATATATAATACCATTTTATTACTTCAGAAAGAAAATCATTGATGCCATGTTTAGATAACTATTTCCTTATCAGTTGCTCTTTTACCTTCCCAATCTAATCCACCTAGTTCATAAATACCTATTTATATCACAATAACGATATTGTAATAAAATTATTTAATTCCTGCATTAAATAAACCTATTTACTTTGTATTTATTTATGCTAGCTATAACGCTAAGCATTTAATTCTAATGTGACCTCATTACCTTATTGCTATATCTAGAATCTAGATCATCGCTATTTGATTAGTGTATAAGAATATAGAATAAGATAGTGTGCTTCTATGTCAAGTACATTTAATAATTTATTACTAGCTAGTGCTACATTACATATGAAATATCGTACATTGCTTATGAAATATCTTTAATACCACGCGCGTCGGTCAAGTGGACCGACAAGCCTAACTACCACATAGATAACACCGTTCGAATTACAGACGTGTTGAGTTTTGCTCTTGTGTTTATTTACGTCCGTCGTATTGTTTGTATACAGCCCGGCACGACTGCGCATCTGTCTACGTCATACCCCTCGCCCCTACCCCCCGCGGAGACCCGCAATTCCTACGCCGGGGTCGACTTGACTCGCTCCGCACTCGCTCATTCATTCGACACTCGCAAACGTAGGTGCACGCACTCAGTGAGACTACTCCTCGCATAATAATTACTTGATACCCTTCAACGCTATGTTGAAAGAGACCTCCCGCTATGACAATCGTAACACAGCGCAAGAGGAGAGACGGCCATTAGCGTCGAGTCGTCTACCAGCTATAGAGGAATTAACACTTGGCTTGAAGCAAAAGCTTCACCTGCAAGCTCGCGCAAGAGCTGCACCTTATTACATTAGAAAGCAAGAACCAGTCGATCTCGTCGAAAGGTTACTAGAACAACGCGCCCTTGTCGCCGAGGCTGTTCGGAGATTACAGGAAAAGAAACAAACGTGTCACGAAATATCAGTGGACTCCTAATCAATTTGTATTATTTAAACAAAACATTTTAGTTGTGAAAGTGTGGAACGTGTTGTGAAATCGTTTGTGTGTAAGAAACGTGTCGGGTTACAATGGTGCTATATGCGGAGAGCATGCGAGAGCGAGACAGCCGGCTGTGACGTGTCACGCACGACACGAATCACGAGAATGAACCAAAATGGCCGCCGGTATTCTACAATCATAATATTTATTCTTCGCTTTATAGTGACCTTAACTGATCAAAGTACTGAATGACGTAACCAACGTTTAGTATAATTATACTTTTTTTTATTGTAATTAAACAACTTCTCATCTCACGCGACGATTAAAACAAAGTATAGCATTTCCAAGTACTATTAATAAAAGATAAATCATAATTATAAAGTATTTACGAGCTTTAAGTATTGTTTTCCTATAGATGTAATTTTATGATGACTCATGTTGTTTTGTTTGCTTGGAAATTTTTATTCGCATTGTAATGTTTGCGTAACAAACACACACGTACCTTTAATTTGACATATGATTAATAATCAAAATAGATCATAATCAAATAGTTCAATCAGTTACAGTATATTATTATACTATAAACAAATCCGTTATCACTTTCACAACATACTGTAAACATAACAGTACATAAATGTTTGTAAGTACAGTTAGATATTTCCTCGCATGCTATATTAGGAAATTTGTATCGCACAAGGGCGATTTATCTGTAGCAGATTATTATTGATAATAATTGTAAAGCATTTACCATTCCAGATTTACTTTTAACTGGATAGTTGGTAGGTTCATCACGTCCGAAACTGCTGTTTATTTTAGGAAATTTTAGGCAATATTGTAATACATCATAATAATATTATAATGTTATTATTGAGTATATGAAACCAATTTCTAATAAATATTCTAATTATTATGTACAATTGTACCACATCAGGTATAAAAATTAATTTAATATTACATGTGTGCATGTTTTAGTGCATTTTGTGATTTTAGATAGTTTAATTTATCGTCGATCTTGTGATTTAGATAAGTAAAAAGTTATAATCTAATAAATGGAATGAAATTTAAAGATTATGTCTTGTTTTTATATTACTTTTCCCTCATATCGTTATCACTTAATTATTGCTACCAAAGATTTTTATTTGGATTTAATACCTTTATAACTATATATTTTAGAAGCAATATAATGTTAACAATGATTAAAATATGGTAAACGTATACCTGTACATTGTTATTTAGTCTTACGAACATAATTTGTTCTGACCTTAATATGATGTAACTGTGTATTATATTATTTCATTTGCTTAAATTATCTGCTAACGTGATGCCCCAAATAAGCTAGCGCCATCTTGTATTAAGTAGCTGAAAGTAGTAGTCATAATATTATGCAAAATAATGATTTGGAATATTAAAAACAAAGCAAGAACTGTCAAAGTCAATTGTCAACATGACGTTAGAAAGAAAGATTTCTTGTGACTTATGACGTAAGTAAATAAACAGTATATATTATGCAAAAATAATGAATATATGCAATTTCAGTGTTCAGTTTGAAACGTTATATGTTAAGAGTTAAATATACACAAATTCATTTGTATTTGGTTTTACAATTCATTTGTATAAATCTATTGAAAGTGAATTTTTAGTGTGAGATTAAGTATTTACTTGATATAAATAACTTTTCAGATTCTATAGGTATGTATTATTATTATTGTTCAGCAGAAACAATTTACAATATCATTATAGATAAGAAAGTTTTATCTTAATAGTGATTACAATAACAGGACTTATCAGTACAAATAAACTGTTATCAATAATGTATTTATTACCTTCTAGTAGAGTTTCAATCTTCAGAACATAATGGCTGCATTTTGGTCTATGGGTCCTGGTACTTTCGAAGTACCTATGTCTTTGTTTGCTAAAAATCGCCAAAGACTATCTGAAAAGCTACAGAGTGGGCAGATTGTTTTACTGCAAGGTGGAGAAGATATAAGCCATTATGACACTGATATCCAATATGTATTTAGACAGGTAAGTAATAAAAATACTGACATATTTTCAGTTTTCATCAATTAGCATATAATAATAAAAGCCTTTATTTTTCGAATGTTAACATTGTTAATTTTTTTATAAAATGTTTCTAAGTTTGGTGTGTCTTTTGACATAGGCCTCCTTCAGCTGCTTCCATTGCACCCGATCTGTTACTAACCTGGTCCAATAAGGTCCCGAAGCCAATTAGCATAAACTTATTTAATTTTTTAACATAATACTTTTTTGTTTTTCCTCATGGAATCATATCTGTGTCTTTCATTTATAGGCAAGAGCTTGATCAGAAGTCTGTACCCTGTTTAACAGACAATTTCTATTTTGGTTGTCCCTTTAAATCATTTTCTAAGCTTTATAATTTGAATCTAGCTAATTTCATTAATTTTCAGGAAGCATACTTTACTTGGCTTTGTGGTGTAAAGGAGCCAGGATGTTATTTTGCTCTGGATGTCAAAACAAAAAAGGCTCACTTATTTGTGCCACATCTTCCTGATGAGTATGAAGTGTGGATGGGGAAATTGCTTACTTGTGATCAATTTAAAAAAATATATGCAGTTGATGAAGTTCATTATGTAGAGGAGGTATTGATCTAAGTTGTAATAGGATAAAAATGACAATGATAATATATATTGGGTCTCTTAAACAAATAATGATTCTGGGTCAAAATTTAACAATAATTATAAAAATTAAATTAAAAAATGTGTAATTCATGTGTGAATCAATAAACATCTAGTGTATTTTACATTCATCCTAACAATTTTTACATACATTCTATAATATTGCTTAAGCTGTAATATACCTTTCTTTTTCAGCTTGCTAGTGTTCTGAAATCTTTAAACCCAGAAGCACTTCTTACCCTCGTAAGTACAGATAGTTGTCCTGTTATTTTTACACATTTACTTTGAATATAAAAATTATTCAATTAATTTAGACTGGACCAAACACAGACAGTGGGCTAACAGCCAAGGAAGCAGTATTTGAAGGAATTGATGAGTAAGTACACAAACTAAAATTAGCTTTGTGTGGAAAGTGGTCAGTGACTGTTTCCTTTTACAGTACCTTGGTCCTAAACTCAATGTATTTCACCATTAACAGAGGCTTAATTATTTCTGTCCCAAAGGATGAAATATATCAACAACAGTGATATCAATAACAATACGAAATTATTTGTTAAAGGAAATTTTACCCTAAAATTTAATAATTCAAAATATTGCATAACAAGCAAGTGCATTAAAAATTCCATTAAATTAGCGAACTATAAGACAGTTATAATAATAATAATGAATTTTCAGATTCACCGTAGATAATGAGACATTGTTCCCGATTATTGCAGAATTGTAAGTGCAGATATCATCTATATATAACTTTGATTATCCTTTGATTTCTTCCTTGATATTATTTTTTATTGCAGACGTGTTATCAAGACCCCTGAAGAAATAGAAGTAATGCGTTATGTATGCAAAGTGTCGTCAGATGCTCATAAACAGGTATTATTGAAAAATATTTTTTAATGAATGAATGTAGTCTAGTGAATTAGGTAAAAGAAGCTTAAGTTAATGAAATGGTAAATCTGTACGTCTTGAAGGTATTTTCTTATTATATTGTGTGCTGCAGCAAACAAATTTAAATATTATCAGATAATAAGAAAATGTGGTTGCATATCGACAATTTTAGATAACGATTTATTATCTAATAAATCGTTATCTGAAATCTCTATATAAAGTGTAATAAAGATAAATTATCGATTTCATACATATTTTTAAGGTACTAAGGCAGGTTTAAATGAGAATTTTGTTTAAGTAAAACACTTTAACGGTTTAAAACGCGATATGTTAATTAAATTTATTTGAAAATGATTTCTAACTTCGGCCTGACGTTTCGGATGCTTTGCTACAGTCGTGGTCACGGGGAGACTCCCCAAAAAATATATTTTAATGTGTACACGTAAACTATAGCGAATTTTGTTTTTTTTTTTTTTTTTTGCTATTTGAAAACCAACATGAAGTAACTTTTGAAGCAACTTTTAATACATTTCTATTAAAGTTGACATTTATTATTATGTTTTGTATATTATGCGACATTATTTTATAACACAACAACGTTTGAAGCGAGGTCTTTTTCAATATTAAAAATCAAACGTAACTAATCTAAGTTATAGTTTCAAATTTATGCAAAGTTTGAAGTGTTACGTTCTTTTATTCACATTTTTTATTAATGCGATCTTAAAGTAACGCACAATGCCCGGCATGGTAAATACGTATAACCAGGCCAGCATTTTTAGAAAAGTTTTGTGTATATATATATATACATATGTATATATTTATATGTATTAATTACCAAATAAACTGTATGACAAAGAAATATATTATTTAATTTGGTAAACGGTTCAAAGAGGATTTAAATAAAAACAATAGTATACAATATGTAGAACTGCAAGTTGAGCGACTGTAATATTGTATTAGAATAATTACAGGTGATGTTGTACGCGAAGCCAGGATTAAAAGAGTACCAGTGCGAGTCAGTGTTCCTTGACCACTGCTATCGTATTGGTGGGTGCCGGCACGTATCCTACACGTGCATATGCGGATCCGGTCAAAACGCGGCCACACTTCACTATGGCCATGCTGCGGCCCCGAACAGCAAGATCATTGAAGACGGAGACTTGTGGTATGTTACTTCTTACTGGATTCAACTGTGAAACTATATTCTACTATAGGAAGTTAATATTTATTAAATTTTTATAAGTTTGATATTTGAACACAGTTCTATTTTTATTTGTGAAAAATAGGTTATAATATCCAGTCTCCCCGTGACGGCTGCTGCAAAGCATTCGGTCCCTAGTAAAAAATAATTTCCAAATTTAACTAATATCATGGTATATCGCCTTTAACTGTTTTATTAAAATGATATAACGCTTTAAAATGGCGAAATCAGATATTTAATTTCTTTTTTCAATTTACACAGATTATGAATTGCGCATGATACCTTAAAATCTAGTTTTTAATTATAAACTCTTAAACTGCCATTAATTTAATTTACAGCCTCTTCGACATGGGTGGAAATTATGCAGGATATGCAGCAGACATTACCTGCACCTTTCCGGGGAATGGAAAATTCACTAATGACCAGAAGTTAGTCTATGAAGCTGTTCTTGCTGCTAGGGATGCAGTAGTAAGGTAAACAAACTAGTATTATGTTTAAATATGGCGCTAAAGATAATCAAATCTCAAGTATTTATCACAATAAAAAAAAATGCAAAATCTAAATCATTAATGTAAAATAAACTTAATTAATTTCACAAGGTACTTTTAAAATATATTTCTAAATAAAAATGTAAAAATTTAAATGTTCATAGATTGTAATCTCGCCTCAACAAAAAATACTTAGTTGTAATAGTTTCAAGTATTATTTGCCCTGGATTTTTTTTTTATATGGATGTGTCTTTCACAGAGAAGCCAAACCCGGCGTTCTATGGACTGATATGCACTTGACAGCCAACCGCAGCATGCTACAACATCTAAAAGACGGTGGTCTACTCTTAGGGGATGTTGAGGAAATGATTGAGGTACAGTAAATGTTACCAATACCAGATAGTTTTTAAATAGGAGTAAAAAGGTTCTAGTAGAAAAGTTTCAGTTATTTCAACATATTATGATCTAAAAGCAGGTCAATACTTTCCGGTTATATATTTTGATTATGAAACTAATTAAAATTTATAGAAAAAATCTTCTAATATAGGAGATGATTGATGAATCTGTTTTATATATAAGTGTTTACTTCAATGATTAGAAAAAACCTTTCCTTTCTAAATGTTGAATACGATGAAAATTTAAATTTCTATTATAATCGTAAATGAAAAATTAATTAATTAAGCAACCATGGAGTCCCTATAACTTGAGTTGAAATATTCTTTGCTTTTTAGAATGGCGTCAACGCAATTCTCCAACCGCACGGCTTAGGACACCTGATAGGATTAGACGTGCACGATGTTGGTGGATATCTACCACACTGTCCTCCTCGGCCAGAGGGACCCCTCGCAAGACTTCGTACAGCTCGCCGCTTGCAAGCTGGGATGCTGCTCACCATAGAGCCTGGCTGCTATTTCATAGACAAGGTCTGATTTTTTTTTTATGATATTCACTAGTTAATCTTATAGATTCCATTTAAGTTTTGACTTTACTTTACGCAAGCAACATACATTTCAATAAAACAAATATATGTCGCGTTTTGACGTGTGAAAAGTGTTCTATCTAATCTATACTATTGTAATACTACTTGTCACGAAGGAACGAAAGCAAAATGATTTTAAATCACGATTTGGTCCTTCGAGCCGGTTTCGAGAAGTGGATATCTTGTTGTGATTTCTATACATATAATATTTATAGACTGATAAGACGTAACGTGATCATTAGATTAATACATAATTAGATAGATTTTTTAAGTTTATTTTTTATATGTGTTTTTGCTATGATACTTTGCAGCTTTTGGATCGTGCCAAAGCCAACCCCACACAGGCACGCTTCTTTGACTGGTCTCGTGTAGAAAAGTATCGCGGTTGCGGCGGAGTACGTATAGAGGATGATGTACTCATTACGGAAAATGGTGTAGAAAACTTTACTTTCGTGCCTAGAACGTAAGAATTATTTTCGTTGTTTACTACGAGCCTGAGGGTAGTTTTTTAAAAAGAAATGGAGAGATAGACTTAGATTAATTCAGACTTTTTCATCAACTAATTGATTCTATGCTAAACATTTCAGAGTGGCCGAAATTGAGGAACACATGGCTAACGGCGCAAACTTCAAGTAGTTTTAAGTAAAAATAGAATAAGGTATGTAATTTATTAAAAACCAATCAATAATTATTTGTAAATTTATAATAAAGCTTTGTATATTTTTCAGTTTAAACATGTCTATTCTGTATAATCAATAAAAATCAATTTTATTTTTAACATTTTTATTATTCTGTTAATGTGATGATCATTCACAGAGGTACAATCACATTGCAGTTTTAACAGCTGTAATAACATACTTAATAATAATATCACAAGACAATCCTTATTTTGTTTCATATAACATTATAATTTGGTATTAAAAATTAACATATATAGTGTAATTATTTCAAACAATGCATTTCTAAGCGCATTTAAATACTTAAAATATAGGTTTTTTGGTTCACAGCGCTAAATGTATAAAATATATTTACCACAATAATCAAATATACCGCAAATAATTTTTAATCAATAGAGGTAGTCTTAGTTTATTTAAAATATCAAAGAATTTTGGAGTATTTAATGTTTTGTTGCTTTGTCTTATAAGACACCTTATTTTAACTCTACATAAATGTTTTAATGGCAAAGCTGTAAATGGTAATGTTTCTGCTGTGGTCCCGTCTTTAAAGGTGCCTATCATTGATACTAATCTGTCTTGTACCTATAAGACAAAAAATAATATGGTAATCGTTATTTCAAGTAAAATATTATGGGTGAGAACATAATAGAAAATGTTTGAAGAGCTTACTAGAACACATAATGTTGGGTAGGCTACGAAAGTCTGATTACTATTTAGTCTTCGAGTAAAATGAATCAGTGAAGTCAACTAAAGTTGCACACTGTCTTTTAAGAATGAGCAAATAGTTTTACGCAAAATATAGAAAAACTCACATTTTGTGGTATTCTTCCCAAAACACCATTGTCCGATGCAAATCTTAGCAAGTACCCTGGTTCACAGTACAAACTAAATGGCAACATTATTGGTGCAGTGGCTGGATCTGATGTTAGGGATGCAAGAAAGGCATCAGGAACACATTTCTCCTTATCTATGCATGAGCTAGCACTGCAGTAGTCAACATTGCAACCATAATCCCTAAGTAGCCTAAAGACCTACAATAAGACAAATACTTTATTAATTTTTATACCTCTATATTAATACTTGGATCAAGGATATATTAGGCTACAAGCAAATGCCTAAAAATTAATTATTTATTTGGAAAAAGATCTATGCTTAATTTTTATTTTAACTTTAACTTGGAACATAACTTACCTCTTCAAAACATACAGAATGCATACAATAGTGTATATAAACAAGTGGTGGACATTCATTCACATCTAAGGCGTTCACTGCTAAACCTCTTAATAGGAATAAATTAAAAAATTCTCTAAACTTCTCCACAGAGGTGCTGTATATATATTCGCATATATTCAAATATGAATTCAAAGGTGCATTTGTAAGATAAGTTGGCCTCAAATCCCCAATCTTCTCTAATGTCACATGAAATGTTTCAAAGAAATCAAAGTAGTCTGGGCCCAAATTGTGTGTTAGGAGACTTTCAAGTATTTCCAACTTGAAATAATGTGGTTTACAAGCGTACAATATAATATTTAATGGTATCTTATTCACATCCATTACAGCTAACAATATGTTAAAGATATCGCTATATCCCATATTCAAAGCCACTGTTATAGCTAAATCGCCATATTGGTTTTTGATATGAGGATCTGCACCATTTTTTAGTAGAAAGGTCACAATTTCCGCATTACACCCTTGTGCAGCAAGTATTAACGGACTGTCACCATTCACAGTCACTTGGTTAATATTTGTGGTGAAGGGAAAAATATTTTGTACTGTTTGGAGACAACCTTTGTAACAAGCCAAGTGAAAAGGTGTATAATCAACTTCATTCCTTATCTCTGGGTCTGCTCCAGCATGTAGGAGCAAAGAGACTGCCTCATGCCGTGTGCTCAAGGCAGCATCATGCAGTGGTGTGTCACCATCAAAGTCTTGAACATTTATCATTGCATTATAGTCTATTAACAGCTGTAAAACATCAACCCTGCCCTGTCCACAACAAACATGCATCGGTGTTACACTTTCAGTGCTACCATAATTTGCTATGTCAGGTACGTGGTCAAGTAAAGCTTTTATCAATGGAATAGAGGATTGGTGAGAACAGGCTAGGTATAAAGCGGTGTGTCCCTCGTGGGTTTCAGCGAGCGGCCGCGTTTCGGGATGCTTTAAAATAAGCAATAAACTCTCGTAACTACCGCTGGCCGCAGCTTCGTGAAGACAGGTCCAGCCTCGGTTGTCGATACAGTTTGGATTCATCTTTTTAAGCAAACGTTTAACTGATGCCGTGTCGTTGTTTCTGGCAGCGAGATTTAATGAATTCGACGTAATTGGGTTTAGTGAACTGAAATCCATATTCGTTTTATCGTCAGTCTTTGATAAATTCAAAATAAGCCTCCAAAAACCAACCGCACGATACTATTCCTATAGTTAAACTAACTTCATAATGTAAATGCGAATATCTTTTTATACTAAGATTCGATGTTACATCACTGTTTCTTGAACACGAACACTCATCTTAAACTCAGCACGCCTAAACAAAACCCTAACATGTTTCCACAAGTTTTGACACAACAAACATCTGGTTCCCCTGCATGACGAACTTGTAAGTTTGAAACGTCAATGGACAATATAGATAAATTTATAGAACTATTGAGGAAAATAATATAGATATAGGTAAAATAACAGTAATCGTTTAAGAGTGAATTAAATCTTTAAAGTGTAAATTTAAATAAATGACAACCGTAAAGTGTATAATGTATATTTTTATATTTTAAGTGGCGAAACATGTGAAATTATTAACTAAAACTTTGCTTGCGTGCCATTTTGGCCAGTCACGAGAAATTATGCTTACTGTTTTGCTTATACGATTCCGATCAAAAAAAAAATTAATAAAAGACAAGAATTTTAATTATTCAACATGTCATTAAAATATTCTAGAATAAAAAAGTAAGTTTCACATTCAAATTAAAAAAAGAGAACCTAATAAGGTGGTCTGCAGTAAAATTAAAAATGAATGCAATTAAAATGGAGCGCAATTATACAAATTTACAAAAAACACTGAAAAGTTTGCTGTGATCTTTAAATGAATATAAAACAATGAATAACTATGTACTACAGGTAAACCTATAGGTATATTTAAATTCTATGTGGGGTACACATCTATTCTAACAATTACAATCACAATCTAGAATAAGCAAAGAACATAACAACAAAAACGTTTTTAAAAAAAGACATCTACATATAATAAACGAGGGTACTTTATCAAACAACCCCTTGTCCTTTATGTTTCAAAATGTAAACATCATAACATAAAGACTAGAACGATCCGACCATGCGTACACACACAAAACATTGTTCTGTTTATCAATTTGTCATTCCTTGTTAGGTAGGAGGAGAGGAAATTCGATTGGAGCGATGGGCGTCACTCGAGATAGGGATGCGGTTCTGTTCCGGGGTGACCGGGGCGAGCGACATCTAGCGGCTGGGTAGGGCCGCGCGCGCAGCTCCTCCGCGCTGCGGAAAGAGCCCCGCGTAACACGCCGTCGGTACAGTGACGTCACTGACACCTCTTGCAGAAGGCATCTGAAACAGGACCGAGAAAATGATGTAAATGATGATGATATTATAACAATCATCCATTAAAGACACATATAACATTTTATTCCATACAATGTTAAAATTAACAGGAGATCTAGCAAATTTACATATTGTTTCAGAATTAAACAGAATAGTCGTCGGTGATTCCAAAGTTTTATAGTACAAGCGAATATTTGATTCGCTTATGTTGTGGACTATTATCGTCTAAAAATATTTCTACCTATCCTAAAATCAATAATAAGTAATATGTACAAATAATGTGTAAATTGTATATATAGTGTTTCCGGCCTATTTAAAAATTCCTTGACAACATTTCCGTAACTAACTAACGAACTTTCTAGTTCTTATAAAGAAACAGAGAGAAAAGTTCATCTTAATACTATAAAAATTCAAACGTAATACTTCTCTAATTCAGACAGTTGTTGCTTAGGCGTGGAAGCAGCCACTGGTCGGGTCCGCCCTAATTTCGCCCGCGTTTTTTCAAGCATATTCTGAGTCACCAGCGGCTGTGGTCCCTCTTTAGGAGTAGGCTTTGGTCTGACTGGATTGTCCTATAAGTATTAAGCATTTGTCTTAACAAATTTTGCTGCATAATTTATTATTAGTCCAGGAGTATCCAGTGATCCATTGATAAAATTTGGCATAGTTGAGGTAACTACATTTATTTAAAAAAATATATATACTCATATTCTTATTAAAGTATACTATTTAAATAAAAAATCGTTTATAAATTGAAAAAAATTACGACACGGGCAGGTTGTAAATTGTTATATAAAGTTTTCAAATAAATATTATTTTAAATTGTTAATAATAAATCGATTAGCTGAACTGGTAAGCGTTTCATCTTTGGCTACTTAAGTTTTAGTCTAATGATCTCTAATCTTTTTAACAATAAATATGCTCAGGAGTATTTTGGTGATCTTTAGAACAGCGAAATAAGTTTTGAATTCGGTATTAGGCACATCAGTTTTTGAATCTATTCATTACAGACCTTGTCACAATATGTATTAGTATAGATAGGCTTATATAAATGTATTTTTTAACTAGTTTTACGTCACCTTAGTCCTTCTTAGTTTCACGTTTGCGATATCTTGAGGTGTGATCGTTAGTCTGGGACCAATACTAGGTGGAGCTGAGCCACAGCGGGGTACATTTAATCGTACAGGTAGCTTTGAAGCTAGTGGTACCGGAGGTGGCGGCGGTGGTGGCGGCGGCGGTGGAGGAGGTGGTGGTGGCGGAGGAATCGCTGGCTTTGGTAAGGGTTCAAAGCGGCTGTAAATCGAAGCAAGTCATTAACATAGACTATTTGTACACCTAACAATTAGATTCCAATAATGCATGGATACAAATTCCTAAGTTACAGGATGTAGGTGTTCTAGTTACCCTCTTAGTTTTATGAGATAAATTAGGGGTTGGTTTTAATAATTAGGGAGAGACATGTACCCCCTAGATTTATTTTGAGGGTGAATTATGCGATTGTGAGGACACCACCTTCATCAAAATTACAAATACATATCCGAAGATATTTAAAAACATATTAAATTTGTGTTATTGGTTTCTTCTTTAACTTTAGCTTATTAACTTGAAAAATTAAGATATAAAATCCTCTAAAAGTTATGTTTGAAAACAATGTAATGAAAAAACTAAAAAATTAAGTCATTAACATTAAAGATAGAGCAGTTCAAGTGGTTTATTAATTAGGAGTTGATATTTATGGGCATTTGAATGGATATTTATGGTTTATCACTGCATTAATGTAACACATACCCAACTTAGTTTTTAGTTAACTGAAGCTTTGTGAATTACAGAGAAGTCGAAGGTTCTTGTTTATTGTTTTCTAACTTTAACAATAATTAGTACTCGATTGAGAAGGCTGTTAAAAGTTAACACATAAAGTTCGTTTACCTGAGCTTACCCTGCAGTTCCTCGAGAGCACTACAATTCTTCGCTACCTTATCTCGAAGGCACTCCGTCTCACTGACTTGCTTTCCTTGTTTCTCATCTATGACTTCCACGTATTTTTTCACGTCCTTCAATTCTTGACCGATTTCTTCAACGTACTTCTTAAGTCCTTTCAACTCATGTCTCATGTCCTCCACGTATTTTTTCAAATCCAATAGATCTTCGGCGATCTTTTCATCCTTGTTTTCCTTTTGCTTTATGGGTTCTCGTAATATGTCTGTGTAGAGACCGGTGATGGATTGATATCCCTGTTGAAAAAATCAAATCAAATCGAATTACGTTTTGTTAAACTTAAATTGATGTAAACTTCTTCTCTATACATGTATAATATAACGATATATATATACCTATATATAACACATTTTTTTATTAAACATTAAATTTCAACTTAGAGATAAGAAGCTAACTAAGAAGCAACCAAAATATATTCAATAGACCTAATAATAACATAGCTTAAGGAATAGTACATAGCAAAAAGACCAATGACTAATCTACAATTATAATCTAATTCTATAGTATTACCGAATTCTTTAATCTTCTCCCTAATCTTAAAAGGATACAGCCGTTGCTGTAACGAATTTACAAACGACGAGATTTAAAAAGATCGTTTTTGATATCTTATTGGCTATCTCACTGTGCAAACAAAGCTCGCAAACGCCTGATAATAAATTAACAAAACACTATCACTATGTAAAATACCGTCCTCTATATAATATTACCCCAGTTTTCTAACCATGCATGCTATGAACGGATGGATATCTGACCTTCTTGCCGATCCACGTACATAGGTCCATAACTTTCCAAGCCCTCGTACGATTACTCCGGCGCAAATTTTTCTCCTTCCTCGGAGTGCCAGACACTAATTACACCAAACAAAGATACACGTTAAAATGCATATATACCTGTCTCAGTATCAGCGTTATTTTGCGAACACATAACGAGATCCATCCAAAGAATATTTGCATATCATAGCAAAAATAAAGTTACTATACAAGTTTTTAGCCGTTGGAGGCCCGAATGATGTCACTGCTCTAAACATATTAATGAGTTATCGCCGAGGGGAAAAAATGGTATGGAAACGAGCATTGCATCAATCAAACTCGCGTGACATATTCACAAAATTATCTTTAAACTAGATGTAACCTTATGGGACGATGTTATGTAGTTTCATAACTAAAAAATTATATATCATGTAAATATATCACGATCCATTAAACAGACAATATGATCGCTTTTAGTACATATTGATATAGATTAAAGTGTTTTATTTAAATGTGTACTACTCGCGTAAACTATAGACAGTATCTAAAAAAAAATTATAATATAAAATATAATTTATACATTTACCTGGAGTATTACTGTCAGAATAATTATTTCTACTCGTATTTGCATTCTTGTGCGATCTTTGAATTGCGTCTCTCAGTAAAACAGTGTCCGACTTCAATCTTCTTTTACGTGTTTTGTAGGAATAATTGCTATTTACAGACACAAACGATACTTCTGACTCCGAATTGAGCAGACTTGTTGAACTTGAGGATCCCTGTGCTTTTGATTCCAAGTCTGAAGTATTAGACGCACTCCCGTCACATTTAGTTTTTTTGCAAGGACGCAAATTCCTTTGCTCGTCATAAGATTCCTGTCGCAGTCTTTTCCCAATATTTTCAGAGGAACTAGATTCCTCCATGTCAAAATATTTACTAAAAGATAAATTGATACCGTTTGTATCCTCATCTTGTCTTCCTTCAGTCTGTGTGAAGGTACTTGCTCTACTACTGGAAGGACTTATATCAACCATTGTCTTTTCGACACCGTTAAACGGTGGAGTTATATCGCTTTTCTTTGGAGCGTAACTACACTCATCCCAAGACGTCTCCAATTCTGTTTCCACATTACATCTTCGTACAACTTCTATAGAATGAAATAATTCTTGAAGTTCATCTTCTCCATTCAACATATCACAGACAGGTGTACTTTCTTTTTCTTTGTTACTCGCCATCTTGAAAACTATGTAAACAGCCAGTACAAAATATTCATATTTACATATTTAATAGAATCCATGTTTTATAAGAATGAGTACAATCGTGAATACGTTTACACTATTAATAACCGCGCTTATTACCAACGATTCACATTGTCCCAACAATTTTTAAACTACCCTCCGCTTACTTGCTCTACTCTAGTCTACAAAGAATGTATGTAACAATTGACAGATCATAGCACCGAGCAAGTTATTACAGACCATATTTGACATTTGACTTAACAAAATCACTACAAGCTCAAAAAATTATCACCAAATATGTAAACAATGCCTAATTTATTTGTAATTAAATGTTTTCAATTCAGACCATTTCTCAATTCTTTTTTAACATACAAAAACAACACTTCAGTTTTATAAAAATGGAGAAAACCGTATACATATTACAAGCGTGGGACAAATAAATGATATCTACACTACACCATTGATTCAAAACCTATTATATTTTTTCAAGAATTGCGATAATGTTTCACATTAATAAAAAGAAAATCTTACTTTATTGTGGAATTATTGGGATCATACTGTTGTTTTTATACCCGAATAATATATCTAAAGAGAAGTATGATTACATAACAAAGGAAAACATTTTATACAGCCTACATGAAAAACTTACTGAGAATTTTACTAGCAATGCTATAACTGCTTGCGACTATTACGATATAGTTAACGACGATACATCTCTCTCGATCAGTCTGGTTGATGGTGACTTAGAAGAAGGACATAAAATAAAAGAGGGTGGAGAATATGCTCCCTCTGAATGTAAACCAAAGTTTAGTACTGCAATAATCGTTCCATACAGGTACACATATTATTTTTATAATATATTATGATTTATTAATTTAACGGACTATTCTATTTTATATCATGTTAAACAATCACATTATTGTTTAACAAATCCGAGATTCATGTCAATTAGTAAATGCTATATAAATTTTTCTTAAGATGTAGAGTTGAAAATATATTTAGTTCTTAATTAAACAATTAAATCATAACTAAAATAAAATTTGATAATTTTTTAATAACATTATACAAACATACTTTACAAAGCTTTTATGACAGATTCTATTAAATGAATTGCCATCATCTTATATTATTCTTGTTTTACAGAGACAGAGCAGAGCAATTGCGAGGGTTTTTAGTGTACATGCATTCATTTCTACATAGGCAATATATACACTATCGCATTTATGTAGTAGAGCAGGTGGACACACATCCATTTAACCGAGCAAAGCTGTTAAATATTGGTGCTATTGCTGCAATTAAGGCGGGATACCCTTGTTTGATCTTACATGATGTAGATTTACTCCCAGAGAAAACTGCAAACATCTATACATGTTTGACTTCACCTAGGCACATGTCTTCAAATATAAATAGACCCAGGTAAAGAATATTGTAATTACATAAACATGTGTCATTATTAATAATATGGAGAATACACCAAAAAAGGTTGGATCCCGCTCCCCTTATGTTGGGTACTGGGCACCTGTACTGATTGTGTTAAGGATAATGCTAAGGAAGGGACGGATACAGTGGCGAAACTATAGGGTGGCAAGTCGGCAAAATGCCACGGGCCCCCAGCCCAAAGGGGCCCCCGATCAGAGGAAATCTCAATTGGTGGTTCAGCTTCTTTATATATTGGGGAAGTGGGATATAGTTACGTCACTGGACGGATAGATGATAAAATCTTTGCCCTGCCCAATTAAACAGGACTGGAGGCCAATAAGACAATTTATTTAGAATTAAACCACAGTAAAGTCAAGGAAGCTGCATAAAAAATAAAGAAGATAATTCATACACTTGATATATTATAACTTACAGATTTGCGTTGCCATATTCCAATGTATTTGGAGGTGTTATATCTATACTCTCTAAGCAATACAAAGCAATTAATGGTATGAGCAATACTTACTATGGCATAACTGGTGACAATGAAGACCTTCTGGCAAGAGTTCAAGCTACAGATCTAAAATTGTGTAGATTTGATCCTTCCATTAGCCAGTATCACATGACTACTAATGACTTCATCTCGGAAATGTGAGTTTATCATTATTTATTTTGTATACTTCTATTTTATTTTTATATTCCCTGTCCCTATCTTATTATATAAAACTTAATTAAGACTATTATGTGTTTGATCTCATAAATCATATAGTGTTGAAATCTTGTTAATTATGCAAACCACAATAAGAAAGAATGTTGGGAGGCTCCATTATTTTTTGCTTGGTTGTGTGTAGATAATGACACAGAAACCTTTTATGTATGTCACTTTGTATATGCACTGATTGTGACACTATATTTATTTTTTTTTTACAGAAAACCAGGTAAAAAAGATGAAGAGTATTCAAAGCAAAGAATGTCCAAAGACGGTTTGAATTCATTAGAATTCACAGAAGTAGCAACTGTACTCCATCCATTATTTACCCATATCATGGTTGACTTGTAATAATAGTTTAGGCATATTTCTTGTTAATCTTAGCTTTTTATTTCCTGTTTCTAGTCAGTATTGTACCTGTCCTAGATATAGTTTAAGTTATACAAAGTCAATTACATTTGGCATAAAATTAGTATCAACAACAACATACTTACTCTGTTACTTCATTTAGGATAGCATATAATAATACTCAAGGTTAAAAGTTCCTGCAATCTGTAATTTTATGCACACACACATGCTTATACAAACGCACTTATTCTTCCAATGTGTGTTTTAAAGGTCTAACTTTATCTTACAAAAAATAAACTTACTTACAGGAATAGGTTTTATGTGTATTAAAAACCGTCCTCATTAATGTATCAAGACAATAAAACATAATACTCATGTAGTTTTAACAATGTGCTCTTTAGAGTAATGTTAGCTCTCACTAATTTTAGGATAACAAGCAATAAAAATGTTTGTAGGGATATATTTGGTTTATTTAAACAACATGGTCCCATGGGGTTCAACGAAATGTTCACATATGGAATCTTATGAGGAATATTATATAGTTTACTTTGTTGTTGTTACGTTGGTATATTAAATTTATTATTTATTTTGTATACATTGTTCTAAGGAACAACACTGACCATAAACACAAAAGAATATACAGGCAAATATTGTAACAAATTAATCATTTAAAAAATACATTACACCATGGATTTATCACGCCAATACATTGTCAAATTTAGCACCTTATTAAATAAATTATCACAATACCAATTAGCACTTAAAACAAACCGATTACCATGTTAAGCAAACAATGCATTTTACACGGTGGAATATTGTAATCATTCTAGGTTTACAAATTTTAAATAAAATTGTTTTCCATACAGAACCGGATTTTCTGTTACCCGTTAATCAAATCATAAACATTAAAACAATAATAATATATCTGAAGTTGAATCAGCATTTATCATTACTTGGTTTGCATTATCAACACCTTATCTAGCGCAATTAAAAATACATTGCTTTTTTAGACAGACAAGTACATTTCAAATTCGTAAGACTGCCATTTCAGGCAAAATATAATACATTTTATGTGGTAACTTTTTTTGACAGGTGTTTATATTTATTATACATCTAAAAGAGGTGTATAGTAGTCTAAGGCCGCAAAACTAGCATGCTAACTAATCCCAAAACAAAAGAGAACACTAATTTTAGATTAGACCCAACATGGAGCCACTCTGGTAATTGTGATTTTACAACTTGGTCGGGCTGCGTAGGCAGAAGAAGAGCAGCTATACAACATATACTTACTACCACTGCTACTACATTTATAGGCTGTTGATCCCTGAAATCAGATTTTCAACATTCAGTTATAACAAGTAAAAAATAAAAAGAAGTAGAAAATTGGAAAGCAGATTAGTTCTTTAGATTCTCTGTTCACATTTTAGAATGTTTTCTTACCTATGATGACTGCTTGTAACTTTGGTCGCATCATCAATAGATCTTACTAGTGCTGGGCGAGGAGATGTTAAGGGGTGAAAGCTATCTCCTAAACTCTCTTGATTGATGCTCAAGGGTTCCCCTTCTATCAATTTTGTTGGTATGTCTCTTTTACCTAGAGCCTGTAAAGCATACGAAAATAGAACAGGTTTTTATTACCTTACTTCAGTTCTGCGTCTAAATAGTTTAAATCTATAAAATGTTAACAACAACTTTTGTAGTTCTTAAGGCCTGGGAGGAGCTATACCGGTCATAAAATAATTTATGACAAAAATTTTATTGTACCTGATGGGTGTTCTTGTCATACATAGTTATCCTAAACTTTTCAACTGTATTGCAGTGCGTTAGTGATGGTTGTGTGTAGCGAACAACAATATCTATACAACTTTGAGGTGCTATTACACCATCTGGATCGATAACTGTAAATTTGTTTGGTGACGTACATAGCACTGTAAAAGAAATATGAAATTAACACGCATTCAATAAACATTAATCGGAGCAAGTCTGTATAGTTTTCATACCTTGAAAATTTACTGAAAAGTCGTATGGATTGTACACAGTTAATAACTGTTTGTGGGTATGTCTGGCATTCAAATAAAATTCTAATGACACGGGAAACACGAACACTGGAAAATTCTTCATTTTTAATTAAAAGCCTCAATATCAACACACATTAAAAACAAAGCAAGAACAGCTACTCGAACTCCGTGGGATTTTCAATTTTGGGGTTGACAGTGACAGTTCCATAGACTAGGATAATATATGAACAGTTTATCACAGAATGCTATTTAATGAATGAATCTAAGAATTTAATAACAGAATTCAAAATAACTAGACAATTAAAAAAATATTCTAACGTTCGTCGATGTCGAGTTGCTAATGGTATCTAAATATAGATATAACGACTTAAATTGGGCATTAGGCGGATTTTTCATGCATTCGTCTGAGATGGCTTGTCATCAAATTCCTATGTCATGTTCTGACTCCTTAAAACGACATTTTGAAATATCCGAATCGAATTCCTAAGGATTTATTATGATACTAACTTTTTTAACAAAAGAAAGAAAGAGATGATAACGTTATAGAAACAGAAAGAATTGCGAGTTTAAGTGTTCCATTATAATAATTTCATTAAATTCGGCTTTAAACGAAGAAAGTAAACATGTCACAAACGTTAAGGACAGTCTGTTTTATCTCAACAGAAGACCGATATGTTATGTCGCCGCTATCCCTCACAACGTCAACAAAATCGCTTCTGATCTGAGGTGGTAGAAGCATGACAGAAGCCAAGCACGGAGACACCAATACGTGTGCCAACGTTTGATTTTTAAGTATTAAATAATGGTCCGACAGTGTTCTGACGCATCACGTCACGTCAGCATAACGTATATCTGCATTTATTTATGGTTAATAAAACGCATAGTTTCAATTTTCAATATATTTTAAGTGTAACATTTAAATTAAGTTAACCATTTGTATAGCCATAGTAGAAAATGAAAACCACATAAAAATACAAAATAATTTATTGACCTCTAACCAAAAACAGAAGTGCCTGTAATATTAACCTACATTGACAACGTTTTACATAAAACTTACGAATATTTGAAACAAAAGCAACCGAAGTCTACAAACTATATGTAAAAAGTGTGTTGCTGTGGTATAAAGTTAAAATATCACATGTTCTTTAAGCATAGCTTATTTACGCATAAATAATTTTCCTACTTATATTTGTAAGGTTTTACAAGTATAATATTGTTGCCACAAGCAGTTTATGCCGTTTTTTGAAATCCCTATGATTATAAATATATAGATATGCGTGCTGTGTTTGGTGTCAGTACGGATACAACATGGCCACAGCTGGGTCTTCCGTCTCAAACGTTATGAGAACTTCCTTGAACTTATCTAGAAGCTGCATTAGCTGCGAACGTGTGACATTTTCCATGAACATTATTTCTTCAAGATGCTGCTCGCCGCGGAAGTAGCCTGTACAACAATTAACATTGTTTAAAAATCGAGACTAAATTGAAAAAAAAATCGACTCGGCCAGGACTTGAAACGGCATCGTCAGCGATCGGACTCGGTAGCTCAATTGGAGAGCAACAGCACGGAACGCTGACGATGCCGGTTCAAGTCCTGCCTGAGTCGAAAATTTTTTCAATTTATTTTCGATTTTTAAATTATATAGTGCCTTCATGTGCAATAACATAAACAATATTAATGTTTTCAATTAACATTGTTTTTAGCATACAAAGCTACATATAGCATACAATACAATTCACTTGGTGGTAGGTGGGCCTATAGCGTCTAAATAGGATGTGCTGACCTATTTTGCCTTTCCAAAATCCACAGTCTGTAACCGAACAGATTAAACTCCACGGCTCTTTCGCCTGAGGACGGTGACTTGTGACCCGGGCGAAATTTCGATATTCTTACCACCCATTTTATATATAGATTTCCAAATACTGTCTATAGTTTACGCGAGTAGTGCACATTTAAATAAAACACTTTAACGGTTTAAAACGCGATATATTAGTTAAACTTATTTGGAAATGATTTTTAACTTTGCCCCCCCCGTGACCACGGCTGTTGCAAAGCATCCGAAACGTCAGGCCGAAGTTAAAAATCATTTCCAAATAAGTTTAACTAATATATCGCGTTTTAAACCGTTAAAGTGTTTTATTTAACTATAGATTTCCAGACGAAGTCCAACATGTTTTAGAAAAATTATGAATTGATTAGAAAAATGTTAGACCCGGTGGGGATCGAACCCATTGATTATTATTAGTTGCACATTGCTACCATTACACCGACGTGCCCGTCAAAATATTATTACTTTTGTTTTGGAGACATTGATATACCGGGTGATTAGATCATCATTTGCTGATTTCATCCATTTCCCCTTTCCGCCTTTGCGTATAAAGGCGTATCAATAACCTCATGATTTTGTTACATTTATTAGCAGGGCTCAACCGTTTTATTTATGCCGCGTTTTATTATTTCGTATTTCTTATAGAAGTCCAGTTTGGTATGGTGGGGCATCGGGCGCACACAAGGTGTACGTTTCACTCATCGCCTTCAAATGACAGGCACATTAAGCAGTTGGTTAAATCGAAAAATAGTTTGAAATCTTAATATTTTTCACATGTTGCACATGACGGCACTTGACTTGAACCGGCATCCTCAGCGTGCCGTGGCTCTAACTACTAACACAGCTACAGTCTCGGTAAAAAGTTTTGGTTCCTCCTCAAACTCAAAACCTTAACGCAACGTCTTATCTAAATAGTTGAATTGGTATAACTGGCGTGTATTTCTCATACAAACCTTTTTTATGCAATTGTGCAAGAAGCAGTAAATCGTCTGGGTTGTCCGCTGCGGGTATTTTAGCGAGTACCGCTCTCTCCTCAGCCGTGAAGGTGTCCAATAGTGATTCTGTACTGGGCGGATCGGGAGGTAGACGGCATGCATCTATTGCGTCACAGCCCAACGGGGCCGTCCATACAGTTGGCGACTGGAAACTGGAGAACAATTTGATTTAAAAAATTACAGATAGTAAATAATGTTACATAATATGTAATGTACGCGAGTGGTACACATTTAAATAAAACACTTGAACGGTTTAAAACGAGATTTATATTTAAATTACAGACAGCTTAATAATAAAGTATTGTCTGTAATTTATGCGAGTACAAACTTTAAATGGTTTAAAACGCGAAATATATTAGTTAACTTAATTTTAATTTAAATGTACTAAGGTCTGACGTTTTAGTTGCTTTGCAGCAGCCGGGGTCACAGGCCAAAGCTATGGCAAATCATCCAAAGCGTCGGTTTCATTTAGATTTCATTGGTATTTCTCATGTATACAGGCAATATTGAATAGGTATTGACTTTGGTGTGACAGCTAAAAAAATCTGAATGGAAATTTCGCAAATTCCATTTTCGCCTATGAATAATATTTGTATGACAAATACCAAAAAAAAAATCATACCTCAAATAAACTATTTTTTAAACTTTTCTCCTGTACTTCAGGTTGCCTGGAAGAGATCGCTACTTAGCGATAAGTCCGCCTTTTATTTATATGTTAGCACGTAAGATTTTTTCCTCATTTATATGTATTTTCTGTGGTGTGTTTTATAAGCAATAAAGCAATAATAAATAAATACCTCATTTCGCTTTGCAGCTTCAAATTCAACGAGACACCCTTCTTTTCGATACCATTGCCCAGGCCGTTATACTTCTTTCCCACTTCATCACCCTCGAACCTATCCTCATCACTACTATGCGTATCCTTCAAAGAGACATCAGACAACCTGGACGTCAACATCTTCTCTTTATCATCACTGATATCTCCATTTCCATTCATATTATTCGAGATTCCGCTATCAACTGAATTCGCTTGTTTCTTTTTGTCTTTGTTGAAGTCGCCATTTTTTACCAGACCATCGACAACATCTACTCCATCATCAAAGGAGTGATGAGCTGAGTCTGCTTCGCTGTATGTATCGTATTTGGTTAGATCTGATTCAATCACTATAGGTTTTGTATGAGAGAAGTCGGTTTGATTGAGATTGTTCTGTGTGGGATAATTGCTTTCAGAATCCGGGAAAATGATTATGTTTTCCCGGGGTTCGACCGGCTCTGGCACATTCAGTTGTAACTGGTTTAGTGATGAAAAGGAAATGTTGCTGGATTGATAGTATGAGTCGTGCTTTTCGCAGAAGTATTCTTTTCCCTCTGAAAGGGTATAACAAGTTGTTTAAACATTTCGTTTGGAGACACCGATTGATGGATTGATTTGTTAAACATTTCACCCGCTTCTTCCGCTTTTGCGAAGGACAGTAGGGATGGACAGTATTAGAAGTTATAATTTTATTCTTGATCCATATACAACATTAAATGGTGTTTGTGTTATGTAGAAAAACCTTAACCCTTAGAGCTAACAATATGTCAAAATTAGCTCTTGTTGTTAGCTCAATAACCATTCTATATACTCAAATAAATGAATTTTATATAACTTATTTTATATTTAAATTATGTCGAATGCCTACTACTACTGTTTCTTATGAAATCAGTAAAATTGTAGTATTATTTACCTTGGGGGCTATTAGGATGTCGATTTCGGGGCCAATGGGGCGAATTAAACTGCACGTATGTATGAAGTTGTAATAGAAGTCTACGCTGGAGCAGCCATGCCACCAACCGGGCTAATCGTCCCCCGCCCCGCGCACCCCATGCTCCACTGCGACACACGTACCATAGGGGGGCCGGTAGCGAAAATTCACTTAACATCTGTAATAAAAAATATTACATACAGACTCATATGTACTCCAAATGTTATAATGTCTACTATTTTGTAAATTTGACATTGACACAAACATGAAATTAATTATGGTTTGAGGATCAGAGGTCATTGTTGTAACATATAGTGTCTTAAAAATCGATTCTAAATTGAAGAAATTATGACTCTGACAGGACTTGAACCAGCACCCACAACGTTCCGTGCCTGGATGCCGGTTCAAGTTCTGCCCAAGTCGTCATATTTTCAATTTATAATCGATTTGTAATTTATATAGTGCCATCATGTGTCATCTTATCATTGGACACTGATGTGTCCTCTTTTGTAAATCATAAACATTCTATAGTATGACACTGCCCTGCAAAATTGTTATCTGTGCCACTGACTGGATTAAATTAATATAAAAATAATTTCTATCAGAGATGCGCCGAGTAACGAGTACCGAGTTTTACTCGGCTCAATTTTTATTGAACCAAGTACTGGGCTGAGTAATTCGAGATTCAAATTTTAAATATTAATTATTTTGATATGAGAGTAATGTCTCACTCATAATTTTGATTTTCAAATACTACTAATAAATACTTTTCGATTAACGTTTCGTTTTAAATACTGTCTATAGTTTACGCGAGTAGTACACATTTAAAAAACACTTTAACGGTTTAAAACGCGATATATTAGTTAAATTTGTTTGAAAATGTCTCCCCGTGACCACGGCTGCTGCAAAGCATCCGAAACGTCGGGCCGAAGTTAAAAATCATTTTCAAATAAGTTTAACTAATATATCGCGTTTGAAACCGTTAAAGTGTTTTATTTAACTATTGTTTTATTTAAATCTACCTAAATATATTTCTTAAACGAAGTATACTCGTTATAAAATAACAAAGTATAACCAAATTATTCGGCCGAGTACGCACCGAGTATCAACCGAGTACTCGGCCCATCTCTAATTTCTACTAACCTGCAGAAGACATAAACCGGGAAACTCTTTAGCGAACTCATCAACGAGTGGTGAGTGTACGTGGACATTTGCAACCGGCGACACAACGTACACGTTGCCTTCACAGAGCGGATATATAACAGTGGCCTTCGCCCAGTACACTAGGTGACCTGTCAATTGAAACGCCTAGAAATAACAGATTAATCCATTCAAATTATGTTGCATATAACAAAATCAAGTTGAAATTAGCGTATTTCTAAAAAATTAAGAAAAATTACGACATGGGCAGGACTTTAACCGTCATCCACGGCGTTCCGTGCTGTTTCTCTTGCAATTATCGATTTTTTTATTTATCTAGTGCCATCATGTGCAACAACATGTGAGAAATAAAGTTATATTCATTTTCTCCTAAAATATTGTAATTTTTAACTTTTATATAAAATTTGACGTCGGTAGGATCAATGGCACGAATCATTTTGGGTATAGATTCCAGACACGTCTGTGTAATAGATTTTTCTAACATTTTCCGTTTATACCACACTCAATAAGAATCTAATCCATTACTAAAGATAATTTTTACTTAATAACAATAACTAGAATACTAATTGTACTATTTTATTGTACAAGTATTTTAGTTAATAGCCAACAACTTACCTGCGTCAAAGCCAGATCTGCCTCAATGGCTAGGGTCTGTAAACTTTTTTAAGGGGCTGTATGATTTTATCAGACGAAGTAATGCCGGGCTGCCATCTAGTGGTATAGATGCTAACAAATCATTTGGATCAACCTGTAATTATTGTTACATAATGTAATTAAATATATTTTACTGAATATAGGTAGGTAAATAAACTTACCATAAGCAATATTCCATGATAAGGCCGTAACATTAAAACGCATTTGTCTATAGTCTCTGGTTCAACACTTAGGCCTCTATTGTGTATTTGGTGAGCCTTGTGCGGTAGACAGAATGAGAGTAGCACCCAATTATTTATTCTTACTTGAACTATGCCTAGAAAGATAATATATTTTATTATTATAAGTATATTTGAAATATAATGAAAATGTCAGAGGAGAATTAAAATAGACATTTATTAGAGCCTTATGGCTAACAGATTAGTATTTAACATATTTGTTTGTAGGTGTACTTAAAATAAAATTTAAACTAAATTTCTTAAGATATAAAAACATACATTACAGGCATATTTAGCGAGTTTTTTAGTAAATGGAAAGCTCACCTGTGTTACTTAATTCTTCAAATACAGATTTCATAGATTTAGCTAGTGAGCTCTTATGCAGTATCAAATCAAAAGCATTTTTAGGTATTGAATCAATACCATTTTCGGTGCTAAAAGTAGTAGAGCTAACTGAATGTCTCGAATTTTCTTCATCTTCGTCATTTTCACCATTCAATTCTGGATCCAGAGCGGATATTTTATCATGCGCTGCTAGCTACAAAATATTGTATGTTAATATTTTTTTTGTATTATTAAAACTCTTAAATAATAATAAAGTAACGATCACATTACGAAAAAATTCACCTCAATAGACAAAACTTACCATAATTTTCATCTCTTCTGTTAAATATGAACATCGTTTTTCCTCATGAGTTAGTGCCTTACCCAGTCTTTTACTTAAATCGTAATAACATTTTACTGCAAAAATAATATGTTTTTATCATAAATTGTATATTACCTAATTCTATTTAAGTTTTATACTAATATATAAAGCTGAAGAGTTGTTTGTTTGAACGCGCTAATCTCAAGAACTACGGGTTCGAATGTGACAAAAATTGGGAAAATTATTAATCATTATGGGTTTCCAAAGCATTTGTTGCAAAAATAGTACAAGATACCCAAAAAATATATATTAAAGAATGATTCCTCTTTAAATGATCAAAAAAAAAGTCCGCGACCGACGTCGTATAAAATAACTATTCCATGCGATTATTCTTTTTATATTCGAACTAAATTAATAACTGCGTTTTAAGCAGTAGACTTAACTTAGACCAATTTGGACTGAAATCTTCTTTTATATCGTAATAGGTAGCTTAATACTATACTATAACATGAATCTGTATTGACTAGGCCCCATTTCACAAGATTTTTTTAAAGCTAATACAATTTTAATAATAATAAATAGAATATAGATTTACCCACCTATAGAATGGCTAGCAGAAGCTTGCAATGCAAAAACAATGTTGATGAGTATCATAGCAGCTGTATCATCTTTGTTAGTCCTATATGGTAATAATGTTGGATGGCCAACAAATCTTACATCATTTACTTTTAATTCAAATTTTCTGTTACACAGTTCTGCCTTTACCGCAAACAGAGTTGAGAGCATTTCGTCTGTGAATCCACTGAGCTGACCTGAAATTTCACAAAAAACTTAATATACCTAAATATTCTTAATAAAACTATGTTTATTAACCCATTGTAAGTAAAATAAGATTTTTTTTAAAGTATTAGGATATTTGTATGATGGCAAAATCAAATATTAATTACATTTTACTTTACATACATTTGCTTTTTACATCAGCGAAAGATGTTAAGATTTTAAAATGAAGAATCTCTTGCATCAGTTAATATACTAAAATACTATAGTTTGCTTTATGACAGTATACTGTGTTTTTGAAAAGCTTTGATTGAATATATTATCTAGTAATTACTTATGACTAATCCTAGACTGCATTGTTAAAAGCATTAATGGTGTGCAATATACACATATGTAAGATTTATAAAATATACCTTTGCATATATTGGAAGTCTGAGATTGTGGATTTTGTAGCAAATCTTCAGTTGAGTTGATAGCGTACGGATTAAGACGACCATTTTTTTTTTGTTTGTTTTCACCCTTGTTATCAGTCGTGTAGGGATATCTAAAAAGTAATCTGTCTCCTTTGCTATCGGACTTCACAAAAAATATGTTTAATGGGTTCACTTCCATCTTGGTGTCACACAAATACAAAGGGATATACTTCTTACACTTATTGTAAACAACTTTTGTAAAAGGAGTCCCTTCGAGGATTTGTAATCGCCAATATTGTCAACGACATTGTTGAAACGTTTTCACCAAGATTTAAATTAAAGTCATCACTAAGAAACGTCATAGGACCGTATAAAATAAACGTAATGTTTTTAATATGTACTACATTTGCTAATTACCAATTTTCAACACAAATCTTACTGAATTGGGTAAGGTGTTTGTAGCAAAAATAAATTATCTTGTCCCCAATTATGGTCAAATGTCAAAATAAATATAAATCGTCAAGTGACAACGTGACGTATTGACAGTTATGTTTGCAACGAATAATTCAGCGGTCGATTTTTGTGTAATGACAAAATATATTTTATTTGCATTCATTTAAATATATTATTTTTGTTGTAACTATAACCTAGTCCTTTTTGTACTATACTAGAGATTTTAAAACAGAAATCATGAAAGTTAGTGCAGAAAAAGTTCCTCTCGAAACAGATCAAGGAATCGTTGAAAGCGAGGAACGTAGATGGGGTCTTCCATTGCGGGAAGTTTATAAACACGGACTAGTCTTTTATAAAGGTATTTTATAAAAGCTTTATATGCACAATTAACAAGTATTCTAATCATATATTAATCGTCAAGTCGCATTTGAAGTAGTTTTGTATGAATTATAAGGATGATTTTTTTTATATCACGCCCTGTTTTTTATTCGTTTCAATATGAAGTCTGCAAATAAGTAATAATTTTAAATATATTTAAAAAATATATATGCGCTTTCTTATTATAGTGGCGTAAATAAATGATCTTTAAAAAAAATTACAGATAAAGAAGGTAAAGCAATTCACTTGAGTTATGAAGATAGATTAAAGCTAGTTGCATATACACAACAAACTGCCCATGGGCCTCTAGACGTAAATTCAGCTTCACCACTAGGCGTTCTAGATGTAATTGGACGGGATAGAAGAGCTGCTTGGCAAGCTCTTGGTCAAATATCTCAAATTCAAGCTATGTCCGGTTTTATACATACATTAGACAGGTATGCTATATTTCTTTTACAAATTGAATATTAATATATATTCCAGCTAGTAAGCAAAAATACTATCATGTTAGATATACTTTGTTTCTATTCCAGATTATGTCCTTTATTTAGACCATATATAGAGGCTATACAAAAAGATTTGGAGGCCAAACAGCAACTGGAGTGAGTACTAGCAATTTTTACTATCTTACTTGTTAGTGTAGCTAGAAATTAATCAATATTGTATCTAAATGGCTTTTGTAAAAAGTGTCTCTATCAGTCTTATATGTTTTTAGATTACAAAAAGAAAAAGAGGAGCAAAATCATATAGAGCTAGAAAATAGGATAATTCAAGAAAAAGAGAAGCAACAAAGTACTAAACTAACAGAGGAACAACAAGTGTAAGATCAAACCTCTCTTTGACTTTTATATTACAGAATACTAATGTTTACAAATTACTACTTGAAAAGACTGGATTTGTCACAGAAGTTTTTTTGACATTGGTATAGCTATTTTTCAGTTTAGAAGGGCTTAGTTGATGTTATTTCTATAAATTAATCATATGTAATTAATTTCAACGAGATGAAAGAGTATGACCAAATGGCTCTAAATGTTATGATCTATACTTGATGCTTAAATTTGTAATAACATTTACAGCCAAAGAATAAAGGATGCCCTAAATGCACAGTCATATGACCAGTTTTTGGAATATGCAAGACAACAATTTCCTGGTAACTTTGATCAGCAAGCTGTTCTTATACGTCAGCTACAGGATCAGCATTACCAACAGTATATACAGCAGTTAGCGGTAGATGAACGACTGGCTAAATCTAATATCAGTTGCAAGGAGGATGATAATATTGCAACCTCTAAAGATTGTAATTCTAATGAAACAGAGAGTATTGTAGATAATAAGTAAGTTATTATTAATATGAAGTCTAAATATAATATATATTCAGAAAAAAATTTAATACATTTTGTTTTTTAACAGGTTAATTTTATTTTATGTAGATATTAATGTTGTATTTATGTTCTTTTAGGGCAATGCAAACCATAGAGAAGGCAGAAATAAGTGATTATAATGACGAATCAAGAGATGATGACGGTGAATCAGAAATAGATGGTAAGTTTTAATGTCAAATAAGTCTTACCCAACTTTCACAGATAGTGAATTTGAATTTATCCTCTTTTCCCTTGTTCTACAAAAATAGTGAAATCCCTTTTGCCTCTCAGACCAAGGGCTGAACATATTTTTGATCAAATGCCCGACCAAAACAATCTATTGTTTCCCCTGATTCGAACTCAGGACTTCTCATGCTTAACGAACTGCTCGCTTAATCAATTAGCTATAAAGGCGGTGGTAATATTATTCCATACTTTTCTTTTCAAGATGGCCTCCCACCTGTAGAAGATGCGCGTATGTGGACTCGCAAAGAAGTAGAAGAATTCAAACAGTCAGCTCGAGCCAATGGCGGTAAGCTGACTGTTGGACATGGGGAAACAGTCACAGTTCGCGTTCCCACGCATGCTAGAGCTCGGTCCATATGCTGGGAGTTCGCTACAGACCATTATGATATAGGTAAAAAGACATACATATTATAAGAAATTAAAAAAAAACCTAATATCATGTAAATGTTTGTGAGGTTAGGTGTTTGTGATTTTTTTTTATGAGAACACCTATTTTTAAATTAAATTACATATACATAGACTTAACCTGAACCTTCAAACATAATTTTTTTTTATGTTTACATATTTTTATTTAAAAATGAAACATTTGTTTATTAAATAGGTTTTGGTCTACACTTTGAGTGGAGCAAGTCGGCGACATCAGAGGTGACAGTGCACGTATCGGAATCTGATGATGAAGAAGATGGAGATGATGATGACGATGCTGATGAAGGTACATATTTCACATAGTATAATAGCAAGTGTAATTAGAAGTAATACCTGGTGTGGCATTAAATATTTACATACACATCTCCAATACAGACTTTGCTGTACAATAAGACTTATAAACTGATTGACAGTATATTTTTTATAACTTGGCATGTTTGTTCAATTTTGCATGAAATCCATTTTCTCTGGACATTGGTTTACACTAAAAATACTTTGAGACATTGCTTTATAAATTAAACTACTGAACTACCGAAAATTGATACAAATCCTAAAAATGAATTTACACAGATGTACAGATTAAAATTTCTGCAAAGCATTACAAACATATAATTAAAATAAAAGTCATATATAATGGATATTTTTTTCCCTGTGCCATATGTGGCAACAACTACAATGGTCTTCACTAGTTCTCTATGAAGAGAAAAATAGACTATACTTACTTGAACTGTTATTAGAACGAATAAGAAACCTATTCCTCCCATTTTCAGAATATACAATCCAGAACAGTTCAGATCCTGAGGTGGGATCTAGCAAACGCGTGTTAAGCTCCTCTCGACCACTTGTCAGTCTCATTGTGCCCATATATAGGCGGGATTGTCACAGCGAGGTATGTAGGAAAAATATTCTGTACCGTCCACTAGAATAATAAATAACGTTTTTTCAAAAAAAATTTGTGTTTGAAGGTACATATTGTCGTTTATATACAGATTGTTTTCAGTGTTAAATAATCACACTATGTTTCAGGTATATGCCGGGTCTCACACATATCCCGGAGAAGGGGTTTACCTACTGAAGTTTGATAATACATACAGTTTGTGGAGGTCCAAAACTTTATATTACAAAGTTTATTACATTCAATAAATTGATATTGATTGAAAATATTTTAAATTAAATTTAAGTATATATAAACTAAATTATTCAAAAACTTTGTATTTTCACCATGACAGATTGTGTAAACAATAAGAAAAAGTTTAGGCTTTCTATAGATACAAACTTTGCCAATATTTCAAAAAAATATTATCTAATATTAATTTATACTTAACATTGAGATACAATCTATAAAGTTAAAAGTTTAACATATTTACGTAATTTATCTATTTAGCTAGTTTAGTGTTTAGAGCAATATTGCTATTTATTATGCTTTAAAATGTCCTGTTACTAAATGTTGTAATTTGTATATTTTTATTGTACCATCACATATATACGTCGAATAACGTTTATTGTTAGATAATCATCTTTATGGAATACGAAGTATGTGTATAATATAAGATTTAAATATATAATAAAAGAAGTATTAATGTCACATTCAGTTAAACATTATTTAAAATGTACATGTATATTTTTAATTTTCTGTGTTTATTTAATTAGACTGTACTTAAATGTAAAAGTTAGAAATGGTGACTTGTTCTGTAAAATTAAATTATTTATTGTAGATGTAGCTGTAAAGAATATTTTATTGATTTTAGTATTGATATCCGCCTTCACATCTCCCTTTTTCCGCTACTCTATTTCGATTATTATTTAGTTAGTCGACGCAATTAACTATATTATTGTGAATAAAACAATTGAATATGAGAAATATATGTATTATAGTAAATATACAGATTTATTATTTAACTGCTACCGCTGTCGTTAATGCAATCTTTAATTTTAATCTCGGCATCCCAAAGAGAAATGTAATAGGTAATACAACATTTATCGCTGATGGTTGATTATATCATATTTTATGTCATAAATATAATTACTGCCATCTACCGTCCTTATTAGTAATACCTAATATTTGGATTTAGTTTCGGGATTAAAAGAAAATTAAATACAGGATCCATCCATAGAAATATATATTTTTGTGTATATATAAAACTATTTTATATTATATCATATTAATTAATTAATATTATAGTTTAAGCTGATCGCAGCATGCGTGCATTTTCTTCAATAAACACATATACTTGTTAAACTACATACTTTATTCACAAACAAAAAACCTAAATCAATATAAAAAACGATCTTTGTGATTCGTTAACTTCATAATCGATTAATATGATAATCGATTTAACATATCAGCAAACATTCAATAATCATTTTGATTTGAACTGTGTTTGAGTGTGACAGTGATGTGAGAGCTATGTTTTGTTTTTATTTTTAACGAAATTTAATTAATCCTTTATTTCAAAATGTTTCAAAATTTTATTTTAAAAGGATTTCAAGTGAAGATAGCAAATAAAACTACAAAAATCTTTAGCAAATTACCAGTTCATATTCGACCTTGTGAGCACTGTGGATCCAGGTTATATTCTAGTCAGAAATTTCAAATTTTACCCAGTAATTCTGAAAGGACGTTATTCAGGCGAAGTAATGTTTATATTTTTAAAACACGATATTATACAAGTGAAGTGGACGCTCAGAAGAAAAATGGCCAAGTCACAACTATGAAAGATAAAACTGTGATAACCACTAATGTAAAATTAAAATCATCTGAGTTAAAAAGGTTGTTCAGTTTAGCTGCTCCAGAGAAATGGACACTTACGGGTACGTTAAACGTCAATTATATCATACGAATAAATAAACAGACAATTATCGAGTTCAAGTTTCAAAGTGTTATCTGATTTTTATGTAACAATATTTGGAAATGCTAAGACTTCTTATTGTTTATCTCCTGTACACAATTTCAGGAGCGGTTGGTTTTCTTATCATATCCTCAAGTGTGACTATGGCTGTTCCATTTTCCCTGGGAAAGGTTCTTGATATAATATATGACACAACAAGTGACTTAGGAGCCGCCCGTGAGAAACTTGACTCACTTTGTCTGATGCTGTGTGGAGTTTTTCTATTGGGAGGGCTGTGCAACTTTGGAAGAGTTTATTTGATGTCAATATCGGGTAAAATATGGTATATTTTAAAACATCCATTTATTTAAACATGGTTAAACCTATTATTATTCAACAACATTTTTTACACTTCATAATAAAATATTCCTATGCCACTTAGTGTTTGCATATAAAACTAGTTTAATTAGTTTTTATTTTGTAGAAATCATGCCTAAGAGCATAATATATTTGCAGGTGTATTTTTTTATAAGCAATATTAGTGTGCATAATTTTTAAAGTGAATTCATTTAAACCGGTTCATAAAACAGAAAATGTATAATCAATTTTTTCAACCGTTTTATAAACTTTTATATGCCTACATGTAATAAATATGGTAGAACAGGCATTAGTCTTAATGGAAAATTCAAATGTAGCATAAAAAAATTAAGAGTTTGTAATGTACACACATACATATTCAAATAAAGATATAGTTTGATAATTATATTGAATTATGTTTTTATTTCATTCTTTCAATCATTCACTTCGACTTTACCATTTATTGATTTGCAGATGTCTCTCCTATAAACCTGTTCTTTTTAATTCTATTTCAGGTCAAAGAATGACACAATCTCTCCGTAAGCAAGTCTTTGGAGCGATAATGAGACAAGAAACACAGTGGTTTGGAAAGAATTCAACTGGAGAACTAGTGAATAGATTGTCAGCTGATACACAGCTGGTAGGTCGGAACTTAAGTCAGAATGTGAGCGATGGGCTTCGATCTTTGTTTATGGTTGGAGCAGGAACCGGTATGATGGTAAAGATGTTTGACTTTATATATTGAACATTAAAAATTCCTAAACAATTAACCGTAGTTATTTTTTTTTGTTTAGCGACTACACCTAGTCTTACTTTGATACACTGATTGCTTTTATTTCCAGATATGTACTATGTTTAGGGCTAACTGTGAAATTTGACAATTTTTAGTTCTACATGTCACCATCGCTAGCACTCATAGGATTATGTGTTGTACCGCCTGTATCAGTGTTGGCTGTGATATACGGACGTTTTGTGAGGAGTATAACTAGACAATTGCAGGACACCTTGGCTGATACCAGTGAGGTAATAAGGAAGTAATTTTTTTATATAAACACAACAAAAGAAAAGCAGTAAAAAACAGTTTTTTAACTAACATATCTAGCTAATTGTGCTTCCGAGTCCTACACGTCATCGTTGATTTTTTTTAATCGATTGATAAATGCACCTCTCGCGCAATGTAATATGAACGGTTAAAATCCTGCCCGAGTAGTTAACGTTAAATTTACTTAAACTTAACGTTTTTCAATTTATAATCGATCTTTAATTACACAAATTTTACTGAAAAATAGCCATCTGAGATTTATTTATTATTATAATGTTATGATTTCCACAGGTCCTTTATTTTTAATATAAGTAATAGTTTGGTTTGAGCTAAATGTATAAATATGAATGTTACAAAGTAACTTCAATTAATCTATTAAATAAGCAATCTAGAAAGAACAGATGCTTAGAATGTTTGTTTATAGCACTTAAATGTGACCTGTCTAATCTTAAGAGATTAGGCGTACTTATGTAACGGTTATCTTTACGCATTCATTAGAAACTTTTTTTTACATTGTATTGCATATTAATTTTTAAATGTACATTATATTATTTGGTAGATAATAAGGAACCCTAGAATTTTGAATTCTGATACGTTCAAATGTATGTAAAAATCCAACACTTAATTGCGCGCCTATATGTTAATTTTGCGAAATAACCCTGCAATACGGCTAGCCACGTAACGACCTTATATTGGCCATTGGCGTATGTCGATTATATGATCTACAATCTACATGCATTTGTACCAAACATTTACTATTTTAACAGTGACAGAAGTAATAAAATGAGTTACAAATTTATTTATAAATGCAGAGAGTCGAGCGGTTTTAACACTAGGAAGCAAGTTGGTTTGTAGCACTGTTTATAAGCAAGTGACGTCGCCATAAACCCAACCCGGCCAATCAGGAGCGTTTTGTGTCACAAATATTTAATATTTTTATAACATAATATGTGACTAATTTTACAATTTCTAAACTTATTCTTAATACTGATAACAGTAATTGACGCTATGTTTTTCGCATTGTCAATTAGCCCATTATATAAATTAAAAGATTGAATAACACGATGACATGACATACGATGACGATGGTACTTGAATCAGTATTCCCAGCGTTCAGTGCTGCTTCTCTAACCAGGTGAACTACCGTGTCACCATCATCGAATTTCTTCAATCCAAACGCAATGCGCAATGTAATTTTAACATTACCACTCACGTTTTGAGGTTCAATATTAAATAGGTGTGATTAAAATTTTCTTTTTAGCTAGCCGAAGAAAAGATATCAAATATAAAGACTGTGAAAGCGTTCAGCAAAGAACAAAAGGAATGCGAGTCGTACGCGCAGAGAATAGAGAATTTATTGAAGTTAGCTTACAAGGAGTCTTTGGCTGTGGGAAGCTTTTACGGATTGGTAAGAGAACATATTATTTTTTTATATTAGAATTATTATCTATGAACAACTTTTATGTATATTTAATTAAAATAAATCTAAAGACTACTACGTTCATAGATATATGACATCAGGACACTATGTTACTTTGTATTCTTTCAACTATATATTAAAAAACATTTTAACTAATCAATTATTAGGTCATGAAAAAAATATATTTTCATTTTGATATTGAATAAAGTTATTTTATATTTCTTTAGACTGGCCTATCTGGTAACACGATAATAATTCTGGTGCTTTACTATGGTGGTGGAATGGTGGCCACAGAACAACTCACAGTAGGAAACCTCACTTCGTTCCTCCTCTACGCTGCTTATGTGGGCATCAGTATAGGAGGTTTAAGTAGCTTCTACACTGAAATGAATAAGGGAATTGGTGCTGCTACCCGGCTTTGGGAAATTGTTGACCGGGAACCAACCATACCTGTTACAGGTATGACTATACATATATACATATTTCTCTGTTCTCAAAATTAAATGTTATATTTATTAATGTATTTATTTCTAAGATTACATATTACTAAAACACTGAGGACATGTGAAATATTTGACGAAATGTATTAGTGTACGGCTGCTGCAAAGAATCGGATACGTCGGGTAGTTGTTAAAATAATTTGTAAACAAGTTTAACTAACACAGTTGGTTTTTTAAACCGTTAATACCCCTTTTATTTAAATGTGTAAACTGCAGGCAGTATTAAACAATTTACTGTTGAAATATAGACACACTGTAGATAATAACACGACTCAAAAAATGTAAAGATTAAAGTTAAAAAAATACTTGCCATCCATCGATTTGAATACATTTTAAATTTACTTGATTTTTATTTTAAAACAAAGTATATTTTCAAATTGCAGGAGGCCTAAGACCAGTGGAGCGACCAAAAGGCGAAATCATTCTCGACAACATAACCTACAATTACGGCGGTGCTCCATTACTAAAAGGGCTTAATTTACACCTTTTACCCGGGAAATCCGTAGCGCTAGTGGGCAGATCCGGGTGTGGAAAGAGTACGATAGCATCGCTGATATTAAGGCTGTATGACCCGGGACAAGGCCGGATATTACTGGACGGAATTGATATTAGGAAATTGGACCCAGTCTGGTTAAGGAGCCATATTGGATTTGTCAGTCAGGTGCGTTAAATATTATTTATTTATCAAACTTTATTGTTTAAAAACACATGGTTTCCAAAAATGAAAAAAAAAATTAAATAAAGAATTATGTTAATTTACAACTTTTAGTCTATTTCTTTATGATTTTTGTTTTTTTTTTGTTATTATTATTACTGTCTTTAGATGAAATGCAATGATAGTAGCTAGCAGAGGAATCTTTTAAAGCTCTATTTTTCAAGACAGTGACAGACAATGGCTAAGCTGAATAAAAAAGGATTTTCTGTATAGGATTTTTTTTTAATTTTATTTTGTCTTGTTATTAGGAACCGGTGCTGTTTACAGGATCTATAAAGGAGAATATACTTTATGGGCTTGTTGATGATTTTGAACTGGACGAAAATGAAAAGGTGCAGTTTCTATTATATTTCATTACTTTTAAAATGTGCTTTAACATAGTCATTCATTCGGTTTAGTGTTTTAAATATCCGGTATATTTAAGGGCATTCCGAAGGGCATGGGCCGAACATATTTTAGTGGCCGTTTCAATGAACGGTTTTACTTTCAGACAAGTAGTAGACAGATTCCTGTCTCAGTGTGGTCAGTTTTCTTTTTTGGATTCGACCCAAGCCCTTGTGCTTAATACAGTGCTGAAGTATTACACCGTTGTATTTGTAGGTGGTTTTTCTGTTTATATGATATTATTTTATCGTTGGTTTTAAGAAGTGTGCTAGTTGCTCGGTCTTTTGAGCTCGATAAGTTTTTTTAATTCATCTAGGAACCAGCGTGGCTGGTGGCTGCCCGTGCGGCACAATTGCAAGAGCTAGCTAATCTAAGCAAATCTGGATGGGAGAGGCAAGTCGGCGCTGGTGGGTCGGAACTGAGCGGAGGGCAAAAGCAGCGGGTAGCGATTGCGCGGGCTATAGTTAAGGTTTGTATTAATATATTGGTGTTAGAATCTCTAAATAATGGAAGCCGTGTCAGAGATTTCGTCTGCGTAAAATGTACCAAAATTTGTGTTTTCAAACCCCCTCTTCAAAAAATTTAAGCAGTTACCCACGACATCGTTCGTGCAAGTTAATCTTAAAACTTAGACATATATACTGACGCGGACATTTTTTCAGATTATTTGAAGGGGAATCATTAATTCATACATTACTTGAACCGCATTTGCAGTGTACAACGGAAACCCACAAGGATGAATAATTTTCCACGTTTATTTCACATTTCCCGCTGTTTCTTCGCTCCTATTAGTCGCAGCATGATGCTAGGAAAAATATTTTTTCAATTCGAACCAGTACTTCCTGAATAGCGCGTTCAACCTCTTCAGCTATATACATTTGTATAAATATGTTTATCAGTATGACGATATGTCGATATATCATTAACTGTCAAGTCGTAAACTAGATTCATTTACATTGCGCGAGAGTTGCATGTATCAATTAGGTTAAACATTTCGACGTTGACGTGTACGGCACGGTAGCTTAATTGGTTAGAGTGACGGCACGGTAGCTTAATTGGTTAGAGTGATGGCACGGTAGCTTAATTGGTTAGAGTGACGGCACGGTAGCTTAATTGGTTAGAGTGACGGCACGGTAGCTTAATTGGTTAGAGTGACGGCACGGTAGCTTGATTGGTTAGAGTGACGGCACGGTAGCTTAATTGGTTAGAGCGACGGCACGGTAGCTTAATTGGTTAGAGTGACGGCATGGTAGCTTAATTGGGTACAGTGACAGCACGGTAGCTTCGATTTAAATCATGCCCTTGTAATAACTTTTTTCTCCATCTAATATCGATTTTTAATATATATTATTAATCTATGTGAATTGGTAGATAACATTCATATGAAAACGAAGCAGAGATTGTTTTTATCATTGTTATTCAAATACCTACAAAATGCGTGTCTTGTTTGTTTTGGGTTTCCGAATACCAATGTAAATACAGGAACTAATAATCTATCGCTTTTTTTCTAATCACATTTACTTATTAATCCAAACATATGATGTTTATGCAAAGTCAATTAAAAACAGGTCAAGGCTCTGGTGTGAGATAAAAGTACAGGTCACTGTTTAAACAAATAAACGTCGCGTGTTGAGCGTGGCTAATTAAATAAATTATTACGTAGTTGTAAAGAAAATATCCGGTACAGTTACTATTAACTAATTTGCGTGATGTCCCAGGTTAAAAGTCCGGGATGACTACTATGACGGCACAGAACTTATGACCTACCTACTTTTTTATATAAAAATATATTTAGTATTGCATTTGGATCGTACTAATTATATTGCACTTTTTGTCGTTTTCTCAATTCAATTTTATTTATAAAACTTGTATTAAGAATAATATATTAAAGTAATTTTTTTATCCTGATTTAAAAGAAAGAATCTCTTTAAAACACAAACAATTTAAAACATTCATCGCTTCTCGACTATAAGATTTACCGTGTACCTCGACTTTAGTCTTTAATGGTAAAACCCGATATATATTACTAAATCCATTTAACTACTCAAACTGCATTTAACTACGACCCATCGCTTTCGAAATATGTTACTAATACTAAATAATATATTTCTCGTTTTAAACAGTTAAAAGTAATTTATTGAAATGTAAAATGCATATTAATTATTTATTTCTATTACAGAATCCAAAAATCCTCATCCTCGACGAAGCTACGTCAGCATTAGACACATATTCGGAGTACTTAGTCGACAAAGCATTAAAGGAAATAAGTCGGGAACGAACCGTGTTGACCATAGCTCACAGACTCAGTACGATACAGTCTGCAGACGAAGTGGCAGTTATAGGTAATGGAGTCATAGTAGAAAAGGGACCATACAAAGAACTGATGGACAAACCGAATGGTTATTTCAGGGAACTCATAACTCATCAAACATTTATGAAGCCGAAAGACAAAGCTAACAGTTAGACGTGGTGATTTTAGTATAAGCGGATTTATTGTAAATAATTTAAGAAATCTGGAGTAGCTGAAATACGGCGGTTAATTTAAAAAAAAGAAGCCTTGTTTATGCTTTCGTATTTTCTATGACAACTCATTGGTTGTTGAAGCTTTACCGCAGTAAAAATCTATTATATTAACGCGAAATTATATCGTGTCATAGATATGAGCTTTTGACTTAACGACATTTGTTACGATCTAAATATCATTTCGTAAAGCTTGGGTGCTTTTAATAAGTAATTCAGGTTTTTATAGGATGTTTATGACAGGCAGGATGACTTTTACTTTCTTTGATTCTGAATGATCGATAGCTGATTTTGTCCAGTATCAAGCGACACAACCACAAACGCCCTTTTTTTTTTTTTAATAAAGGGTTATCAAAGTTACAAATAATGTAAAAATTGTGAATAGTCGTGTGTATTGTACAACATGTAAATATCTACCGTTTCCCCTATTTATGACAGAAGTACAATAGGTTTATTGTGGCTTTAAAACAAAGTTGTGATCACATCACTGCCATATTTTATTTTTATTTCACCAAGAAAGAATTTTTGAGGCAAATGTTTTGTTATTTTGGTATATATCGCTTTGATATACATTGCTGTATAATTATTATCGTTATGTACAAATTAGTGTAGTTAGATAATATGTTTTTTTACTATCAATAATTTGATTATTGGAGTTTACCTAGTGGAGTTATGGTCACAAATACTACTCTGACATATTATGAACCTTTGCAAATAGGAGGGATTAGTTCCCTTGTCCAATTGTGTGGGATTTTTTTAATTTTGAAAAGACCATAGACAACCTGTATACTCTAGTTGTCTATGTCACGACATGCTGGCAGGATTTACTTTCAAATAAAACTATTGTTTTTGATAATTGACGTTAGAATTCTAAACGCAGCTTGTATGCGAATGGTCTTTCATGCATCATTGAGTTAATCATCTTAATAAGACAATGTACTTTGCACTTTAATTCAACGTTGAACTTTGAAACCATGGTTTTATTGTTTTCCTGTTCATTTATCTTTCATTGGTATTTAACGTGGGGTTGTATTTAAAACATTTTTGTTCTACTTTATTTATAAATGGGTAATGGATAAATTAAATTTGACGGATGTAATAAATTGTTTATAACTTAACTATGCTTCTTATTAAAGATAATTAAATTATTTTTAGATGTGTCAAGATAAAGACCAAATCATTGCAATTAAATTTAATTATTTGGATTTTAAAATTTATAAAGTTATACGTAGCATACCTTCTTATATATCCGATTAAGCTAGTTCAAATCATATGTAAGTATATCGCCGACACTGGATATATTGATAAATCTAGATACTAGATTACTTCATTACTTCCAACAGTGACTAGTTAATTATTGGTATTAAGATAAGACTGACCTTATGCCAGTATTTTCTATTGCATGCGGTAAATTCTATTCGCTTCTGTAAATTACTACAAGAATTAATTGCTACATACATACAGTATGAATTGGTTAATACAGACGCATTAAAAAGGAAAAATTGTTGTAAAAACAGAGGTTTTAATATTTAAAAGAGAGAAATTTAGTAGTTATATTATTTAGTTATCAATATTGTTTGAATTAGCGAGACAGAGTCAATTACTGAAACCTAAAATAAATCTCCACTTAAATATAAATCGTTAATGCTTATAAAATTATTTCATCGAGTACAGAAAAAAATTGAAATTATTTTAATAACAAGCTTGCGCAAGATTCATGTTACACTTTTTGGTACATCGGTACCATGGTACTCGCTGTATCTGATAGTTATCTATAGTAAATAGTGGAAATAATCTAGGTGGACCTTGCCCTATGACGGAATGCAGCACGCGCCAAAACACGTCTAGGCAACGCAGTTATCTATACTCATTGTGTAGTCTGTGGCAGTTGCAACAGCGGCGGGAAACAATCGCGCTCTTTTTATTGGCGGGTAAACACGCACCGCGATGTCTTTGAAACTTATGCGCGGAAAACTTGCGCGACAAATATTAAAAAATCTAACCCAAGCTGAGAGTGGACAAATAAAAACAAAACATGCCGCGTTAGTTAAGAATATATCGAGGCTCCTCGCCACGCAAACTGCTCCAGTTTTAGAAACTAATCTTCTTAATTCGCTCTACGGTGAGGTGGCTGTTGGAAACGAAACTTTGACGGATCATGTTTTTAAGGATGTTAATCTATGGCCCAGTGCGCCTTGTGTGGTAAGTAAAAAGTTTTTTATTGTTTTCAAATTTAGAATTGCGTCTTTATTCAGATCATCACATTGAAAGTTAAGAGCTTTTTATTTATTCATTGAAAAAAAATGAAGGTAGTTTAGTAATCGCGTTAACTTTTTACGACAAATTATTTTAATAACCTAATTATTTTGTGAAATAAAAGAAGACTGTTGCTTTCGTATTACGTAAAATATTGTTATTTCTTGCTTATTAGGTACTTTATAAGCAAGAATTAACAATATTTTGTTTACTTCACAAAACGATGTATTGATGAAACTGTAAGTATAGATCAGAATCTAATTAAGTTGAAACCTTCAGTTTGAATCATAATTCCAACTAATTACTATTCCGATACTATTAGAGCGTACTCATTACATTTTTATAGTTTCTATTGAATTGTACTTGAATACATTACAAATGGGTGACATCGTTTTCCGACCATGGTGCAAAGTTCAAGAACCGATGTTCCTATATGTGAATTATAAATAGTTATTGAAGGTTGGGAATAAAGTAACTGCAGCGTGTGTCTATATTCTGGTTCAAACGCGCATTTTGATACACTATAAAGAAGATAGTTTTGAAAAAAAATAACTTTACTCACCAAAGATCCCGATGCATTTTAAATAGGTCACGTTTGTTATTTAAAGAACGCTACGACAGTTATTTTTAACTAAGTTTCAATTTTAGGAATACTTTATCTAGTCGACAATGATTATTATTGAATGTTGATAGTAAATATAAACTTTGATCTCTGAAAATGTATAAATAAACACCGTCGGTGTTCAGCGATTTCTTGTGCCAAACCTTGCGAGATACACATACTTGCTTACGTCTGTTTATTCCAGTGATGTACATGTCCCTCAGTGTAATAAGTGTTATAGGATACTATATTAAATTCTCTTAGAGGTAAAATTAGCCTGTGAATTTAACTGATTTAGACATGGTCAAAATTCAAATTCAAATAACAAACGCCGTGACATTGAAATATTTTCTCCCATTTTGAGACATGAATAGGTTCTTTGCCACATATTTATGGCACTAAAATGATTTATATGCTTTGAATTTTTATTTATTATATGCTTACGTGAATATCCCAAGTCTAAAAACATTTGCATTTAATATCCATATTTACCAGACGGTGCCTAAAATGTTTCAGAAATAATATAAATTAATTTTACAAAATAGGTATCGAACTCAAGACTTATTGATTACTAGCCATGCCTTGCTGGCTGGAATAAAAATAGAAGAATAGATTTTTACTCTAATTCATTTTTTCAATTAAACTAACCGTTTTGGTTGCATGTTTTATATATTAAAGATTCTACTATATACATCAAATAATGTTGCAACAAAGGCCTTGAGTTAACTATATCTATTACAATGTGTAAAGATAAATTATGTCTTTAAAGTAACGTAAGATAAAAAAATAATAATGGCTTTTTTAAATTAGTAATTATAACCTCGCATTAAATACAAAGTGGACACGAATAATTGAAAAGGAATAAATCTAATTAATTGTAATGAATTTACATTACACAATTCAACTGGTGACTAGATTTCTTGGTAATAGTGTTTTGGGACTAAAAATAACCTGTTACAACTACGAGTTCTTTCGTTTCTTTAACCTATTCCTTATATACCACAAGGGAATTGCCAGCTCAGTTATATAAAGACTATGAAACTCGTAAGTTTTGTCTCTCCCCCCATGACCACGGCTTATGCAACGCATCCGAAACTTTGGGTTAAACTAGACCCAAAGTTTCAGATGTAGTTTAACCCGAACCGGAATTAAATTAAAAATAACTTGACTTATACTTTTCCAGTTTTATACCGTTAAAAGATTTTTAATCATGCTATGTGCTCTTTCTTGTAGACATGTGGCACTTCAGGACGCTCATACGATTATGGAATGATGCAGTTGATGATTGAACGATGTGCGGCAGCGCTATCTGGTCACTTGAAATTGTCCCCCGGGGAAAGAATAGGGTTGATCTTACCTAATATCCCGGAATTCGTAGTTCTCATTCACGGAGCTATGAAGGCTGGACTCGTTGTAACTTTTGCTAACCCATTATATACTTCAGGTAAGTGCCGCGATAGATTTGATTAAGTTAAAGGTAGTAATTCAAGTTTTAATTTAAAATGTATTTTTCTTTTCTATTGCAACAGTTTTTCCTATAAAGAACATACAACAACAATTGTAGTATTAGATTAAACATAAGATACTTACTGATTCGTAGAACAATATTATCTTCTTTAATATTTAATTTTACATTTTGTTTGACAATTTACTGTTTAACAATTGAACAGTTGTCTTAGCTTAGATAACATATATGCTATATAGATGTATCAAAATTTCTTAAACTAATTAGCATGAATGCAAAGTCCCAATATTCATGATCCAACTAGTGGTTTGTGTCACTGGCCACTCAATTATCTTCCCTTGAATTTAGACAATACCAAGGCCACAGCCCACTCTGCCTCTAGAACTATGTGTTCGTACAGAACACAAGTTTTGAGCCTACTAATAATAATATAGCAAAATATTGTTAGTAAGAACTTGCTTCTTGGTAATTACATCTTTAATAATTAATTACTTGAGCTTGGATTGTCAAACACATTAATGTTTTTTTAGACGAAGTCCGACGTCAATTTGCCGACTGTAATGTAAAAGCCATCGCTACAATTGAGATGTTCATACCAATGGCATCGGAAGTTAGTAAATCGTTGAAGGACTACAAAGGAACTATTTGGGTTGGCGGTGACGATGATAAAGTAACAGGCGGGTATATTTAATGTACCTACTTCCACAGAGCAGAACAATTTTTCTTTATTGAAGACTTTTCTAAAATTGGTATTACAAAAATAATAACGAGAAATAAACACTTTTTCACATTAATAAATTTATTTAACGTTAAATATTGTCTGTAGTCAACGCCAGTAGTACCCTTTTTAAAAAAATAAGGGATTAATATTCGAAATATTGTAGGTAACTTACTTTAAATTTCATTTAACTAGGGCTCGAAGATTAGAATGCTTTTCATCAGGCTTGGCCATAGCTATTTATTTTTGTTTTTACCCTTAAAAGTGTTTTATTAATATTAATTTTATGTTACTTTTACTTATGTGAGGGTAATATTGGTAGCATTATATCTAATTTACCGTAACATTATTTGTCTGAAATTTTACAGGTATCCACGGTCTCCGATCACTATTAATGGCGGACCATGACGCAGACTTACCAGATGTAGATGCAAACGACGTCTGCCTTATCCCATATTCCAGTGGTACCACAGGTCTGCCCAAGGGAGTAATGCTCACCCACAAGAATCTGGTTTCTAATCTTAAGCAGGTGCAGACACCGAAATTTATGAAATATGACGGTGAAAAAGGTAAGGAATTTTCTTTATGTTTTAAGCTGTTATGCGTATTAGTAGGATTAGAAAATGTATTCATTAAGTTTGCCACATGATATTTATTATTTTTACAGAGGTTAGTTTAAAACTCACATATATAACAAGTTAAAATATATAAATACTTATTCTACATGACCTCCATTGGCGGCAATACAGTACATCAAACGCTTGGGCCAATTATCAATAGTACGCACTCTTGTCATGGGAAAATGTTTGACTGCCAATCGTACGGATTGTTAATGTGATATAAAATTATGATGGCGCTTAGAGCAAGCCATGCTCTCTAAAACTTTATATTAATTTAATTAAGATCGGGACTAGACGAAGGCCAGTCTTCAGGCTCTAATGTAGCTCGAAACGTCCGTTTCCATCATATTCGCTCGTTCGGCGATTCTGTCAGGAGGATCGCCGAGTATTCGGCAATATTCGGTCAGATTTGAGCTCCAAAATTCAAACCAATGTGATGGTTTAGAAATATGGCCTATATGAACGTATTTCGAAGATGATGTAAATAACTTAAAGTTTGCAAGCTGTGCAGAATAAAAATGTACGCAGTGGCGTCGGAAGTGACGCACGTCACGTGTCTCAAAGAAAAAAAAACCTCACTCGCGATACTCGCGCAGCGACCAACTCGTTTAGCTCTCGCTGAAAGACGAGACTCACTTAGTCTAGTTCGGCTTCGAGAAAGTTTTTTAATCACATTAGCGAGTTTACCATACCACATTTACTTCTTTTACTAAGCCCAGTGAGCAAACTATTGGAACTAAACGCGTTCCAAATGTATAATAGTTCATGTTCGTTCTGGGTTTCTTTAACCGAAACGTTTCTTTAACTCTGAAAGAAGAGTAGTATTTCTTAAATGATTTACAAGTTTATTTTTTTATTAATGCCGGGAATATAACAGTTTTAACACTAAGAAGCACGGTGGTTTATAGCAGTGTTTAAAAGCATGTGATGTCCTCATAAGTATGACCAATCAGGGGCGTTTTGTGTCACGTGACACATGTTTTTAAAAGTTATTATTTGTGGTTTTTTAGTTAAATCAATTATTATTTTTAACTTGTGTGACTGATTTACTATTCCTAAACGTATACTTACTTATTACTGATTACAGTAATTGATGTTATATTTTTCGTATTGTCAAATAGTCCGTTTTCGTTCATCGTTGGCGGTTGGATACCTACTGTAGTTTAGGACTGTCACCATTCACTAATTAAATATTTTTGTTAAAATAATTATTAACCAAAAAAAGTTGAGTCAATTATATCATCAGTTTATTTTTCATTTTCTAGGTAAAGGTGACGTAATTTTGACTGTGCCACCATTTTTCCATATCTACGGCTTCAACGGCATCTTAAATTACAATCTCATTCTTGGTTATCACATTGTGTCGTTACCTAAGTAAGTTCTTTTTGCAATATTTTTAGCTAACTTATAACTTAATAACTAATTATAAATAAATATAAAATGATATTGATAGTAATTTTAAAATTTCGTTTTAATTAATAATATTGAATACAGTCAACAATAGTTGATATTTTTAGAGTTATCATCTACTTCAACTTTGACTAAATTGTATTAAACGACTTCCACAGAGTCATCATATAGGGAGGATATAAAACAGAGATGATAAACTTAATAAAGATTTGCTGGAAAAATTGCCGTAACTTCCTCTTTTCTTACCCATCAATTTAATTTAGAAATTACAGCACATTGATGATTAGGTGTATGGTATAGATTGAAATAATTATTCTAAGATCAAGAGAATTTTACAAAAAAGGCAGAACAAAGCTAAGAAAATAAAAATAGTAGTTTTTTAATCCAATCAATTAATTCTTTTAAGGTTCACACCAGACGACTACATCAAATGCTTGATAGAATACCAACCATCCACCCTCTTCGTGGTTCCATCTCTTCTGACCTTCTTAGCGACCCATCCATCAGTTAAGAAGGAGTATTTACAATCTGTGGATTCCATTATGGTCGGAGCAGCACCAACTACGGAAAGCATGCTGGAGAAGTTCCTACTTAAGGTGGAGAAGACGAAAGATCAGATTAAATTGTTGCAGGGTATGCATTTTCATAACAACTATCATCGCTTTGTTCATCATAAGAAAGTCATCCTTTATAAAACGTGTATCGGTCTATAGTATATACAATAATATAGTAAAGATAAATTAAACTTACAAATATAGGATACATTTTTATTAAGAAGATAATTTAACTTTAAATGAAACACTTTTATACTTTTTATTTGAGTAGATAATGGGGTCAGTGGAGTGACTATATTTTTATTCATTAATAAGTTGAAAAGAGAAGGATCTTTAAAGCAGACGAAAAACAGCGCTGTGCGATCCCTTTCGTGCAGCATTCAGCTGAGTCTGCATCCCGACGTGCCACAAAATGTTACCTTAAGAATCTAGTTTTAAGTATTTTGCTGTATTTGTAAATTTTGTGGCACTAAATAGTTTTTTCTTTTTTCTAAAGGCAAAAAATCGTTGTTTAAAGGATGTGTGTTTAAGTGGAGTTTGATAATGTACTTTGCGTTGTGTTGAAGTTATTTCTTTAGATGCTGCTGTCAGGACTTCTTGTATATATTTGAGATATCTTAACCGTTGTGTTTCTTATATTGTTATATTTCTTCAATTTGCAGGTTACGGTATGACGGAGAGCTCTCCGGTAACCCTGTTAACGCCGTATATCTATCCCTACGAGAAAATCGGTTCTATCGGCCAACTAGTACCTTCCACGCAGGCGAGGGTTATTTCTCTTACAACAGGCGAATCGTTGGGACCACACGAATCTGGGGAGTTGCTGTTAAGGGGACCACAAGTAAAAACTTATTTTTTAGATTTTTTTTTTAATGATAGTGAAGGACAGACATGGCGTGAGGTTCACTTCACTTCCAGCCTATAGCATCTAAACAAGATGCGATTACTTTGGCTTTGGATATTCGGAAATCCACAGGCTGAAACCGAAACACGATTAAGCTACACGGCATTTTCATCTGTGGACGGTGGTTCACAATTTTTTATATTCCTACCGCCCATTTAATATTCAGGTTTCCAGACGAAGTTCAGCATGTTTAAAAAAAATACAAAAATAGTAGTGCGGATCTCCCCCACGACCGATTGATGATTAGCCATACTGGTACAATTAACAAACATGGTAGCAATTACCACCAGACGAATACGAGCCAGTCAATAAAAACTACGATCTATGTGAATAATAAAATTTGTTTAGTTTTTAAATAATACTTTCATAGTTGAAATTATATGTGATCTCAAAATTGTCATCTTAGCGTTGCTAATATAAAATAACGTACATTGTTGTACACATGTTGAAATAATAACTCCATAAGAGACCACTTTCTAGCAAGTACATTATAATTATGGTGCCATATATACCAAATCTTCCCAGCGCTCCAGTATTCTGGTCTCCTTTCTCCCTCTCTAGGATTCATCTTTGATCGTTTTAATTTTTTATGTACGAAAATGTAACGAAGTAGTAACTGAGTGCAAAGCGAAACAAAAATAAACTATTTACAATAAACATTAAATAATTTCTTGTTTTCAACAATATCTGTAAAAATTATATCTTAAGAAATTTATTTTTTAAGGTGATGAAAGGATATTGGAACAACGAAGAGGCAACAAAGGAAACGATAGATAACGATGGGTGGCTGCATACAGGAGACATTGGATATTACGACAAGGAACATTTCTTCTATATCGTAGATAGGACTAAGGAGCTTATAAAAGTTAAAGGGAATCAGGTGGGTAGTCGTTAAAATCATTAATTTCACATTTCAATGAGAAGAAATTGAGCTACCGTGTCAAACATGGATTGGCACTGTAGCTCAATTGCTTAGAGCAGCAGAATGGATTGCTATGGATGCCGTTTGAAATCATGCCCGTGTCATAGATTTTTTTGAATCTACATTTGTATTTTAAGTAGTAGTAGATTTGATTTAAAAATATGATTTTTTAAATCTAAAGTACCTTTTCAAATTCTTAAGTGTTATAAGGGTTCTGTTACTATGTTTATATTAATTTTATTGTCTATTGTTTTCTTTTAATTTGTACAAAAAATGTTAATATTTTTAAATATGTATGTATCAACTTTAACAAAAAAAAATTATCAGGTCTCACCGACTGAAATCGAGAGCATCATAATGGAGCACCCGGAAGTCGCAGATGTCGCTGTCGTCGGTATGCCTGACGCGTTGGCCGGGGAAGTACCTAAAGCGTTCGTAGTACTCAAACCAGATCATAAACTAACAGAGAAACAAATAATAGACAATGTCGCACAGAAGTTAGCGAAATACAAACATTTAGCAGGCGGTGTTGCATTTCTAGACGCTATACCGAGAAACGCTGCCGGAAAGATTATGCGTAACGAACTCAAAATATTAGGACACAAGAAATAGTGTAATATAGTTAAATTAATCAAGTACTTAATAGTTTTACAATATAACTTAATTTAATTGTGTATTTTTATATGACTGCAAATAAAATTTATTTAATGTTTAAAATTTATTTTATATCATGTACACCCTGCATATTTATAACGTAATGTAACACGGACAGAGAGTATTACAACTTATTTGTAATTTTCTTGAATATATGAATGAAACTATGGTAACACGTGCACACGTAAAGTAGGTATCTCCACATATATCCCACAAGAAAGGTACAGGGTCTAGTGATAGACAACCAAGGTGAAGTTAAAATTTATAAGTGCTTTCCGTATTTCAGTAAGGAAAATATTGACAGCTGACTTCATTTTAACCTTGGCCAGGTGGAGGTTACATAAATTGTATGAAAAACGTTTATTTTCACATTATTTAACGGTTATTATCGTCAAATCTAATTTTCAATTCAGTTTCATTCGTTGGTCTAATACAACGTAGCTGTTAGAGAAAATATGTCGGTTTTAAAACTGCGTAATTTATTGCGATATCGCACATTTAATAAATTAAAATTGAACATTGAGAATGGGATACAATCTAGATGTTTGTCAACGCCATCAGATAAAGTATTAACTTCACCGTATGGTGTAATTACTTATGAAAACGTAACTTTAACAGATCATGTGTTCGGTGAGTCGGAAAAATGGGCAGATAAATCCAGTGCGGTAAGTAAACTCTATATTAAAAATTGTTTGAACAAAGTATTTATTAGGAGTAAAAAATAAATAAAAAGTAAAAAAAGGTCATAAGCCGCATTATAATGAGTAGAAGAAAATAAAGTACAGTACTGTAGCGGCCGGTAAGAGAGGCTTTGATGGACGAAAGTGTAAATATGTACGTCCATCAATGCCTAATTATGGCAAAGGTTTGTATGGTACTTTTAAATATTGCACGGAGATTAAAACTAAGTAACTAATTACATTTAAATAAATAATCATTTTAACTACGGCCCGACGTCATCAACGATGCTTTGCAGCCGCCGTGGTCTCTTCGTGACCACGTCGCGTTTGATTTAAATGTGTACTACTCGTGTAAACTACAGACAGTGTTTAACTAATTACATTTCAGAACTTTAAAATGAACGACGAAGTTAACGAACAACTTTTTTTTACTTCTTTTACATCAGATACGTTCCATTTTTAAATTACACGACAAATATGTTTTGAAATAGTAGTTTATTTTACCCCTAAACACAACGGACATGGATATTCACAAAACTATTGCTGGTCTAAGGTTGTCTAAATAATGCTCAAATTTCCAAGCACGTTTGAGGAAAAAATATTTCCAAATTGTACCTACAATTGTAATTTTTTTTGGTCAATAATGAAAATGGAACTAAATGACACATAAATGCTATTGTTTTTAGACGTGCGGTATATCCGGACGTTCCTACACTTATGGAATGATGAAGGCAATGATCGACCGTTTCGGTAAAGCGCTGCTTAGTCATTTGAAGTTAGTACCAGGGGATCGTATTGGTATAATACTTCCCAACATGCCGGAGTTTGTTACTATCGTCCATGGCGCCATGCAAGCTGGTCTCGTTGTGACATTTATCAATCCTTTGTATACTCCAGGTATAAGTATATTTTTTTAAAGATAGAGAGGAACAGACAAGCTTGGAGTTCACTTGATGGTAGGTGAATTATCCCAGCCTATAGCATCTAAACGTCGACCTATTTTGGCTTTGGATATTCGATATTCTATCATATTAAATGAAGTTTCAGTATTAGAATAAACGAAGTAGGTATAAATCAAAAATTAAAACCTTGAAGAGCAAAGTACACTTTCTTGTAATTATCTCAAAACGCTAAGCAAAAAATTTTATTATATCAGCTCATGATAAATGCTTTTTGTGATTGTTCCGTATAATTTGGTTGGTAATAATTGTCTTATGTATATCAACTTTAATTAATATAATATTAAATAAGCCTCGCTTTCTATGAAAAAAAAATAGCTTAGCTGAAGACGGCTCTGTTTTTAAAATTAGCTTTAAATTAAAAAAAATACTGCTATGGTAGCATTTTATTATATGCCTTATTTGTTAATATTACCTATCATTGTTTTCCACACAATAATTTTGATTTCTAGGACACAGTACTATCAATTTGTCTGTTAATCCGTGAAACAGACTATTACCCTATGTCTATATAACAGGGTTTTACTTTAAATAACACTTTCTCTCAATTGTATCCTCCTAATGATCATTTTAAAATTATAGATGAGGTACGTAGACAGTTTGCCGAGTGTAATGTGAAATCCATTGCTACGATAGATATGTTCATGCCAGTTGCGATGGAAGTAAGCAAACACCTTAAAGATTACAAAGGCACGATTTGTGTTGACGGAAGCAATGATCCTGTTAAAGGTATTTTATAGTCTATTATCAAGGCGAATTCTAGGAAAAGAAGACAATCTTTCACACTTTCTCAATCTTGCGTCTTTGCTAAAATATGTCCGAAAGGTTTTTTTACGATTATCACCAAGTTTAGCGATGATTTTTTTGGTAGTTCGAAAGTTAGAGATTGCGTATTACGATTATTTAATTTATAATTGGATTTAGTAAATCTTTGTTACATGGCGATTTTTTAAACATAGTTTAAAAAATAACATATTTTTATTATTTAAATTTATATAGGTCAAACGATCAAACTTTATGTCATAATGTTGATACCAAAATTATCTTATTAAAAAGGATTTAAAATCTAACGCCTGTCCAATAGCTGTATAAGCCGGCTTTCTCGAGTGAAAATTATATGATATTCAAGTAAGTTTAAAGTGCTATATATCATCAGGCATACATGGCTTCCAATCCTTGATGTCGGCGGAGCATAAGGCAGATCTTCCAAAAATAGATCCTAACGACGTCTGCTTAATTCCGTTCTCTAGCGGCACAACAGGTTTACCCAAAGGAGTATTGCTGACACATAATAATCTAGTGGCTAATGTTAAGCAGTTGTGCCGACCAGAGTTCATGAAACACAAAGGCAATAAAGGTAAACCGTGCCATTAAATACACTACTTTAAATGGATTAAAACCAATTTTATCCCGTTAAACATGTATTATTTAATATGTGTCACAATTATAAGTTGTGTATAATTGTAGCGGGGTACAGATGGTACACCGATAGCACGGTCGTGGGTTTCGTTTCGGCCTGAATCATAAAAAGAACAGAGAATTCGATGTATATAACCTAAAATAGGCACGATTTCAATTTATATTCCCTGTGGCGCATATTATAATAAAAATATTAAAGCGTTTTAATTTTTATTAGTAAGCTAATGTACAGTGGGATTAAAGGAAATGCAATTTTTTCACAGGTACCGGTTCTGTTACATTGACAATACCACCGTACTTCCATATTTACGGTTTTAACAGCGTCCTTAATTACATCCTAACTATTGGATCCCATATTATTTCGATGCCGAAGTAAGTTATTTTGTAATTGTATTATGTTTTTTTAACACCATATTATTCAAAGAAATCATCTTTAGACAATATTTATTTATGCAAAGGTACAAATTACAGGTTCACACCAGAGATTTACCTTCAAACGTTAATTAAGTATCGTCCAGTTGATCTTTTCGTTGTACCCTCCTTACTGGTATTCTTAACCAACCACCCGGCGGTTAAGAAGGAGCATTTAGAGCGTATAGAAAGTGTCACAGTTGGGGGTGCACCAGCAACAAACAGTATACTTGAAAAATTTGTCCAAAAGGCTGGCAAAACAAAAGATGAGATCGCACTTCTTCAAGGTAATTTGAAAATACCCACAAGAGTTTCCTCTTAACTAAAGTTTATGGTGTTTGGTATTTGATGGTATATTAACACTAAGAACAATTTAATTTAAAAAAAAAAATATTATTATTGCACACTTTCAGGTTATGGTATGACTGAAAGTTCGCCGGTCGTTTTCGTAACACCGTATTCCTACCCTCACGAAAAGGTCGGTACTATTGGACAAATTGTGCCCTCTACCGAGGTGAAGCTTGTTTCAATCACCACAGACGAGGCGGTGGGTCCAAACGAATCTGGTGAAATATACGTTAGAGGACCACAGGTGATTGTCAATCTCATTCCATTTACTTTGGCTTTACAATTGTAAAAGCAGAATGTTTTGGTTTGAACAAAATTGTTCGAATTAATGATGAAAGCATTTTGTAGATAAAAAATTAAAATTTATATCTGTCCAATATATTATTTCTAAATACATGTAACGTCATGCTTATAATATATTTATGCTTTACAGGTGATGAAAGGCTACCTAAATAACGAAGAAGCTACTAAGGAAACCGTAGATAGTGAAGGATGGCTGCATACAGGTGATGTGGCTTACTATGACAACGAACATTACTTTTATATAGTTGACCGAACAAAGGAACTCATTAAAGTAAAAGGAAACCAGGTAAGGATCAGAAACGAGTAATAAGAGTAACTTACGTAGGTAAAAAATATCCACAAAGGGAAAAATTGACCCATGTGAATGTGGGTAGACTATTTTTTTATAGACTTTCAATTGAAATTAATTTAAATGTACATAATTATTAATTATACACATAAATTTTCTTTTCACAGGTTTCTCCAACGGAAATCGAAAATGTAATACTTCAACACCCGGAAGTGGCAGATGTCGCTGTTATCGGTATCCCAGATGAACGCTCCGGGGAAGTACCCAGAGCGTATGTCGTTCTAAAACCAGGCCAAACAATCACTGCGAAAAAAATCTATGATACAGTTGCTGAAAAACTAATTAAATATAAAAGCTTAGAAGGCGGTGTTGAATTTATAGACGCCATACCCCGAAACGTTGCTGGCAAAATCATGCGTCGTGAACTCAAAGCTTTAATTAAGTAAAGATAATAATTTATTAACATAGATTTGAGATATATATTATATTTTGTACACTTGTAAATAAAAACAAAACAAAACAACCCAGAGATGAAGGGGATGTTTAACTATTCCTCATATGTTACCATATATATATTAAATATCCTATGTGAGAATGTTGAAATAGGTAAGCAGTGCGTTTTAATATTATGACGTAGGATCTTCTTGCTCTAGCCGGTATGCTTTGTGATTTAAAAATATAAACCAACAACACAATTACAATAAAAAGTATATCATTGAATATAATTGTGCAGTCATTTCACTTAAATTTATAACTTCCCCTTTTATTACCAATATTGCATTTAATTGCTTGACAAATATAATATAAAAAACAAAGTCTTTGAATTATTTATTGTTTCAATCCAATCATTGTATAAGCATTTCAGATACCTTTATATAAATAGTAATAATTAAGAAATTAAACTGAATCTAATTTTATTATAATATTGAGAAACATACAGTATAAATACTCCATAGTTCCAAGATTAATCCTATATGTATATTCGTTCTCATAGTAAAAAACAAAAGTCACATCAAATGTTCAACACAAAAAACGACACATTCATAAAAATACAAATCAGAGCATGAAACTCAAACACCCTCAAAATCTGGTATCATAGATAGTGGAAATGAGAATTAAATTTTAGCATGAATTGTTCTGAACTACACAATAATCCAATTATGTTTCAGGGGTTTCAGTATTAACAGGAATATCTACAGTTTCATCTGTTTTTGTCTCTGGCTTCTGTTCTTCAACATTTTCTACAGGTTTTTCTATAATTACGGGTTCTGCTGGTGGTTCCAAATTGACATCTGTAATGGAATAATTTTCAGACTGAATGATCCCCGGTGTAATAGCTTCCTCTCGGGTTTCTTCTTGGGAATCCTCTGTATCCTTTTTTTCAAAAGATGGGATATTTTTATCATCTTCGGCATCTTGTTTTGGAGAGTTACTATTGCTTTCATTATTTTCACTTGAAGAAGAGCTCTCTTCACTAGATGAAGATGCTTCAGATATATTTTTAGGTTCAGGTTCATCTTTTGTGCCTTCAACGGAACTCCCTTCATCAGAAATCTTTTCAGCCTCTATTGCAATTGTGTCTTCTGGGCTCTTCTTATTTTCTAACTCATTTTTCTCAGCTGCTTGAGCTTCTTGTAGTTTCTGTTCAGTCATTTCAGCATCATCTACTTTTATATCTGGAATAACAAGGGCCCTCTGAGTGGTTGTGTTATCATCCATGACAACATCTATTTTTTGATCTGGTATAGGTTCTGTGGTATCAACTTTGCTATCTTTGTCATTGTTTACAGGAGCATTTGATTCAATTAACTTATCTAACTTACTTTCTGGTAAGTCATCAGAAGCTTCAACTACATTCAATTCAGGTGGTGTCACAGATTCATATTCTGTAGTTTGCTTAGTGTTGTTCTCTACCTCTTCCTGTTTCGCTTGAAGTCTAGCTTCTAAATCATCAACATTTATATGTGCATCAGAGGAACTAGGTTGTGGTTCAGTTTGTCTAGTTTCACCAGATTCCTTCCAAGACATGTCCTCCATTTCAACATCAACATTATACTCGGAGTTATTATCAGAACCATTAACCATTGCTTCCATAGGCTCACCATTCTCAGGTTCATGGTGACGCTGCAGACCAGGCTCTCTAGTACTCACGACTAATATATTCTTCTCAATAGCTCGCATAAATTTGTCTACACGATTGTACTGCTTGCGTGGGCAAGTCAACAGTTCACAAATTCTTTGAACTGTGAAAGGAGCTGATGTGAACGTGTCAAGCCGTTCTATTAGGCTATTTTTCATGATATCATAATTAAATGGGTCTACGTTGGGGCATGGAGGAATATCAACACTAGGTGTCGATTCGTGAAAGTCTGTGATGACATTAATAAGTTTCTCTTTAAACAAACATTTTACGAGGGACCACTGGTATACTGGATCTCCCGTACGAGCCACATAAACTAAGTAATCATTTAATTCTTGTGGAATAGTTTTCGGCTTACGTTTAGAGAATTCTTCAAGGAATTGAAACACTTCTTCGGCGTTTTCCATGACTGTATAATAAAGCTTAACTTGTGTTTACGCAAAGAGAATTAAACATCTACAAACTAATTTACAACAAATTCTGAATGTACACAGCAATTCACAGTTTAATTTAACATAGAAATTTATAAAATTACTGTATAAATCCTGTATACTGTAGGCTTGTGTATTAACAACAATGTCAATTGACAATTGGCATTTGGCACAGACTATGTAATAAGCATACTTCGTTGGTATGGTGATAGAGGACTATCACTGACATTATCTGTAGTATATTCTTTAATATTAAGTTTTTAACATACACTGTGGTAACAATATCATAATAATAACTTGTGGATTATCTCAAATTTTGTTAAATCTATTGTCAAAAATATCTGATTTAAATATTATTTAAAATCAAGTCATTGCAATTTATTTACTATCTTCAAAATGAATTCTCTTTTAAGGAGAAGTATATTTCCGCTTTATTCTAATACTCGTAAAATTCCTAGTCGGTTATTTGCGGATGTAGCGGTGAAGGACAAAATTGACGATATTGTAAAGAAAAACAAAGTGGTAGTCTTTATGAAAGGCGTCCCGGATGCACCACGGTGTGGTTTTAGTAATGCAGTTGTTCAAATTATGAGAATGCATGCCGTACCATACGAAAGCCATGATGTACTGTCTGATGAAAATCTTAGACAAGGTTAGCTTTAAATCTTTATCAGTTATATAATTTTTTATACCTAATTTAAGCTTAAAATTACTCGTAAACTTAAATTAGGTACACTTACGACCTTTTTGACTAAATACTCATTTATATTATATATACCTAATATATTTTTCTTACTGAACTATTTTGCTATGTTATGTTATTATGTATATAAAACATTATTAATTTTCGTTTTACAAGAAATATATTGAAAATAACCTTTTCAGGTATAAAAGATTATTCAAATTGGCCCACTATACCCCAAGTTTTTATAAATGGGGAATTTGTTGGAGGTTGTGATATAATGTTGCAAATGCATCAGTCCGGTGAATTAGTGGAAGAGTTAAAGAAAGTTGGAATCAAAAGTGCATTACTTACTGCTGAAGAAACAAAGAAAGAAGAAGCTTAGTTCATATAATATTAATTTTGCCATGATCTGAAATACTGATTCAGGACCACTCTCCACTGATAAAAGGCATAATAGAAACAAGCTATCATATATTCTGTTATCATCTGGCTTGTGGTACTCGTAATAAATAATAGGGATAAAATGCATTTTTAGCTATAAAATAAAACTCATAAACTACAATCTTCTATTTAGTTATAATGCTCTCAATTCTATTACCAAATTGTAATAAAATCGATTTTTATAAACAATACATTTATTGAATACTCTCTGCACTGTGGCAGTTAGGAAACATGAGCAAGTATTAAGAATATAATCCAGTTTTCCAAGGTTATCCACTTATAAATAAAAAAAAAATGTTTCATTATATCTCTTATAAGAGAATTTTTATTGAAACCATTAAAATGTACATTAAATTAGAAGCTTAGTAATTATTTAAATATATTTATCAATGTTTTGATTTTATCCATGCATGAGTAGTGTAAATTCGGTTGTTAAATAAAATATCCTGTTTTTAAGAGCTCTTTTATTAATTTAGCTGTACATTCGAGTTAGTATACTTTTTGGGCACATAATTCATTCTTAGGCTACATCCACTTCTCCTTATAATAATATAAACGGTTGAATTAACAACACAGTAATTATTAAAAAGACTAATATATGGCAGATCATTTATTTAGAGTACTCCATTAAATACCCATACAAACGATAATGATATAAAAATGATAATAAATAGATGGCGGCAAGGTATGGCGATCTATTGAATAAATTAATTGTTTTAGGATTCCTTGCAACACTGATCCATGCAATGAAACGCTGCATATCTACCATTAAAGTAAAACTAACGGCAGTACATAATTAAATTTGTTTCATATAAATAATGTTTGCTTAAAAATAAAATATAACAAAACATTCTCACAATATGAATGAGTCTTAATTTGGTGTCATACATTAGTGAGTCTAACATTAGCACCATATTTAACTTACAAATAAAATATTTTGTGACTTCCCTGATGATCTCATACAAAAGATAAAAATACCTAAATCTAATATAAATAGTGTAGTTATATGTTCCATCAGATTTGAGCCAAATGTTTTTATTTTAGGGAGTACAAATTTCACATTTTTGGTTTTAAATTGCACATATATAACGGTTAAAACGACTTTTTGCAAAAATTGTTCTCTTTGGCTGATCATTAGGGCGACGAGATGATCAACGCAAGTGAAATAATTTATCGCAATTTCTGACTAAATAATCCGCCATGTTAGTAAATCGTAGTTTCTGTGGCGGAGCAGATCTTTGTTATTCCTCAGGTCTCTACCCTTTTTCATGGTGCAGTGATCTGAAAATGTTTGGTTACAATCTAGGTTATAATCAACACTACTAAAGACAATCAAGTAGCAACAGCTGTATATACATATACCATACGCTGTGAGGTACTTTATTAATTTTCATAATAACTTCATTATAAGTTTGATAGTTGATAGAAAATCGCAATGCCCTCATTCATAAATAACTTTTTGTAAACAACATATTTTGGCACTTGTTTCTAGTGTTGGTGAGGTTCCAATTGTATTTCAGATACCTAAAGCTTTAATTAGATTTTGCAAGTTAAAAAGTGACAGTACATTTCTTGTAGTATGAGGATGATGTAGACATTATTCTTATAATATTATTATTATTTCTAGATAATATTAGGGATTTAAAAAAGAAAATTGGGGATACTAAGAATTTTGTTGTATATACCTAGAGGTCTGTCTCTCCATAGAGGGCGGTGGAGAACGCCATGTAGTCAAGAGCCCCAGGTGGGGCTCCTGATCCACGGTAAGGTGGCATACGTGACACGCAGTACTCTGCCTGGTCTGGGGGCAACTCACGCCTAAGCTCCTCCGCTGTTATGTATGGCTGTAAACAACTTAATATATATCTAAGGCTTGGTTCAAATACATAGTTGATACTTATAGTCATTATTCAGGATAAGTTGTATCACATCGTTACAGTTCTATTAAGCTTAAAAATGTTTACCTTGTCACCAGCCAGAATCCTGAAGCTGTCAATTACTTGTTCAGCGGTGTCAGTATCTGTGGATTCCCTCGTCATGAAGTCCAAAAATGCGTCGAAGGACACGTAACCTTAAAAATTATGTTTTATTATATATGGTGTAATAAAAAAAAGATTTGTACACCAAAATGTGGCTCCCAGGAACAAAGTTGACATAATCTTTTAAAAATTGATGAAAAAACAGTTCTTTGTTTCACTTCTATACACACATGGTGCATTTAGGGGGTTTAGACCGCACACTGAGATCATTCAACATTTAAAAGACTTTTTTTCAACCTACAATATTAATATTGGAGTAGGTTAGAAGTTAAGACGCATTTTGAGATTTAAATCGGGTTTAGACCATTCCTCCTCTTAAAGTATTGTGAAATATTTTACCAGTGTTGTTGGGATCAACGACAGCAAGGATGCGTTGGAAGTCGAGTTCTCCTTGCCTATCCTTGCCGATGCTGTAGCCGAGAGACACCAGGCAAGATTTCAGCTCCTCAGGTGCCAAACGTCCTAAAATAAAAATAAAATTATATATTTGACTAAAACATAAAAATAACTTTTTAGTAGAACTTAAATTCAGCTGATAGTTTAGTAAAAAACTCTTTAGTAAACCGTATCGTCCTCGTAAGATATGACTTTGAAACACTCGAAGGTTCCTGTTAATAGGTTTTATTTATAAGTTTTTAATAGTAAATTGGCTGAGACAATTTATTATATTTCACAGGAATTGAAATAATTTTTCAATTCGAACCATTTTTTCCAGAGATTTGCGCAAGCGAACAAACTCTTTAGCTTTATTAAAGGGATATAGTATAGAATTGATAGGGGCCATACTGTGCTGATGGAGAGGAAAGTTAAATATATTCATACCTGTACGGTTCTTGTCGAAGTGGTTGAACGAAGCTCTGAACTCGGTGAGTTGTTCCTGTGTGATTCCTTTGGAGTCGCGTGTCAAGATTTGATTTTCTACCTCGTTGATGGTGCGGTTGATAGATGTCAAGAGCTGTTCCCATCCTACGCGGAGTGTTTCCATTGTGTATTGTGAATATCTAGAAAATAATGAAAATAATGTAAGTTAGGAAAGGTTTGGATTTTTTATGCTATGAAAAGTTAAACGGCCATTTAAGGCTCACATGGAATATAAACTTCTAAAATAAAAGTGAGTAAAAATATTAGAATTATAACCATATTATGAACATAAGGAAAATTATTGTTTCTGATGTCTCTGCTAGGACTGGGAGATGAGTAAAGTACTCTTTTGCCGTTTCTACGTAAAAAAATACCATCTATCTAGTTTTAAGAAAAGATTGACCGTCTCTGTGCCCTGCCTGAAACAATAGATTGTTTCAGGCAGGGCACAAGTCTGATCAACTACTTGCCTGTAAATAAAAACCGATCATTGAAACGGACATAGAAATGCGTTCGCCCCATGCCTCACGAGGGGAAACGGGATTTCAAACAGTTCTAGCAAAAATTACCTGTTCTCAAAGATCATGCCCTCCTGGACAGCTTGATGGATTCGCTCTAATTCTTCAATGTGAGGCTTGTATGCGTATACGCCGGACTCGTACTCCTTCAGCCGGTGAAGTTGGTCTTCCAGAGAGCCCTGTGCATGATATGATGTTGAAAGAAGTTATCAAAGAAATAAAAAATCCATAGCAATGCAATTAAAATGTAAACTCAATATGGATTTTGTGAAATCTTGACTTATGCTTTAAGAAACATCTATTCATATCATAGTAGTTTAGTTATGAACATGAAACGATGACATAATAATTGAAGTTATCCAGATGATCTGTTGGCCAGATTTTAGTAGAATTAGATATAGAACCCACCCACTTTGAGCCGTTTTTTTACTTTACTTTAGGTTGCCTGGAAGAGATCGCTGCTTAGCGATAAGGTTACCTTTTATTTATAAATCGGTACGTCAGATTTTATCTCTTGTAGTTATTTTTGTGGTATGGATTATAAAGCTGTGATAAATAAAAATATAGCTTACCTGTAGACCCATGCCGATAGCTGTAACAGCATCCATTTGCCTCTCGATCCAGGGTCCAACAGCGTTGGCCTTCTCCGCGAACTGGCGACGAAGGTTCTCGTTGTTTTGTTGTTTGCGGAGTTCTGCAGCAAGTGTACCGTCACGTTGTGGCACCAGCTGCCTGACGTCTGACCATTTGCGGTTCAATTCCTGGAAACAAATTATAATGTTTATTTTTAAGAAGTTTGATCACATGGTTAAAAAATTATTATGCTTAATATAAAGTTTTTCAAATTCAGAAGCCCTTACATGTGCTGTTAAGGTGGTGTAGGGGTTTTCCAGACCTCCAGGGATTTGGTGTTGCTTGACGATGGATTCCACTTGGTGTACTAAGTTCACTATTGCCTGTAATCAAAATGTGTCTATTATAATACGATATTGCCAACGTATATATGTTATGTAATTTATCTTGTGTTTCTTAATTATTTATACCTGGTATTCTTTGTCAGCCTCTCCAAGAGTGGCCTTGAAGCGCGCGTGCGCATCCATAAGACCAGAGATCTCCTCGATGGTGTGAACAATGAACATGTCCACCAAGTCCTCGCGTGTGCCGTCCAACCTGAAAAATGTTCAATATAAATTTGGAATCAAATTTTTACATTGGTCAGGTAAACAAATAGATATGAATGAATATGAATAATTTCATAGACACCGTTAAAAATAAACTATATAGCTTGTTCTATAAAAATATGTAGAGGTCGATAAATATATACAAACACTTATACTATGTATCGGTTATTATGTAACTTCATAAGGCCTAAATAAAACCAATAGATAAGTGTATGAACTTATCAAACACTCGTTTGAAAGAAAATATTATAATTTCCTGCTCGAAGGACCATTCTATACGCACCAGTTGTTGAATGGCGCCGCCCTCTTAGCAAATTCCAAGTGTAGCAGGTCGATTTGCTCAAGGACACGCTCAGCGTCGTCCAGGGCCGCGCGACGTCTTTGTGTAAGTGCACCAAGCCTGTCCCACTGCGAGCAGATGCGTTGACAACGGGCGTTCACGCTCGCTACTTCGTGGTACTCCAGAGTGCTGTAAAAAGAACATTATTTTTGATTACTACATTACTCTTATAATTATGTAGGAATGCTACTCGGGTTACTTATTATTTAATAATTTATTTAGAAAGCAAACATTATTTGTTTGCCATCATACATTACATAATTTAAATAGTCTTAAAATTCTAATGCGAGCGAAGCATCTCCGCATCAGCAAAGTAGTGCACAAGGCGCTACATTGATTTTATTACTGTTCTGATAAGGTAAGTCATTTTTTAGGAAGGGTGAAATGTTGCAATACCGAGATCATATACTATATACTTTCATTTTACTCAGGACAAGGCTATCGTCTACAATATATTTTACGTACTTAAGCTCCTGTGCAATAGCAGCGATTTGTTCAACGCGATCCTGATGCGCGGCAAGATCTGATTCGAAGGCCTCGTGCTTCTTCTTTAGAGCCTTAATGTCGTATAGCTTGCACTGACGGAAATCTTGTGACTGAAGCATCTCTTCTTTGCCTTTATAAATTTCAACAGCATTAGTAAATTTAAGAGAACAAACCGTTTTGAACATTGACATTAGAGCTTTGTTTCTCAATGGTGGTCCTTCGAGCCGGTTTTCATACCAAATTAGTTGATCTGTACAAACTGCTACCGGGGATGTATCAACTATTTTGCAACCATTAGACCTAATGGTTGCAATGCATTGTTAATTATCAACAGCTCGGGGGTTCGATACCAACTAGATCAAAAGGGTTTCTGGGGTATTGCACCTTCCATCAAATAAACCCAATGCTAGTCTGTCGTTCTCTATCATAAAAAAGACAATTGTTTAAGGAATACCTCTTGTCCAGTCTTCGTGGATGTCAGCCTTGTGCTTGAACTTTTGCGCGAGATACTCGAGACGCTCAAGGCGCATCATTTCGCTTAGGAGCCATTCTTCGAAGGCCTTCTCTGCGATTTCGAGACCCTTCCAGGCTTGGGCGATGTCCTGCGAAATAAAAATCATTTAAGGTCGATGTTTTTTTAATATAGGTTTTAGCATATCATACATTTTCTTTAGGCATTTACATATGTCTTTTATATTAAATTACAATTGTACATACATAGTTTTTTTTTACTTTGTTTAATACTTACAGAAACCATCTTGCCTTCTGTGGGCATGTAGGCGGGCCTGTTACTAAGACGCAATTTTGTTTGCAGAGTGTTGAAGTTCGTCTCGAGCTTGGCTTTCTGTTCTACACGAGGTGGTTTGTGTTTACGCCTAAAATTATTAAAATGTGTCTTATTATTAGGCTAAAACGTCTATATTAAAAGGTTATTGGTAAACTATCAAACAATATATAAAATTAATTGAATGACTATACTCCTGTCTGTTGTTTACATTTAAATAAAACACTTTTAACGGTTTAAAACTCGAAATATATTCAACGCTTTTTCGTCTGCCGCAAAGCATCTTAAACGAGGGGCCGTAGTTAAAATAAATAAGTTAAGTAATATATTTCGCGTTTTTAACCGTTTTTTATTAGTATGTTAAAGTATAGTATACAAACATAAGTGTAGTTATTCTATTTTTATATACTGTTTGATCCTTGCCATTAATTAGGTTATTCTTGTTATGACAGTTTGTTGTCTCATAACTAAATAAATAAAAGTGTACTAGAAAAATTGTTTGTAGTAATCTACCTGTAAGTACGGTAGTCTTCAAGTTTCTTCTGGCAACCAGCTAGTGAGTTGTCCGTCTGTCTGCTGTTCAACCATGGCATCGTGCGACGGATCCATTCCAGTAGCTACAACCATTGAAGCCTTGGATTAATTGAGCCACTAGATTAAGTGTGTCTAATATATTGTTTTTGAAATACTCACGTCGCTGGCTAGACGCTCGTACTCTTCCATAAGACGTTCGTTCTCTTGGTTGACTTTGAGAACTTTGCAGATACGGTTCGCGGCGGTTTCAGCCTACAAATTAGATATAATAGCACCTTAATTATCTGTAGAAGTCTTTGTACGGGAACAGTGACTACCGTTAAATTCAAACCATGAATCGAAACTGACCATAAACTAACGAATCTCAATCAATAATTGTATGTTAACATTTCTAATTAGCAACGTCTACTTTGTTTTCTATCGGTCTTAATGAAACAGATTTCAGCACAAATAGCACATTTGGCTTTTTATTAAATGGTTTCGACATTTTGTTAGAAGAAAAAAACACCGAGCTTTTTTTTAATACAATGTGTATCAGCCAGTGTTAACTGCATAGACAACAACTGCAAGGGCACAGAGATAACAAACCTTTTGAGCACCAGAGAAGCAATGGTAGTATGAAGAGACGTAAGTCATGACTGCCCTCTCGTCTGGCATCGCCGTGTTCTGCAGATCTAGCAAGCGGCATTCAAGCGACATGAGTTAGTACATGCCTTATAACAAAAGGAACCTTCGGAACTGACTTCGAATGTAGGGGCAGTTTAATTTTTTAGTATGTTAATGATTGCTCCACTCGAAACTAAGACTTCACATTTTTAATAAAACACTTTAACGGTTTAAAACGCGAAATATATTAGCCAAACTTATTTAAGTAAAATGAATCGCATTTTAAAGTGTTTAATTTAAATGTGTACTCGTGTAAACATTATTCAATATACATTTTCAAAATTACAGGTTTCATGGTCATTAGTGTTTTTTGTAGGTGATTAACATCGAAGTCAGTTAAGCTTCCATTAATCTTAAATCGAGTTAATAACGAAAAGCTTTATTTTAAAGGAAAACAAACAATATTTATTTAGAACCACGGGTGAGAAATGGTAAATGCGATTGTTTTATATGGTAGAAGTTATATTCAAAATAAGAAATTTTCTCAGTTGCAAGGAGGTTCACATTTCTTAATCTCATATTTCGAATTCTCCTCTACGTAAACAACGAAAGACGCTAAAGGGTCACACTCAAGGTCATGCTATAAGTGACACGCGGTCTGGCGTTAGGGCTTTCGATGGCTGGGTCCTCAAATACCTGTTGCGCGCCTTGGAAGGCGTGGTAGTAACATGACACATAGGTCATAATAGCGCGCTCATCCGGCTTGGGGGTGTTTATTAGGTCTGCAATGTTTATCACAGTTCATTATTTCGTCGATGCGACCACAGATAATAATCAATTTGATAGCTCGATTATTGCTGTAAGTGACCTTCTTAAAGTGATTACATATAAACGTACCAGAGCTAGGTCATCCAAAAACATATTGTTTTTATTAATTGCTGTATGTTTTCTGGTAAGTGATCAGAAAATATGTTCCATAACATAACTGTCCAAAAAGGCCACACCTTCTCAACCAACTAATGGGCTATTTGCATGATTTTTAAAATGTACTTTATATTATTCTAAGTATCTATGTTCTTATGTCTATGTTTGTGCAATAAAGAATTTTTATTATTTGGTAAATTTTAAGGAATTCTAGAAAAGTAGTATTTTTGAAATATATAAAATTATAAATTTAACCTTTAAACTGTGTACCTAAACGCTAATTTTGCCAAATAACACTACAATACGGCTAGTGTCGTCACGACCTTATATTGGCTATTGGTTGGATCATTTGATCTACAATCTATATGTGTTTGTACCAAACATTTACATTTAACAGTTATAAATGTGTTTATTTATTAATGCAGAGAATACAACTGTTTTAACTGAACTAGTAAGCACAGTGGTTTATAGCACTGTTTATAAGCAAGTAACGTCGTCATAAACTCGACCAATCAGGGGCGTTTTGTTTCACGTGAAAAGTTCTATTTGCTGATTTTTTATTAAATAAATTTTAATCTTTAACATACGTTACTGTTTTATTATTTATAATATTATACTTAATAGTAATAACATTAATTGAGACTATTTTTTTCGCATTGTCAAATAGCCCATTATTAATACTGGCTGGTTTTGAGAATCGACCGTGCTAAAGTGAAAAAAAAACTAGCTTAACAGTTCTCCATATAAACATAATTTAAAGAACTCACCATCTGGATCCAACATGCGTGGAATATCCAGATACTTCTCGGCGACATCGAAGGCGGTGTTCAGGTTCTCGAGAGGGTTGTCCTTCGAGAGTTTGCTGTAGTCGATGAGGTCTGGTCTGTGTCTGTGAATGAGGGCGCAGAACGCGAGACCATCCTTGAACGACAGGTGGAAGTTCTGCACATTGACGTTCTTGTATGGTGCTGTCTTGCGTTGACACCATAGAAGGAGACCTTCCTGTAGATGTAAAAAAAATATTGTTTAAAATACAATACACTAAGAAGGGTAATTTTACATCCCAATGCTTTGCTATGTGGACTATAAGGCAGTCATATATCTGTGTCCGTCCTTTTTTTTACTGGCATTTGTTCTTTTTCATCTCTAAACATTTTTTCATCTCTTCCCACAAATCACACTTAAAATTTTTTACCCAAAACAAATTGACTGTAATATTTAAATCTTTTTAAATTGGAAAAATATGACGACCATTACCGGTCTTGAACCGGCATCCACAGCGATCCATGCTGCTGCTTTAACATTAACTCAATCAATCCAAAACTAAACAATGTTATTGTACCTTAGCGGTCATTTCTTCTACTGAGATGTCCTGGATGGCGAACCTCAAGATAATAGTCCAGATCATACCAAGCGTCATTTTAAGGTTACCATCTACGATTTCCTCAGCTCCGATGGAAACCAGCTTAACGCCTGAAAGTAAATAAAAAAATTACAATTAAATTACGAGTATGTTTATGTCGTTGGTGCAATGTATAGGTAATAATCTACGGGTTGTGGGTTCGATCCCAATTGGAAATAACATTTTCCTAAATTTTTCGAAGCATTTTGGACTTTGCCTGGAAATCTGGAAATATCCAGATATATAAAATGGGTGGTAGGAATATCCGAGGTGGATTTACAAATCTAAAATAGGTCGACAGCAGATCCTGTTTATAATGGTGGCGCATTATTTCACCTACCATCAAATGAGGCCGTTATACGTGATTACGTATTAGTTAGAATTAATTACACAGATGTTAGTACTATAGATCGTTTATTTAGCCATCATTAAATATACGTATTTTTGGAAGATTAAAAAAACTTTTTCCTCTGTTCATAGAGAGTAATTTGGCCTAAGCTTACGCAACAAATAACTTGAGGTAGACCGCAATGTTTCTTTTGATGTCTACATTAAAGAATGTGTTTAGACATAGGTCAAAAAAACCTTTAAACATGTGTAATGAAAAAAATAGACAAAAACGTATATCTGTACCTAGTCTAGATTAATTATATTGGGCATCAATTTTTTTTTGCAACCCTCCTCATCTTTATAAATATTTACAGTTACCCACGGCGCCGCCCGTTACCCGTCGTTCTTGCAAGTTAATCTTAAAAGATAGATTAGACAATCGCGGCCTTTTTTTAGATCGTATAAAGAAGAATGATTCTTTATTAGATATTTTTAACATTTCTTACTGTTTCTTCGCTTCTATTAGTTGCAGCGTATTCATATAGTCTGAAGCCCTCCTCGATAAAAGCTTTAAGCAACACAAAAAGTTTTTTTCAATTCAAACCTGAGGTTAGCGCGTTTAAATACAATAAATTCTTTAGTTTTCTACTATAAGTATAGATTTATGCGAGTAGTACATTAAAAAAAACACATATGACGGTTGGTAAAACGTGGAATTTGGCTTTTTAATACTTTATAGCAACAGCTCACAGTGACCATAGCTACTTATAAACAAATTTTAAGTATTTTTTATATGTAGAATTAAACTTGCATATCACCTTTCGACGCTATGAAGTCCAGGGCCTTGTTGACGTTGGCGATCTTGTGGAAGCGCATCTTGCCGCGGTCTGGTTTGGGCAGGGTCTCACCAGATATGACCTCCAAAAGCAACATGAGTTTCAGTCCATTGCGGAAGTCTTCGTCGATGTTTTCGATGCCTGTACCGGCTTTGCGGAGATGACTGTTGCACCATGCTGTAAATGTCTGGAAAATAGAGAACGAAACATTAAAAAAGGTTGTTTTAGATTTCTCTAGACCCAAAAAGCTATTCTAGTAGATAATTTATACACGTTTGTGTGCTTTGCATCTTTGTGTAATGTTGTCACGGCAAAACCGTAATTATATTCATAATATTACACAACAAAATTCGTCAGACAGTGTTGTATATTGTGTACAGATTTCCGGAGTCCAGTCATGTTCCAAATTTAAAAATTGATTTGAAATATGTTGCAACCCGGCGGGGATCAAAGTCACGACCCGTTACAGGCCCGTCAAAAATTCTATCGACATAATAATATACCAATAATTATAAGTCAAAGACAATTATTTTGATACATTATCTCCAAATATGAGGATATATATTGAGTTTACAGTTTTAAAATTAACCTTCAAAGTATGAATACAGTTTAATTGAAGTGTTCTCGTCGAGAGGGGATTCCCACGTGAGGCGTACGTTGATCAATAACTCCATTTGCAACAGGGACCGAAAGAGGGTGCGACCCCTCGACCGAAATGCAGACGGATAGGTATTTGAGCTACAAGTGCTTATTGTAGGTATGCGTAAATCTTCTCAACGTGTTACTCAAAGAACGCTGAATACTGTTAAGGCGAAAGGTGTTTAAACATATTATTATTGCTAAAACTACAAAAATATTTTTCAGGACATAACTCGAGAAGAAGTTTTTTTCAAGGTCTCGCATTTCGCACAATGATGATATCAAACATACATATATTAAAAATAGCACTGAGATTTGGTATTACTGATTTTAGATTACACAGTCTCTAGTGAAATAAAATCTTTGGCTGTTAATATAATTAAATTTATTTATTTACTATTTTTAGTTAAAATTATGATTTTTTGTTCAGTAATTAGTTGATGTGATATTTCCCAAGTATTACCGGCCCGACCGAACCTAGGACCATTAGCGCTTAACTGAATGCGTTAAGCGCAGGTTTAAAAGCACGTTTAACTATTTATCTACAGAGACAGTCGATTTATACAAGAAGGTATTAATGAATAGTAGATAACTATAGAATGACCGATTTTTAAACGGTATCCTTAACTTTACGAAATTCCAAAACAACTTATAATGGTCCATTACGTAAACATACGATAAAGAACCTAAAATTGCACAAAGTTAATACAAAGATCACGATCTGACCCATTCATATTGAGCAACAATGAAAGTTGCAATATGGATTGTAAATAGTCCACAAATGAGCGATTGTAAAGCTAACATTGCAGATCAATATAATATCGACCGCGAGTAATGCTTGAACATCACGACTATTCTTTAGAGGTGACTTTAACAATATAATGGTCCTAATACATAATTTTTCGTATTATTTTTTTTATAGAAACAAGACATCTTAATTTCAATTAAAACGTGGTGTTTTATTGGCTTTTCAAAAAAAGAGTTAATCAAAGTAAGAAATCCATTACAAATTGACATGGTAGCTCAATTGGTTAGAGCACGGAACGCTGTGGATGCCGGTTTCAGTCCTGTCCGTGTCGTATTTTTTTTTAATTTTAATGGCTTTTTATTTTATATAGTGCCATCATGTGCAATATATTAAAGTGAAACATGTGGAAAATATTAAAGTTTTCAGAGTTGATTAATTTAATAATTGCTTTAGATTGCTTACGATTTTTTAGCCATTTTTTTAATACTACTCTTTTCAGAATGTACAAATTTAGATAATCAAAGATTTGGCCATTATGATGATGATAAGAATACGTAAGAGATGGTCAGATTGCTAAATACATAGAAGGAAGAACGTATATATGATTTTTTCTTCAGATATAATTAATTACCAAATTGCCGACAAAGCTTGAATTCTCAGTAGACCCTGATGCTTCTTTTTAATCTCTGCTCAGCTTTTGTCAACAAAATTCCGAGCAGTACGCGAATATGGGTAGCGCGATAAAAGCCCTCGTCGACAAGATGTTAATAGACAGCTGTGAACAGTTCGAATGTCACAGATCTTGGCTCCATCGTTGCTAATTACACGTGAGTAATATACGAAGGTGACATTGTTTGATGAGTGTCATTCAATAGGATGTCTTAATCCGTATTTACAGCCTTTAGCCCACACAAGCTTTGTTTTAATCTGCTACACGAATCGAATATAAAGGTGCTTTGAGAGATGATGATTTTAAATACTACTAAAATATGACTGTTACGTTATAAATTGATAAAATAAAAAATCATTTATTCCCAGTTATTGACAATGTAACAAAAAATATAGCAGTTAATTTGAAAGTTATTTAGATTGTGCTGAAGCACATTGCGGTATGCCACAGCGCCGATGTTCAGTGGCTTTGAGCGTTGACAAAATAAAAAATAATAATAATACCGTTTTTACTGAACGGTAGTGAAGTATTTCGCCTTCTACCTAGGCTTTTAAGTCTTCATACATAACTATTTGTTTGTTTTGAACTACTCTTTTTCCATTGTAAGTCGTGTTTTTTCCATCGCCTTGTATGTCTTTACAAATACAAATATTCTTTATTGTCACAAAACAAAACAAAAAAATAAATATACATATATATAAAAAATGATGGAAAACGGCAACTTTATTGGCGGCGATTGCGTGACAGTAGAAAATGGACTTAACCTACTAACTAAAACTAATAATAAACACTACAAGATGATTCTTCGAAGACCTTTATTAGAACACTATAGACTTTTGTTACTTACATATTGATTGTTTTTTAAGTAGATATTTCAGTTTTCATGAAGTTTAAATATATGAAAACTCGACTTGCACTACAATGTAACTTAAATCCATTTAATTATGTGAATCTGGTTTCTGTTGCGGCTAAAAACGTTTAGTAAACAGAGACATAGGTCACGTGCCGACCGGTTAATTGGCATAGGCAGCTGCAGAACAGGTGATCGGAGTGAGGCTAGTTTTGTGTACCAGTTCGCAAGCCACTCCCGTTCCGGTGGCTTCAAGGCCGTTGCGATAATTCTATAGAAATAGTTTTCATTCATTTGTTCCGTTCTACAGTTGACAATTACAAGTCGACAATAGATGTTGCAATAATAATTGAAGTAATTACAGCGTCTTGGGATGCATTGTTCAGCTAGATCACGACGTAAATACCTAAGTATTTCTCTTTTAACTATGCATTTTAAACTAACAGAGTTTGTTAAGACTTCCAAAGATCAGGTAATATAATTAACTAGACGTGTTACCGACTTCGTCAGCGTAGAATAGTTATTTTTGGCATCCAAATTTGTTTTTCCGCATTCCCCGCTGTTTCTGCGGTCCTATTAGCCGAAACGTGATGTTTTATAGCCTTCCAGTAGTTCCTGACATTAGCGTGTTCAAACAAACAAACAATCTCTTCAGCTTTATATATTAGTATAGATTTAATACTTTCACTTTTCTAATAAAATCATCGAGGTGAAACAGCATAGCAAAAGATTAATTTTGTATATTGACATATGATTCATATGTTTGTTATTCTGGTTACCAGGAAACGTTAAGTAAATCAATTAATTTTACGAAATGTCACAATTTTATCGAAACGGTATGACCGGTATAATGATGTCATTAAATAGCTTAAAATCGAAAAACATGGATTCCACACAATTATTCTTATTAAATTTTCAATATTTTCTATATAAGCTGACAAGTATTTTAGTAATTAAAAGTGAATCTTGTGTCCGTTATCTTGAGGAATCTTGAGGACATATTAATGTGTCTGTTTCAATGTACTGCATCTAGACACAAGATTCTAATGCACCGATTACCATGAAGGCACTCATAGCAATCGCATTTATGCAATGTACGACTACTTAATCTGTAGGAGTATTATAAAGCTGAAGGTTTTGTTTGTTTGAACGCGCTAATCTCAAGAACTAATGGGTCGAATTAAAAAAAGTTGATTAGAGTATGTAGAGGAAGGCTTTAGGCTATAATATAAAATATAAGAATGATTCCTCTTTAAGTGATCTAAAAAATGTCCGCGACAATGTGGCTAACTTTTATTATGAACTCAGATAAACTATCATTTATAAGGCTTAGGAGGTTTGTAAAAATAAATTTTGATGCCCAAAATAACTATTCTACGCGGACGAAGTCGCAGACACAGCTCGTATAAAATAATTATTAACAATATCCGTCATTCAGGAAGCCTTAATAAATCGTAGGTGATGCATTAAAGAATTTCGAAAAGTGACCGAACTGCATTCTCAGATAGTTCGCTCTGACTCATCGCAGCTCGTTTCTTGGCACAGGATAAATTATATCTACCTGCTATAAGACATAATATGTCATCTAAATAACGGTGTTAAACGGTAAATCAATGAAAGTAGTCATGCAAATGGCTCTGATGAATTATCTCAGTCTTACTGCACAGTGCGAGCAATCAATAACTAACATATTATTAGGAATATGTACTACTTACACTGGCTACTGTTTGTATGTATGTTCTGTAACCTTTTGTCGCTTAATATTAAAGAAAACGCATCTACAGTTAACACAAAATATATTAGTTGTCTTTTTAACTACGATCCGACGTTTCGGATGCTTTACAGCACAATTCTATACGATACTAACTAGCAAAAGTTATATACTTCCTTTGAGAACTTTAATATTTTTTACATGTTATTTCTTGCACATGATAGCATTATATAAATTAATAATCGATATGGGATTAATTTATGTATTAATAGGTTGAAAAAATTAGACGATGACGGGTAGGATACGGTAGCCCAATTGGTTAGACTTAAGAGCAACAGCACGCAATGCTGTGGATGCCGCTTCTAGTCCTGCCTGTGTCGTAATTTTTTAAAATCTATAATCGATTTTTAAATTTCTATATTTTCTGTTTTACATATATTAAACTGTGTTCTACTCTGTGTCTACTACTGTATAACTTAAAGCCCAATAACTTATTTCCAAATCGTAAATCATTTAAATTCAATTTCCTATTTTTTATAAAGTTGTTAAATAATCGTGATAAGTTTCTT